TATTTTGAGTTTAGCCGTCTCTCGTGATATCGTGATGGCGGGGGTGAATGTTTACAGTGACACGCGCTCAGGCGCGGGATTAGTTGTTTACTTTTGTACCTTTTAAACAGCACTTGAGCTCCCCCTCACTTTCCCACTTCCCACTTCTTCCCAACTCCGCATCTCGGCGGCCGCTTACGGACCCCTTGCTAAACATCAAACATGCCCGTGCGATCTGAATCACACTCAATTATTTGATCACAGTCGTATTTTATCGTCGGATGTATCAAACGAATGGATAATGGCGTTACGTGTTGGTCCTTTTCAAAATACCTAGCCGCTTACTCTCCTACATTCGGGAATCGCTAGTGGCTTGGGATTTAAGGTACCGTACCTACAGCGTACACAGCCGTATATACACAGCCAGACTGCTGTACTATGCGTATATTGACGACTCAGCCGACAGAAGGGCTTTTTATCCAGGGCGAGTAGCCAGGGATTACTCGGTCCGGAAGTCAGATTTCTTTCGGGACAGCTGAAGGTCTCACAGATTGGCGCCATGAATCCGGGCGACGATAAGCGCGAGGTTGGGAAATGCCGTCCTAGCGATCTTATTGGCCAATGGGGGCTTGCTGGCTTTTATTCAGGCGGCTTGTGACTCGCCCTATCATGCAGGTCATTCATTAGAGGCGGTCAGTACGATAGCAGCCCGACCACGCAGCCACGTTCAAAATGTAAACAATCAACAGCAATCGAGATCTTTGAAACTCCTAAAAATGTCCTGCAGCGAAAGGGCTGAAAGGGCTATTCCCGTACTATGAAGTGTCCCCTTACCTGGCCTACATACTAGCATACTAGGGGTATATAGTAGGTAGGTATCGTAGCATGCATATGTCTCCGGTCGGGATTTCTTGATTCCTTGATTCCCTTGAGGGGTTTCGGTGGTGGTGCGAAACCATTTACAGACTATGACGATAGTGTGTCGCGTGTAAGCAAGGAGAGCGCGAAGATCCCACCTTTATCCATAGCAACGTGAAGATGACGTCTGCCACGGACTAAAAAATACCGGAGTTCCTCATCTGCGATCGAAAACGGTCCACATACTATCGAAATATATTATCTATTGCTGTTCCAAGGTTGTCTAACACGCCGTTGAGGGAGTTGTTAGTTCGCAAGTCAATTCTGAATTATCCCTGACTTAGACGCTTTTAGGTCTAGGATCGTAGGACTGGCGCTTCAATTCATTTATCTTCGTATGACAAACGAAGCTTCGTAAGGCCGATCCGACATTTGGATCTCATTTCGCTGCTTGGCTGTTTGAAGATCGGATAGAAAAATGAATTTTTAGAAATTCGTGAGTTAAGGTTTTATTAAAATGAAGATACGAAACAAATATCTCCGAATGAGGCTCATGGTCCAGTCTTTGAAGACCATCAAAGGGTTGTCAGGTCAATCAGGGCGGTCCAGGTCTAGATAAAGGCCTAGAGCTTTAGCTCATCCTACCTGTAAATATTTGTGCGTACAGTATGACCGAGTGGGGGACTGCGACTGCAAAGCATCGGTGAGATGTCAAGTAGTTTTTTTTTCCTCTGCAAAATAAAATGACTGATGGGGCAAGCGCCTGTAGAGTCCAATCACCACAGGACACGCCAATCAATGATTTCGATATTGGTAATGGATGTCATTTCAGTGCCGAGAAAAAGTCTACTAAGGATAGCTGCCCGATGTCATTATTACATATTACCAGGTGGTTTAAAAAAAGAAGTCCAGGGCCGACATGCAAAAAATTCCGATAACCCGTTCATACATAGGGGGAAAGCACCTATCGGCGAGTGTCGGGAATAAGTTCCTGTAAATAATCTCATTCAAATAGTCCTAACTGGTCCCAACGTGTGAAGTTTTGTGCAGTTTAGTAATTGAAGATAATGGTCATCCATGCTCATAAGTGCTAGGGTGGTGCTTATTATTGCAGCACCACAGCAACGCCGGACATGAGGGTGGACTCGATCCATTAGATGGGTAACAAAGCAAAAAAACCACCAGAGAATCCTACGACACACTGTAGCAACCAGTGGGTAACCCTAGTAATCATTCATAGCTTCGATGCATGCACGTCCCATGGAAGCAATAAACGAAATCATCCTTATTCGAGACCAGTATCCGTCGAAACATGCGTCAAGTTGTTTTTTGCGGGATGGTTCTTCGAACGGCCTATGGGATCCGGGGAAGCAAGTTATGGAGCGTTATGGAGGGCTAATCGCGGTTCGGGAACCTTGGTGATTCGGGACCAACTGCCGACGAAGTTGTCGCAGTTGTCGCGGAATTTCTAAAGAATCAGCCTCGTGCAAAATAGGGATTGTATGTAGCGATGTACATACAATACCTACCTACATGTAGTTACCGTAGAGGCAGGGTTCGTAGATGAGGCAAAACAAGTTATTTTGCCGTGTTATTGAAAGAGCCTCGATTAGCCCCGGCACCTATCCAGCAATTTCGTAAAATGACTGAAACCTCGAGGAATAATAAGACATGAATACACGTGGGTATGGAGAGAGTAATAATCGTCTAATCTTGGGTTAAGACAGCTCGTTCCCTTTGCTAATTGACTTATTACGGGCAGTCCGGGCAAATATCGCTTCCATTGCTACGACCGAAGCTTACCTAGAACTGACGGACCGGGACAACGGAAATCGACGACCGAAGCAACGCGAAAAGCTTCAACGCATAGTCCGGTATTCCGTGAAAGGCTGACTACCACGCCATGCTTGGGAGACTTTCGAAACTTCCGTTCAAGTAGCTCGTCTCAGCCTCTAGAACCTTGCTATCGTACCGGGGCTGACAGCCAAACACTGACAACGAGTTGGTGGATCCTGGACGACGGATTCGCCTATTCTAGCTGGGGTATTTCCTAAAGCGGACGACGAACGCGTTCCTCGGCGTTTGAGAGGTTGTGTAGAGCTTGTGCTATGCGATATGTACGATATATGCGATCCATGTATACCTAGCTATGCAAGATGATCGTGTAATCGGCTGCAAGGCAGGATTCAGGCTATGAAATGCATGAATAACAGCGACGAATACAGCACTTGGCGATAGAGTTCGTAGAGTTGATAGATGCTAGTCTGATTCTTATGCCGCAAGCTAAGATGATGTGTGACAAGGTGGTTGTGGTTGAAAGGTGTAGGTTTGTATGTAGGTCGGGAAGTCATGATATGTAGTTAATAAGATATTATCTATGAGAAGAATGGTTATGACGGTATAAAATCTCGCCTAGCTCATGGAATTATTCGAATATTCGGTCCTTAGTCTTCAGCGCAGGCCATGGATATGATTACTTAATTCCAGGTTCTCTACTCGCTTGGCTGAACATGTCTCTGAAGGACGGGTCCCATACGGAAAAATTGTCTCACTCGACCTGGATTCGGCCTCTTCGCTGTCGGATCCTGATTATTAGAACATACCTAGATAGGATACCTAGTCCAATGTTAGCTAGCTGACTAGCTGTACATACATAGTAAGAGAAGAACTTCATATTGTTTCTTCTTCTTTTCGCAGCTTCTGCTGCTGAATAGCTAGGTAATGAGTATGCACTATGTAATCTGGATCGTGGACCATGAACGGTGATCTTGTAATTGTCAGTGGATTTCATCTCGTGTTGGATAGTAACAATTCGTCCGTGACCTGTTCATGAATGCGTTGTGAACTATTATTTGTGAACTTTTTCTCCGCGATCAGCGTATGGGTTCGGATGGAATAGGTAATAAGATAGCTGCATAGGTGTGTCTAGGTGTCAAGGTGTAGGGTTCTTGAACAAATTTAACAAAGTCCAAACGTAAGTTGCAGCACCCGAGTAACAAAATCCAGGCTTTCACCGCTAAATATTGAAGGGTGATGATGTAACTAACGGGCACTTTTCCCACTAAGAAAAGTCAAAAAAGTACCTAGGTAACCTTTAGCGTAATATTGGCGCCCCGCAGACCCACTTAACCCACCAATTTGATCAATTTGACCAATTCTACCAATCCTTTCCAGGGCCCTGGCGCCTTGGCGGGTAAAACAGTGAGAAACTACGCTAACGACATGGTAGCTTCCATTTTCAGCTTCACGGCACCCCAGGCAACGGAAGGCGCCCACTGAATTGCCCTGACGACGAACAGTTAGTGGGCACTGGATAGGCTGTTCCTGCCATTGTATTGGACGTTAATGCTAGCACAGGCTGCGTTACCTCGCAACCACCGTTGTAACTGAAACTCCACACTGCTTGATTTCCGCAAAACTGTCAGCTAGAGAGCTTTTAGCTTTTTAGTTTTTAGTACAGAACAAAAAGCATCAAAACCCTCCATTCTCGCTTGGTGCTTTACCTCCTCACCTTTCCCTCCCAGCAGCCGGCCTCTAAAAGTCGACAACCCTCTCCTACAACTACGTGCCGCTTTCTCGGACAAGATTAACAACACGTCTTTTTTAGGGGAATAGACGCTGTTACGGCATAACGAAGTGTTCAATTGCGGTTTTACGGTTTTTTCGGTTTTTCGTGGTTCAAGGTCCGTTGCCACCATCCGACCCGATCTTCTGTGACTGGCTGGATTTTGGGATTATTCCAACATCTGTACCATCTGTACCGACGATTCGAGTCAAACGGTCAGCAAGAACAATCCACAACCACGATCACCGACAGAGACAATTGGCCTTCGAATGTTCAATAGGAGAGCGGTACACTTTTTAGCTTTAGCTTTAGCTTCTTACCCGACCTATACCACGGCTTTCCTGCAACTTTTACCTTCCTATTTAGGTAATCATAGCTTCATTATTCTACTGCAAGAGGTATGTATGAGAGGGGTTATGGGTAGCTCGCGACGCCTACCACGCCTACCTATCCTGCTTAACCACCAATTCATCACCAATCCACCGCTAGTCACCATAACCATAGTGATTGCCAATGGCCATCATGTCTTATAAAGGTTCAGAACTAAATTTTGGGAATTACAGTTGTAAATAAAATTCCGGCATTGAATTCTATAATCCGACTAATTACGCGAACTCTTTAATCCTTCAGCCAACCGAGTATTTCGCATTCACGATACTATTTTTCCCTAGATCCGGACGACCATTGAGCAGTGTTATATGCGGCCTGCATTTAGTTGAACGATTAGGAAACTCGAACGATAGTTACAAGTTCCGCCTAGAACTTTTACACCACGCGATCAACGGATATACTCGTCAGTGGTGGCGTTAAGCAATCGTATAATACAGTCGATTGTATGCACAAATATCGAGGAATAGGTCTATTATCCTCTTGTCATATACGCTATCGTCATTAAGTCATGGATTCTTCATCTCCTTTAGCTGCTATGCGTCCTGCCCCGGCTCCGGCTTGGGGTCAGTCTTCTCATCATTGCTTGCCATCTCGAAACCCCTTCGCATCTGGCAACATGGGTATTCGTGAGCAATTACACCGGACTAGACCTGACTACTTCAGCTTTGGCTCTGTCCGTGGCTCTTCACCTGGTGCTAGTCTTGCTGCGGACCTTTCCCAGAATTTCCGACTTGACAGCGAGGACAGGTATGTTTAGACCAAGTTGTATGGATAAATATGTATTAACTCGTTTAACTAGCCCTCGGTTTCCCACTCCTCGTCGTGCTCTCTTTACTTCCAAGATGATGGAAGCTATTGAGAAAGATGGTACGCTTACGAAGATCTAGATAGCAGGAAATGAATATTGATAACTGATAATTCTATAGCTCAAGTTAAGACTCCTCCTTTGCCCGCCACGTCTTCTCCCGTACCGATGGACGACTCCATGGACATGGATATGTCCCCCTTACCGCAGAAGGAGTCTTTCTTTAGCTCATTCGAGATTGCTTCGCCTACCCCCCAAGTCGACGATGAAGATGATATGATGATAATGGATTCTCCTCTTCTCACACGTCAGCCTTCTGGGGGCCTGGAGCCGTCGAAGGTGTTGTTTGAGTAAGCTATTATGGCAACCCTGAAGAATATGAGTGCTAATTATTATGATAGCAGCCGCAAGCGAGCAGGAATCCGTCGCCCGTCTCTGACTCGAACCAAGGTTCACACAACAAGTTCCCTTCTAACGACTCGGCTGCACCCGGAAAGCCAGATTTCATCTTTCCGCTTTGGCTCTGAGACACGTTTTGGCGCTTCGACGTCCTCTGGAATGTCCCCTGGTGATTGCTTCGAGGACTCTCCCCTGCAAGATCGAGACCGGAGGCCGCAGACTGCAAACAGTCCATCCCCTACCAGTGGCGTGTCCCGCCCAAAGCCTCGATTTTCGGGCCTGAATGCGACTCAGGATATTCGCAACGGCTCTCCGATTCCTAGTCACGTTCGTCGGCTTTCAAACCCTTTTGCCCGATCCCGTCGGCCTTATCGCCGGTCGCTCAGCATGTTCGACAGCCCAGACGATGTCATCAAGGCCAGTTCCGAAGAGCCTGTGCCTCAGAGCACCTTGCAGGCTGTCATGGATGTAGAAGAGCCGCAAGATCCTATGTTACCTCATTTCTTCCCTGATGGTGAGAGTGACAACATTCCCAGAATCTCGAAGGCTACCTTCCTCGATGTAATGGACGGCAAGTTCAACGAGTGCTACACTCAGAAGATGATCATCGATTGTCGTTTCGAGTACGAATACGATGGTGGTCACATCGAGACGGCTGTCAACTATAATGACAAAGAGTTGCTTACACGACAGCTGTTCGAGAATCCTATGGGTGGCAAGACTCTTCTCATCTTCCACTGCGAATATTCTGCTTGCCGCGCGCCTATGATGGCCCGCCACGTTCGCGCTTCCGATCGCATGGCCAACGCTGAATGCTACCCGCGCCTTACTTACCCCGAAGTATATATCCTCGACGGTGGATATAGCGAGTTCTTCATTGAGCATCGTGATCGGTGCTATCCTCAGGCATATGTCGCCATGGGTGCTGAGGAGCATGCTAACACGTGCGAGCGTGAGATGGGCAAGCTCCAGCAGAAGCGCAAGGGATTAGGCAGAGCTAAGACGTTCGCATTTGGCCACCGAGATTCGATGGTTGATGCTTCTCCTACTGCCCCAACAAGACGCTATGAGCATGATTCGCCTATCATGATGATTGGCAACTCCCCGATTCTGGGACACAGCCGATCGCCTCGACGTATGGCTTCCTATTAAAAAAACCCGACAGTTCCTAGAGAGCTGACTAGAGAATGGCATCTCCGAGTTATGCCGTCTCCCACATTACTCATCATACCCCTCGTTCTTTGATTTTACGGTCTCATAGACTATGTGTTGATTATACCCAATTTTCTTTTCTTTTCACTTCAGCATTAGACAGGCATTTGCATAGTAAACCGGTTGGTTGCATTGCCCTGAGCTATGTTGGATCCGGCATCTGATTGCTCAATGGCCGGTGGTTATTCCATTCTCATTCTCCCTTTGTTTTATAAAAGCATGGCGTACGGTTAGGAAATAGGGGTTCACTGTGCTCTTTTCTCTTTTTCTTAGATTATTTCGCGACCTATTCTATGAGCAATTATTGAAGCCCAAGCTTCTGCTCCCTCTCATCGATGAGAGATACAATTCTACGCCTCTACTATGTGGAGCACTACCTTACGAGCTACATTTCTTTACGAGTCTGACTACAACAATTTTCACGAGTTCGACGTACTCTCGAGGCCACACGAGAGGCTCTACGATACGATCGCGATCTATCATGATCCGAGATACTTGCTACTACGATTTTTTCTTTAACATTCGACATGAACACCGAATCCTCGACCGAAAATCCGCATTACTTGTCTGATGGGACTACACAGGCTGCGTACCTCAACAAGAAACAACTACGTTGATGAGATGCACTATGGATGAGTCGAGGAGGAAGGGGTTCGGAGGGGGAGAGTTATGCGTCGCGTCGCAGACGTTTTTAAGAGATCAGATTGACCGCAGATATGGGGGGGTTGTGCTACGGGGCCGGATTCGAGTAGACGTTATATCCAGGTGCTAGGTCTAGGTAATGAGGGACTGGTAACTGGCGTCTAGGCTCGTGGTCTCTGGCAGGATTCCTACCTTCCTGTTACTCTTGTGTCTGGGTACGTGGAGTCATTTACTTGATCATCCTACTCCCAATCTGTACATTAGTTCCGACTACTGCCGCTCCTGGTCTCGGGAGTCTGCCGCATTGGCTGACGCAATGCCTGCGTTTGCGCTCCGGAGATGATCATAGGGTGATACCTATTCGATCCTCTGGGCTAAGTTAGCTGAGATAGCTGCTTGGTAATGTTAAGTGCGACTTGCCAATGAATTTAATGTTTACTGATGCTTGTGATGTCTTGGCGCAATGTGTAAACCTTTCGGCCTTTCGTGATGTAAATAATCGCGCTTTCGCGACGTAACTAATGCCGACTTCTCGCAACACATAGTCGGCTTTGACATGTCATTTCATTGAGGATTTAGGTACTATTCAATCAACGTGCCTTCTCGGGAATAGCTACAAAATCTAACGACAAAAGTTTCTACCTGATTTAGGGTATCTTGCTCGTCCAATGCCAACGTAACATTTAGAATTACGAAGTAACCCCCAGCTCCTCAACATAGCCAACGCATACTAATTGAACCCTTAGTCGGTGAACATACCCGGCGCATTATCCTACTAACAAAGTGCCCCTGACAGGTGGATGTCTTCGAAATAGTCGGTCAGAAGCATTACCTAATAAGCGGTGGAGAAGAGGATGGATAACCGAAATTTCGGTGAAGACACCCGGAGACCGATTAAACGGGGCCGGCGACGAAATCCGGACCGGACCAAACGGCTGTTCAATTCAAAACTGGATTGCCACGGTTGCTGTCTCTTCCCGCAGGTGCATGGTGCATTATGCAGGTGATTCGACGCTTGTTCGTACGTGCATGTGCGTCGTGCATATGCAGTGGCCCGGTGCGTTAAGGTTGAACCTTACATACGTGTCGCCACTGCGGGTCTGGCGGGCGAGCGATTGGGCGGTGTAGGAGATATATGTATTTACAACGTCATTCGTCTGATTGGTGGGAGCGAACTGTATGAAGATTCTAGGTTCGTAGAACTTATTATAGATCATACATTGAAATTAAGCTTCATCGTAGTTTCCATCCGGTATTCATTCGTGCTGTCCTGGTGAAGCCGGGGAAGGTACGATAGCGAATTTATGTGGGTCGCCGGAGCCCCGTGCGCCACGCCGTAAGCCACCCCCTGATCTCAAGCAAAATTGGAGGTATCGTAGGAATCTCCTTGGAGTTTGATTTTCCCATATCATAGCTGATATTGGAGTTAGCCGAAGGTAAAAGATTTGGCTAAATATTTGGATATGATTGGGCAAATTCTATTATTTATAAATCTTGAAAAAATTCCAAGCATCGGTTGTTAGGTGGCGTCTTTTAAGTACTTACCTATAATATTAGCTTCGGCGGCCAATTTCCACCTGAGATGATGCAGTAAAAAACATCAAATAACTCGTACATAGTTTCTTTTACGTCATTGATAGATATCATATCTTTAGTATGATAAAAGTGGAAATGAATATATTTGAAGTACTTAGGATCTGTGTACATGGTGCAATTAGCTAACACTACTGTACGAAATTTAGTCTACGACAACCAGAGAGATAACGACGATCTATAAGGGCATGAAAGGGAACTTCAAGTCGTTACATAGATGTTAGAAGCATGCATCACTCTACCATGTAGCAATTGCTTAATGAGATGTCTATTTTTATATCCCCAGAAGGGCTATTATATCTCGAGCATTTTATTGACTTCTATACTTTTATCTCTAGATCAAAGTGATCAATATTGAAGGAAAGGTCGATGCGAAATACAGTAGACTACCTATGTAACTATGTAGAACGCGACTCATATAAATGGAACGCAACTGCACTGGCTTCAACAATGGGCGCAGCTACCCGCAACTCACCAATATCTCTAAAGGCAATAGCGATTCTGCACTTGCTCTTCTTTTAGACCCCCTAGCATCGTTGTTACCTTATAGAACCGAAAATGCCTCGATCTCCACCGGTACTTGAGTACTCGATATGGACAACCCGTCTAGATTCAGTTCATCGGAAGTCGTAGCTGCTAATAGCTAATATCGAGGTATGCTGACTCATAAGGCAGTTGTTATGACTTGGCACTGGTTTAGAGGCCACGCTCCAGCCACCATGACACTTACTTATATATAGCCTACCATAACGATAGATCTAAGTATAAGATGCAGAAGCGATAGTAAAACCGTGTATCAGTCTCCGAAAAACGTAAGTGCTTGCCTCAAATCATATGTTGTTGCTGAACCTGTGGTATGAGCCTTGACCTATTATTCATTCTTTCTACGACTATGTGGTTAGTATATAGCGTATCATAGTCGAGTATTCAAAGAATAAAGGTTCTAATTGGAGTTTGGTAATGTTTGCTATGGGACTTATGTGTCAAACGACCTCTGTTGACTAAGCATTGCTCTTCTCATTTGTATTTGAAGATTCAATCCATCCCTATAAATGCGCTAGATGGAAATAGCGCCTTTTATTATCTGTTCGTAGTTTCCAAAACGGCGAGTATTATATATCATGTTGGCTACCTAGGTAAGTAACGAATCATGGAATAGTAGAGATAAGATGAAGCCCACACGGTAGAGGAAGGCACGTACAATTCTTGACCATATATAATCTAGACATTGAACGAATTTAAATATCTTTTCTTTCCCTCCTCATGTTCATCCAGAGCGTCGCTACCGTTTTCTATTTTATCTTCGGCTGCGGTGATTATTATCTCTTAGATATTATCACTTAATTTACCAGAATCGCTACTTGGAATCATCTACATAGTCGCTCAGAGCTCTCATTTTAGCCACTCAGATCTTACAGAGCTGTGTCTAAACTTCGACTACCGCCTTCCTCCTACTATCTGACTGGTAAGTTCCCGTAACCTCAAAAGTTCCACCTCTCTGGCTTCCTACCTATGAATGCCTCTCACATAATGTCTCTTATATCTTGACCTTTGCATCATACAATTCTTGGCGTCTATATCTATACTGACCGCCCTCTAGAAATATTTGCATGGAATCCCTTAACCTGTCCCTCTAGATAGAGTCGAGTTGAAACCTGGATACTTAGGCCAACCATTACTTCTATTCGCCACAAGCATTCTGCTATTCGATATGGCGGACGGACTACCCGGCTTTTCTGTGCTATCATGCTATTGTACGTGTGAGAATTGCTTACACGGTTATCAAGAAAATTGCATAATTGCTCGTAAGCAGCATCGGCATTCTCAAACAGTGGCGACAATGTGAGTAACAGATACTTCTCTCCCTATAAGTAAGTAGGGCATAAAGAACTGACTGGAAGGGAACTATAGCTTGACAAACAGTGACCATAAGATGCTGGAGATAGGCTATACCGCTTACCAGCAGAAGCACTATGTCACCTGCCATTCCAGCCTACTCTGCTATTGGTCTGCCACCATTCGAGATGCCGTCTACGCCCAAGCAAACCCCGTGCGTTGCATCTGGATCGAGTTCGAGCACAAAGATGAACAAATAACCGCTCTTTGGAAGCAGGTCGTCCAGTGGTGCTACACCGGAAGGCTCTTCGACCCGACAAGCGGCAGCGACGCCTCAATCGGCACGGCTGACGACATCGAGTTGATCTGGAACGTAGCTGTCAGTCTCGAGATGAACGAACTTGCTAACTATTGCATGCATCTCATCATCGTCAAGTACTCCTGGGGCATCACGAGTCGCGACACACTAAACAAGAAGATCCATCCTCGCGACAGCCCCTATGACGCCTGGGGCCCCTACCACGTGTTCATCAATTGCTACAAGCTGGGTGTTAGACATCGCAAGCTGCTTGAGTTCATGGAAGAGTTCATCGGCGCGTGTGGACCGCTGGCGCCGCGTAAACGCGCACGCGCTAGCCCGGCGACTCAACAGAGCTGGCAAACCACGTGCGGGGACAATGAAGACTTCCGCGACTGGATCGAACAATTGGGTGGTCTTGAGCATGAGCGAGTTGAGGCCGTGCTGCCAACACACTCCAATCAGTGGGATACGTACATGATACCAGCCCATCCTAGAGTCCCGGATAATATCCACCAATGGTCAGAGGCGCACGATGCGAATACCCAGTGGGACAGTAATCCTGTGGATCTTATGGGAGCCTATGGGAATGCAGGTGACGCACAGGGTCCTGATTTCCAATGGACGTTCTATACTGTAGCTGCTGGCTGGATTTTTTAGATAGGGCCGAGAACGAGATATTTCCGAAGGGTTTCGCGTATGATTCAAGGGATGCGGAATGACCTGGTTTACTGAAGGGGGGGGAGTTTGGGGGATATACCCCCCAAAAATTATTGCCAATATGTTGTAGGTAGAAATACCTTAGATATCACAGAAAAACATCGCTGTTTTCCCATCCTATAAATTCACACCGTGACACTTTCAATAGAGGCCGACTGTTTGTAAGCTAAGATTCTTTAGCAAGTTTCCTGAGGGGGTTACTTGGTGAATATGTACCTATTACCCCGCCGTCATCAACGCCACACTGATTTCTGATTAAGTCAGCACTGGTCCATCAATTCCACAACTCTCGGGCTCTGGCATAAAAAAGTCAAGAAAATCATGTATCGTAGTTTTTGATGCTGTAAGGAATATTAGACTTAAGTGCGAGAGGAAAGAAGCAAGGCGTGTCATCAAAATTTCATTTCATCAACTCAGCTGGTCTCATAGAACAGGATGCAATAAGCCAGGACCATCACACACAGCTTCCAGTTTAGAACCATGGCTCGTAGATGGAATTACTCTATAACCATCGCCCAATCACGAGCGCCTCGCCACGCCATCGTAAAAGTACAAGCCCAATTTTCGTTCGGCCAGACAGTCCATCTATCCCTCCATCTTATCATCCTCGTCCTCATCCTCATCGTCTTCGGAAATAGCCTTCTTAGCCAGACGCTCGGCCTCTTCCAGCAGCTCCTTCGGCACGTCCTGGTGCCGGCCCTTGGTGGGGCCGTCGACGCCGCTGATCCAGCTCATCTCGAGCTCGAACTCCTTGTCCTTGTTGTCCTGCTGCGCCACGTAGATGATGCGCGCGGCCTCCTTGACGGCTTGCTTGAGGTCCAGCGTGCCCTCGGCTAGGTTCAGCTTCTCTAGTTCCGCTTTCGCCGCCTGTCGCCCCTTCCCCGTGGCCGCGCCGTAGTACCCCCAGTACATCCCGCTCGGCTCGATCATGTACAGGCCCGGCCCGCCGTGCCGCTTGCCCTCGACCTTGCCGCCGGCGCCGACGGACGGACCTGATCCTACTTCCCCGTCGACCGGAGCCTCGAGCTCGGAGTCGAAGCCGCCAATGATGGCGGTGATGCCGAAGGGTCGGACGGATTGGTACAGCGTGTACGCTTGTAGGTATCCCCCCATACGGCTAGCGAGGTCGGATGTCGAGATCGGCGTCTTGAAGGTATCACGCCAGGATCGGGCCTCGTCCCGGGCGCGGTCGACGAAGTGCTGGCCGTCGGGTACCATGCCGGAGAAGACCTATATAGGCAAAACACGAATAATTAGCCATGCCAATCTTTAATGCAAGCTTGCATGACATAGGAAAGGGAATGGGAAAAGAGAAAGCGGGGAGAATGCAACATACAACTCCTAGATGTCGGTCGACGGTCCCGATCCGCTTGTTTGCGCCGGGCTTTAGTAGCTTGGATGTGACGACCTTCTCGACGGCCAGGACCACGCCGTCCTTGCATCGGATGCCGACGGAGGTTCCGCCGTTCTCTACCGCCTTCACCGCATATTCGACCTGGAAGTTACGTCCGTCCGGCGAGAAGATGGAGTTGGCGAGATCGTAGCCCGTTCCTATCGACGTCTATTTCGAAAGAAGGATTAGCTCCGGTGGGGTAAAGTTTGGGGGAATTGGACTCACCATGTTGTATCTTATGTGGGTGGCGGACTAAGTGTGTGTGTTCTGTAAGTTTGGAGGGTGAATTGCGGTGGAATGAAGCTCGACGGATTTTGGTGATGTTTGACGAGGGAGCTTCATTCGTTAGGCAACTCGAAGCTGCGCGTTGCAGTTGGAGCTTGCCTAAGCCAAGGTTCAACAACCGCTAAGCTGTGGCTGAACCTTAGCCTTGTGGATACCTAGCAGCCACATGAGGCGTATACCATTGATTACATAATTATATAATTGCCTAACAGCCTGGAGGTAGGGATGTGGGTATCGAATGATCTGCTAACCAATATGAGTAAGAAATTGAAGGTTAAACTGACGACAATTTATCTTCCGAACATCACACCATGTAAAGTGCCCCTTTCTTATATCTTCTCATGTGTTTTGTGTCTAGAGCTAAATCAGTATTATTACGGTACTCGTTAAGAACTTGGAAATGTTGATATTCTTTGCTGATTCTATTCCCCACTTCCCTTATGTACCTAGGTACCTATGTACATGTTATTTCTACTTCTCCCTTTCTTTGTAATATCTCTAAACTTGCATACGTCATACTATGTTGAAACATAACTACGTTTACTTAAACCTTGAGGCCGTGAGGATTTGCTCAAGATACAGTCCAGTCGTCTCACCTGTGACCTCACTGATATGTCACTTAGATTCGATCTACTTGGCGCTAGACGCTGGAAGAAGTGATATCAGAAAATGTAATATCACCAGTATGCGAGTTACTCTCATCCAAGACCTGTTAGGAACAAGGCGACGAAGAAATGTCTAGCTAGGCCTTAAGAAACTTGAGAGGCTACCTATTGCAAATTGCATCGGGTTCAAAAAGAAGAGCTCAACAGGGTCCTCCACGAGATACTAGACTCTAAGAAATCGACGGCTTCTGCGCCACATAGTCTGATATGCAAAAGCGCCACCCGCAGTTTCGTCATCGTTGTTTAGGGCTGGCAGTGCAAGACTTGAACTATCGCTTCAACGATTTCGGCTGTCATCCAGAACGTATCACAATGGGTGGATCTTCGCGATATCATTGTCAGCATTTCAGCTACCCCAATGCTAGAACCATTCATGCTGCGGGATACCACATTATGATTTAATTCCAACCGTAAACATAAGCAAATGCCTTGTGCCGAGATTCTGCAGCGATGGGTGGGCACTGTTGGCACGGTTGGCGTTTGGATCGGGATCTATTCCAAAGTAGCAAGCCACCAGGTACTTGCTAGACAATGAACGAGCGGTCACGACGAGAGCTGGAAACTCGGCCGAAAGTACCCGAAAACTTCCCGTTTACGGCTGAGACCGCAGCCAAAAATCTCATGCTGTCTAACTTGACGAGAAGCTAAAAGCATATGCGTGGGTGTGCTTCGTTGGTCAGTGCGGTATTAATCACTTCGTGGATGGGTGGGATGAGGAGCATGTCGACAATAAAATTTTCCACGTAGAAACTCTTCTGCTTTTTAAAGGCTGCTCAGCTCTGATGGAGTGGGTGGGAAAACGGGCAAATGAAGCACCATAGGTCGCTTACCTTAGTAATTGGGTGGATTTTCGATTACTACTATTAGTGAAATTGTTCAAGATTCTGTGTGACGAGGGGCAACTTTCTGCCGCGTAAGATCGGCAAAAATAATTGCTTTCTAACCACATGTATCTGGGAGACTCTTCATTCTATAATCTGACATTTTTGCTTTTGTCGCTGGGATGTGTATCTCGAGGCGTTGTGTGTAACCCAATATGTGGCAGTGTGGTAGACCGATATGCGCGGCTCCTTGGCGCCCATGATTACCTGCCTACATTCGGCATAATAGCTTGGTTTTGTCAAGGTCCAGATCGTGAATTCTATATCATCAAAAAGCAGAGTCTTCTATGTAACTGTCATAATCTATATATTTGTCCAAGTGTTTATTCCCCTTTAACAAAGCAATTCCGTGTATGATACCTTGGTACCTATAGAAATTAGCCCGAACTCCGCACTAATCTCATTTATTGAAGAATCTTTATGATATAAGTGGCTTTAATATTGTGGATAGCGGGGTATGGGAATAGACATGGTTCTATACTTTCATTGTCGTAATCCCCGATGTCTACATCTTGAAGCTGTAATATTCGCTATTGTATTGAGTTTCCTACCTATTTACTATACCTATGTAAATGGACAAATTTATGATATTTCCGGTAAATATGTGGCGATTTCCGTGGATGTGCTATTGCCATATGTTACATTTGGAGAATCGTGTGATATTGACAAGTCAACTACATCTTCGGTAATAAGCACTGATGCTAATAGCATTAGGTTAAGAATTATCCGGATTTCATAGCTTCTCTTCATTCGGAAAGGGCACAATTATGTCAGTTTACCTTGAGGTGTAAATGTGTAACATATATTACCTATATCAAGAGCCGTTGTAATCATGTCATCACTCTGGCGTTACCAACATAACCATCAGATTTTAGCTCTTGTCAAGTTACACAATTGGAACCCTATACCAACTGAACATGTTGCCGCATGATCCCATTGGAAACAAAGGTCTTTTCAATGTAGTGCTTGGATAAAAGCATTCGCGGTTTAGCCCCCAAAGGCTGGTCACCGCAAATAGCGCCGGGTACTATGACTATGTCCAGAAACTGCAGAAAACTACCAGAGAGAATGTCCTGTTGGTACGCCAAGAAACCTGAGTTATCCATAAGCCCGAATCGCATCAAGTTGCCAAAATTTTATATTCTCTGTAAGCTGATAAAGTGATATCTCCTACACCAACAAGAGGTTATAGGCGGATAAAATGGTAGTTGCAAATGTGCAATATGCCACACACGTGTAATAATCGAAGAGGACTTCTTTGAGGCGAGTCGTCCTAAGTATCGGGGAAAACGAAAAGGAATTATTCGCCTTTTAGATTGATTTTCATATGGTCGTTGGAGGCTTTGTTCCTCCTTGTCGAGTCCCTGAGACGATATGGTGGCCGCTTTCGGTAATTCTACCAACTACCGATGTAAAAGAAATAGGACCCGGTCATAGGGGCCATGAAAGAGCGTATTGATATGTTACACGAAAGAAGAACCTAAGGCGCGTGTTAAAATCGTGCTGCCCGTGGTATTCCATGTGGAGAAACTGGGGATAAAGAACTTGTAATGCATGGCTAGAACCATACTATTGAGTAACATGGTCAGCAGTCGTATACAAGCCAACCTCTACTCGGTTCTTGCCTTGATCTAACATGAAAAGATAGCGCGAACCGAACCCCATTCTATGCTTTCGCATCTTTGTCGGCACTCCGAGGCCGTACTTGCTTGAGACAAACATGGATGTGGCGGCCCCGAGAATATCAGTGGCAACTTCCTTGTGACCATATCCCTAACTAACAATGCAGGTGCTTTTGCGAGTTTAGCTCGAGAGCTTAGATTAAGCTTTCAACATGTGTGACAAGAGATATATAAGCATATGCTGCGAATCCGCCACCATGTGAGTCGTGATTTCAATCCTTGTACTGGACTTACACGACAAGGCTCCTTTTCTAAAGAACCCTAACGTCTGTATCCGGATATCGGTAGTTCTCTTGGCTCTCACCTGCGAACTATTGCTATAGTACCACGCGTTGTGATAAACCGAAACCAAGATCGAAATGGGTTCCATCGAAATGACCAATGTCGAAGAGCTGGACGCCCTTATCATTGGGGCGGGTTTTAGCGGTGTATACCAACTCAAAAAGTTGCGTGATGAAGGCTACAAAGCCAAAATAGTCGAGGCCGGCGATGGCTATGGCGGCATATGGTACTGGAACCGCTACCCAGGTGCTCGTGTCGACAGCCACGCACCTCACTACCAGTTCTCCGACCCCGAACTCTGGAAGAACTGGCATTGGAAGCAACGATTTCCCGGCCACGCAGAGCTACGGGAATACTTCGACTTCGTGGCAAAGAAGTGGGACTTAAGAAAAGACACATACTTCAATACTTATATCACTTCAGCCCATTGGGATGAGACCGAGTATAAGTGGATCATCAAGGCTAAGGATGGTCGAACCTTCAAGACAACATTCTTCTTACCACATACTGGAATCGCTGCAAGTAGAGCAGTCCCTGACTGGAAAGGAATATCCTCTTTCAAGGGCTTGATTGTTCATTCATCGTATTGGCCACACGATGAGCCCGAGCTAAAAGGCAAGAAGATTGCCACCGTTGGGACTGGCTCCACTGGCGTCCAGATGTCCCATGCCATTAGCAAGGTGGCAGATGAGCTCGTCGTCTTCCAACGCACACCCGCCATGCCATTGCGCATGAGGCAGATCGACTATGCCGATGACGAGGAATCTATTCCCAAGTCGGAGCATGAGGACTTCTTTAAGACTCGTTCCGTTGGATATTGGGGATTCGACTTCAACCCCATGCCAAAGAATACCTTTGACGACGACGAAGCTTCACGAAAAGCCACATATGAGTCTCTGTGGAAAGAAGGCGATTTTACGTATTGGCTCGGCAACTACGCAGACACGCTATTTAGCACCGAGGCCAACCACGAGGTCTACAAGTTCTGGCGAGAGAAGACCCGGGCTCGAATCAACGACCCGAGACTCAAGGAGCTCCTCGCCCCCACAGAGCAGCCGTATCCATTTGGCTGTAAGCGAGTTCCTCTCGAGCAAGGTTACTTCGAGATGTTCAACAAGCCCAACGTACATCTAGTCGATGTAAACGATACCCCCGTCGTCGAGGTAACCGAGAAGGGCATCCGAACAACAGAGAAGGAGTTTGACTTTGATGTAATCAGTGAGTTTATCCAGATCACAACTGCATCATCACCACTATCAACACATACTAACCCCCACCCTCAGTCCTCGCGACAGGCTTCGACGCCGTCACTGGCGGTCTAACCACGATCGATATCCGCGGCATCGGCAACCAAAGCCTAAAAGAGAAATTCTCACAACACGGCCCCACAACCTACTGCGGGATCTGCGTCTCCGGCTTCCCGAACATGTTCTTCTCGTACGGGCCACAGGCGCCGACGGCGTTCTGCAACGGACCCACATGCGCGGAGCTGCAGGGAGACTGGATCGCCGACGTGATGAACAGCCTGCGCCGCGCTGGAATCAGCAGCATCGTCGCCGATGAGGCTAGCGAGAAAGCCTGGGTCGACCATGTTGAGAGCGTGGCGTATGCGTCGCTGCTGCCGCAGGCTAAGTCTGTAAGTCATACTATATAACCCGTCGTCACTATACGTGAAGGTAGAACGAAGCTAACGTTATGGGCTCGGTAGTGGTACATGGGCGACGGCATCCCCGGGAAGCCAAGAGCGTCGCAGATGTACCTGGGCGGCGTGCCGAATTACCACGCGAAGCTGAAGAGCTGCGCGTCGAGCGGGTATAAAGGGTTCCGATTCGAGGGCTTGAAGGTATGATGTGATGTGTATATATATGATGGTCTTAGCTTAGGACAGCGCCGTATTTATAAATATAAACACGATTATATCTCTGCTAAGCAGTCTGAATTGTTACCTAGGATTTGAGAGATTAGTGACTTTTACACATAGTAGGCAATAAGAAACCTAGTTGCGAATATGTTTCTCTTTGTTCAAATAGATAGGTAACGTTTGGTCGGAGTTTGGTGTTATTGTTGTTTGCTCGAATCCAGCGATAGCAATCTCTAGATAGAAGGGTTAGCTACTAAATCCCCTGTAATCACAGGGACTTAGATACTGCACCGCGCTAAATATACGGGGGATTTAGCGATTTATCATAGCGAGTGGCTTTCGGCCAATCAAAGCGCGATGTAAGCTACAATCAAGTAGGTGCTTCATACCTGAGCTTTATTCAGTTGCGCTCGCATCGAAACTGCTTCAATTTATCCCTTTTAAGGTTTATCCAAGCTCATTTTCAAAGCGCCTTTAATTGATGCTATAGAAGAAGCTTCCATTTGAATTTTGAGGCCGTTATTTAGGTTTAAACGCGCTCCTATGTTAATTGATCGAAGAATAGATGAAAAAACTAAAAATGGTCGCGTGGCCTGTGCTCAAGACGTCATGTGACCCTTAATTTAAACCTTGATCTCAAGGCGCAATATGATTGGTCGGGAGATTATGCGCTATAAAAGTTCACTGAGCCCCCTTATAAATTTAGCGCCTAATAGCTTCTAAATTCCCTGTAATTACAGGGGGTTTAGTAGCTAAATACGGTATATTACAGTTACAATACGTGCTGTGGATAAACTGATATAGGGGGATGCCTCTGTTTGATGTTTAATTACCTGTCTTACAGCATCTAGCCCCCTAGCGAATTGGGAGACGTTATATGATTCCTTACCTTAGGTCTATTATTTGAAATGTTATACCTTATGGTTTGGAACCGGGTGTTTACTCTTATTCAGGCATTCACTAATAGAAGTAGTTTACTTCTAGTAAGTCCGCATATGTGTTTTACCCCTTTTATTATGAAATAAGCAATTGTTTGCCTGCGTATTCAGCGATTCCTTTTTTGCAAGTAAGCTCATACATACGAGCTAGGTCTTGAATCCATACCCAGTATCCCGATCAATATAGTACTGTCACTTATTGTCGTTATACTAACACCGGTGATAGTTCCAATCTTCATGCGACGATGATCCATGGATCTAACACCCAATGTTTGATTTTTGCCGTAATAGCTTCAATCGTTTCTTCCCGATTGTGGGTTCAGATCTGAACCGTCCGTTTCCATGGGTTCCTCAAATGCGAGTGCGAACATCGAGTCGCACTGATGTACGACGGCGTCAATATTTATTCGCATGATAAGCTCGTCAATTGGTAGGTCCTCGTAGTTGGGAGCATTGCTCCCGACTACGTAATTGTCAGCTAATTCTCTGTTTATAGGTAGGTACCTAAACTTGGAGTTGGATAAAACTTACGGAGAGCCTCCTGGAACTCTTTGGAGATCTTGGTGACCATGTCTTCTGTTGTACGGCCTATATCATCTATGGCTTTACGGCATATACCTCGCAGTGTGTTCTTCACTATCGAGGCAGCGTAATGGAACATGTTGTTACGATGAAACATAACTACAACAACAGGGGTTAGTAATTCCCTTTTTGAGAATGAGTTGTCCATGTTACGTACCGTGACGATCCATTACTACTTTCATACGATCGAGACAACCTGGGCCTTGTTCAACAGCACAAATCTGGTAAGCAGGTAGCATGGCAGTGCGGATGGCAGGGATGAACTGTCGATTGGCATCTCTTTGAACCATAGTAATTTGCTTACGCCAGTGTATGGACAGCTGATGCACCGAACGCTTATAGGTTGATACCTGACCAAGCAACGCGGTAAACTTGGCTATATCCGTACGTTTTTGGAATTGTGCATTGAGAGCCACGTGAAATCGGTCTAACTCGTTCTTGTTCCTGGCCACAAATTCTCGAAAAGTATTCGGCACTCTGTTTTGGAATGTATTGTCCCAACGCTGTATTATCGTCCGAGACATCGGCCGGAAGAGATCTTGGTTGAAGTTGTTGATTCCGGTGGCACCTTCAAAATATCCATTTCTTCGACATACTGCTCTGTATGTCGACCAGGTCACACCGCCTTGACTCTTAGGCACACCCCAACTTGTTGCGACAGCAGGGGCTGCCCTCCTGGCTCTGATGACACCCGCATCGACACCGCGGTAAATGTCGATTTCGAAATCTAAATTAAGTGTGTTCCCGAACTTGCGCGTAGACGCCTTGAATCCCTTCCCAAAGTGTTAATAATAGCTAATCTTCTTAATGTAAACGAAATTTTAAGCATACCTCAACGAGCTCTGTCAGATACTTTCTGAGATACAATTCATCGAGCTGTATCTTATCTTCTGTAAGCGCGTTCCTACTCTCGCTGCCAAGCTTCCATAGTCTTATCGAGTTGATTAGGCGAGCCAAGTCGTTCAGAATCTCCTGGCAGTTGATAACACGATCAGCTTCCGTTATCTTCTTGGTGTACTGTTGGAGTTGTGGAATTTCGGTGTCTTCAGCAGACATAAATCCGCGGTTGCCAATATGGCTATTGGCAGATTCACTTCTAAATTTCCCATAGACTTTGCTGCTTGTGCAAAAAATCTTGGGAGGGTCGATCTTTGTATAGTCGGAAACGTGATCTTTGTTAAACCTAGATTTTCTCAGCAGAAGAATATAGATAGAAATATATTAGACGTATCAAGATATACTTACTCTTCGGTTTCGGCTTTGAACTTTTGCAAGAGTGTGTCTCGTAGGAGACCCTTCAACTTATCTATGTCTCCTTGGGCAAGTTTTCGGCGATTCCTAGCCGACTGCGAATTTTCCTAGTTCTTCGAGTCAATCTTAGACGTAGCGTTAGCTTGGTCTTTGCTTCTAGACGAATCGTTGATCTTGCGGTGTTTGCGACTCTTTCCCGGGCTTTCCGAACGCCCTCTCTTCTTGTCACCATTAGAGTCGTGATGAACTGTTTCGCCGTTCAATTGTTGATTGCGATAACCGTTCCATATCCCCTTGTTAAAGTCAACTTCGTTGGCTTTTTCTCTCGATGCTCTTCTCTCCGTTCTCGATTTTCCAAGAGGCGACTCAACCCTCTTCTCGGAGATCTCTAGATCTTGTACTCCGCTCCTTAACTTAGAAAATTCTTTTTCGGTGAAACCAGGAAACTTATCGAGACGTGTGGCATCTGTATCTGAGACAATGAGAGTAGTGGCGGATTGTATACCATCGTATGTTAGCTGCTGCTTGAAAGCTTTGCTGAGCAGAGGTTTATCTCGGCCGGTTTCAAGATCGGGTGATGCCGGTACTACGACCCATATACCAGCACATGACTTCATATACTCTTCTGCTGCAGCTACTTGAGCAGAATTGGAATCTGATTCTTGTGTGTTGGGCTAATCTGTTAGCACGGAACGGTACTCAGAATAACCGGAAATGAAAGGACCTACTATATCTATGAGCTTTACCCCTGTCGAGAGCGCATCTGCCTTGGTATAAATTCGGATACTTTTTACCAGAGGGGCATATGAGATCTTTCCGTGCTCCGCAAAATGGAAAGTCGGTTTGGCATCAACGTATAGACGTAGTTCATTAGAGAATGATTTCACAGAATCTGCTCCGAGATGAACGACTTTTCCGAGTCTTTCTCTGATGGGCAACGAATCAGCGACTTTACTCGGGCTACGTCCAATCATCGTTTCCTTAGTCTCATTCGGAAAGAAAGCCTTAAGCTTTTCCTCAGCAGACTCGGCTTCATCTTCATATCGTAGGTTCGTTAGCAAAGTCTCCAGCACATCAATCAACTCTGTTCTGTTAAGGAATTCCACATCAGCTCGGTACATCTTCTTAGAGTCAGCTGAGTCATTGTAGGTGAACTCGATCGGCATGGAAGGATCCTTGTTAACCGTGATTAATCTGAATAGATAATTGTTAGTATAAACCTCAGGCACAATAAACGAAAATACATTACCCTTCTTCATCGAGAACAGCATTAATTAGAGAACGTTTTCCAGAACCGGAACCGGGACCGGATATGACACCTATGGTTGCGCGAGCAGCTATACTGCGTTGTGTTAACTCGTCAATTGACTTGAGCCAATCCTTGACTTCGGGTATTTCTGTAGCAGTCATCGTAGACTTCAGTTGGTTTAGAAGGGCGTAACCAATGTTTACACCGCGTTCGAGAATCTCGGGATTAGTATTATCCACCAACTTCTCAAGATGGCTTCGTGTGTTCCTTGCGTTTTCATCCTGTTGCATTGTGCGAATAGAACGACCTGGTGGGGCATTGGAGACCGAAGTCTTGCCACCACTCACGTTCAAATCCATGGTTTTAATCGAGACTATAGTATCGTGTCCGAGTTAGCGGTGCTTGAACTTCATATGCGAGTGGTTGTGAGATGGTATGAAGGAAAATACAAGGGGTTTTAATTGAGGGATTTATTCGAATATTGATGAAAGTCAATATGAAAGTTAAAAAAAGGTAGATGTCAAAAGTTTAAGGAAGGGGGTAAGTCACGTCCATCCTCATGGATATGGAGAGTATAGCAGGAGCTATAGCAGGTGTTATAGTAGGTAAAGGTTGGGTAGGGTACTAACCTATGGTAATCGAAGTCTGATCAAGAGTAACCTTGGAAATGTAAGAAAACACAAAAAGATGTATGTAGAGAAGAGAAAATAAAATAAAAGGACTAGGTAATGAAATGTAGGTATTTATTATTTACCTCTATGAAGTATCTTGAGAATTTACAATTGATACGAAAGATGCTAGCCTTCTAGGAAACGTTCTTGATTTCGTGTTTCTCACGCTACTCACTACGGAGGACTCAATAAGAGCTCTGTAATCATGTACCTAACCTAGTAGTATAAAGGATGCTTTGAAGCTATACGCCGACTTGGAATTTCAAGTGTCTTGCAATCAATATCTCTGGTACAATGCTTGTATCATTGATCGAATATCAACTTTACACAAACATTCTAACAAGGTAGGTACTATAGGTCTCTCATCTTGGATCTCTTATGTATTACTAATTGCCCAGAATAGAGCGGGCCCATTTACCATGGTGGGCCGTCAAATATAGTAAAGTGACCGAAATGTCGTAGTCATATATACTTGGTCAAGTTTTACGTAACAGATAAAAATTCTATATTAATACTGGTAGCTAAGCACGGGGAAGCGTAAAATTTATAAGCTCGAATATCGGCTGTTACATGGCCGGCACGTCATGTAGTAGTAGCATCGCACCACCTCACCTAGGTAGTCTTCAAAGAAGAAGGGGTCCTCCCGGCACTCGCATCTGACAGATTCTCCTTGGTTTTGTTGGTGGTAACATCGTAGAGTGGTAGTATTTAAGATGCCATCGTCTACGCGGTGTTGCACGAGTTTGCCGAGAGGCAGGATTCGTCATATTTATATTAACTTCTCTGCAGAGAAATTTTCGACAGGGCTTTCCTTCGGCAATCCTGTCCCATTGTTACGAATTATGCAAGATTTCTGTTCTAAGACAAGGAGAAATGCCGTCCGTATAATCAATATCAACACGTTGGCGAACAAGCCTCCTAGTTAGATGCAATTTATCCGGTCCACTCTGCTTCTTCCCCTTCCCCTGACTACGATCCGGATCTAGCTATTCCCCGCATATTATCCCCTGCAGAAAAAGCTTATTTTATCACTAAATGTATTGTGCATTTCTATCGCCCTATAGCCGCGCGGTGTTATATGGCTGAACCTTTTTTCCCGACTGGTTCTAGATTCCCCTGAGCCGTGATGTTGGTCGTCGGCCTCATATCGAACGTTCGACCGAGAGGTGAGATATAGCTGAGCACGGCACGAAGATCTTTGACATGGATTCCTTTTCTTTCTACTCTGTTGCCATGGTCTATTTTAGTCCTAGGGGTATTGCGTTATCCCTGGGTCTATATTTCACTAGCCTGTAGCCCCATCCACTTGCATCTTTTTGTGAGGTGCTTATTCAAGTAAGATTTAGAAGTCAGCGCCTTTCATAGAAACAAGTATTTGCTATCTGAATAAGAAGGCCTGTTGGCTTCGAGCCTCAAGTATGGCAAAAATTTGGGGATTTGCGGCTACGTTGGTAGTCCTCTCATCGGTAGTGTCAGTTGTCCAGGCGCAGAACTATCCCTTAGTTACAGATTCAAGATGCAACTGCTACAGGACCAACACGACGACTTCTCACTACTTCACTCACCACCGCTTCTTCGATTTCAGAGATATGTCCCAGTATGTGCGTATACCAGCACCCATCAATGATCCTCAAGCCGCCACTGCCGCCCCGGTAACGAACAATTACTTCAACGACCCGGCATGGACGAGCGTGTGGTCTATCCAGAACTGGAACAATAGTCTTCTCATGAACGGGAGCTCGGACGTGACCGGAAGCGACGCCACGGTCCTTATGGTGAACTCAGCAAACAACATCTACTTCGACAAGAACCAAGATAAGGGAGCGGAATCTAAGACATATATGGTGATGCGGACGATGCGCCACGACAAATTCCAATCGGCTTCCGAGATAGAGTCTATCTCCCTAGGTTACCGGTACATTTCAATTCGCATGTACGCTCGGACGAAGGGCGCACCCGGGGCCGTGACGGCTATGTTTACGTTCCGCGAGGCGGCGCAGCTTTCGCTGGTACAGGAAGCCGATCTTGAAATCAGGACGGTGGACCCGACGAACTCGATCCAGTACACGAACCAGCCGTCGTGGAACGAGACCGGGGACATTCCCCAAGCCACACGCAACGTCTCAATGCCGAACCACGGGGATTGGTCGGATTGGCAATACCATCGAATGGATTGGACGCCGGGATCCACTAGTTGGTTCGTTGATGGACAACTGATGTCATCAATTCAATTCCAAGCGCCTCGGGACGCAAGTCGTATCATGTTCAACAGTTGGAGCGATGGCGGTAGCTGGAGCGGTAACATGAGTGTTAACGCTTCGGCGGAGATGCAGATCCAATGGATTGATATCGTTTACAACAGTACGGACCCGGTTCCCGGAAACCCGTTTTTGAACCCGGGTGCTGGAGGAGCATGTGCGAACACGTGCAGTATCGACCTTACTTCAAAGACCGGTACACCGGTGTTGATTTCTGGACCTTCAGGTATGAGATACGTCCTCTAATATCAGGTTGGAATGATACTAACATTTTTTAACTCATAGGCAACAATCCTGCCCCTGGAAACGGTAATTCCCCAGGGGCTTGCACTGCGGCTAAGTGGGGGCAATGCGCTGGGAAGACGTGGAGTGGATGTACGGCCTGTGCCGCGGGGACATCGTGCAAATTCCAGAATGATTATTACTCCCAATGCCTTTGAAGGATGGAATTCTATTATATTAGCGTTGATTTACAGTTGTTTTTTCTTACCCAGTTGATACCAGTAATAAATACTTACCTGCGCGGATTCGAATTCAATGATGAGACTATGATTTCAAAAAGAAAAAAAAGAAACGGAAAAAGGAATTGAGGACGAAAATTTAGGATAAAGGTTTCACTCAGCCACATTCCTTGCTCAGTGCGTGATTAAATACACAATTGGTGAATACTGTATTAAATTGAAGCTAGGTAACCTTAGAAGATTTACCTAGTAGACCTAAGGGTGACCTATCCGCTAAGATTTAGTGGATAGCCGCTATAGCCCAGGGAACTGAGCCACTGAAGAAGAACAACACACAGTATAAATCCTTTTATATTACACGGCTTTTTCCCATGCCAAAGCTTAATAGGGGAAATGTCCCCTCCATATATGGAGACAAACGCAACGGAATATTAAACCACCTTGCATTCTCTACTTCACCGAGACGTGATATTCAATCTTAATTTTACCTAGATTCAGAATAATCAGCATATTATGATACGTCCTCCCATATCAACCCGCGGGCGATCTCGCATAGACGAAGCCACGATGATACATTGGAGACAATCGGCGAGCATCACCACAAAGCCAAATTCTTGCGAACGATAACCTGTTTTCCATCAATATGGCTTCCCTCGCCCGGTTAGCTAGACGTTTCGATAATCCCGCTGACAGGCTAATAATCAACAGCTCTCGTTGGTTTGGCTCATTTCGTGGCTTGAGTCCGTGCAGAGATCTCTTCCCGGTCTGGATCTCGCATGCATACAATCGAGCCAGATCAGCAGATATCGCGGGCGATCCTTCTATATAAAGCCCTTTTTCTTGACCACGGGGTTAGAAAAACGTCGATGTGGTTCGAGGCGCTATGATGATTTACGACCGGCGAGCGTAGCTGCATACCTACCTAATACCTCGCGCGAATTGCCTAGGTGGGTAGGTATCTGCTTCTCCCGTCTTTCGTGGCGGTAGATCTAGGCGGTGTGGTGACGATGGCCTGAGATTGGCTATCTCTCTGCAGAGCCTCAGGTCTACGATAGGTGCCGCCAATATAGATAGGGCTTAGACGAGTCTGCTATAGCACACCCCACGGAATTGAAACCAGTAACGAGGGGACACGGTGTTCGTTACCCAATTGTTTCGCGAGGAAGCGACCCCGCCAGCACGGACGACGAAAATTGTGGCGTTCGTGCGAGCTCGATAAGTAAGAGCCGGTATCATTCAAGGTTGCAGATTCGATCTGACCTTAGTCAGACAGGGCGACACAAGGGCGTGGGGGTTTTCGTCTCTTTCGCAATCTCTGCGCGCGGGAGACGAATCCCACGCGAGCACGAAAAGCCCAAGAAAAAAAAAGAAAACCACATGGAACCCCGGTTTCAGAAACGTAGGTGTTGCGGGGAGTTGCGAATATGCCTTTTCTTTTCCTATTATCTACCTACCTACGTAGGTACACGGTAAATTTGCCCATGACGAGGTAGCCGTGATCGCTGTTGTGATTTGTTGGCACGAGAACTGTCAGACTGATATATCCAATGGCCATTGTCGACGGTGCTGCAGCTCGCGACCTGCGGTCTCAGAGGCTTACGTATGCGCGAGCCCTTCGTGCTTCTCGAAACACGCGACGGGAGCATCCGCTACCCAAGCCCTACAAACCCAGGCCTCGACCGGCCGGATTCCCATTCCGGTATCAGGGGTCGCCAATCCCAGCAGGCTCTGCCAATCCTCGTCGGCGCCGGTGGCATGGTACGAGATACGGGATCCATGCCGTTATAACCGAGCATGTAAATGGATTGGTGGTTAATCTGTTGGGTTATTTCTGGAATGATGACGCAAGTCGTGATAGCGACTTTTTACCCTCGATAACGAAAATGCTGTATTACTTAAGCAGTCTTGATCAGCGCCTCGACAACAAGCGATAGGAGCTGAAGGATTGCGCGGCCTCCAACCAGCCGCTATCGACGGAAAAGCAAAAACATTTCCAACCAACTCCATCTAAGCGAGAGATAAGAAGACGGGTGATTGAAGCAATCTATTGGTATTGTGCACCGTCTTACCGTCGACAAAATCGGGCAAAGTAAGTGATGCCATAAGTTTGCTTCGGCTCATTAGCGAGATACATATCTCTTCTTCGTTTCACTCATATGAAACTAAACCCGAACCTAAGTGGAACAGATTATTAGCTAACCGCAGTTCGCCTCGTGGGATAAAAAGGCATTCTGGGTCCCCCTCCTCTCGTTAGTGCTGACTGCATATTCCAGCGCATCTTTTCCCAGGTTTCTTCGCCACGCAGCGCAGCGCAGCCGAGGAAAACGCGGTGCGAACCCCACGCTATTTCCTATGCACACCTAGGTAGCTCAGCAGCTCGTTTGCCGGGTGCCGACATGGTTCTGCGTTGCATCCAACGCTCGCCCCCAACGTGCAGCGTGCGATCCAAAGTAACGCAACGTGTTTCGTTACTGTGTATCAGACATTTCTCTCGTGTTCGCATGTGAGAACGTTTTGAGCAGGTGGTAAAGACGTAGAAGAGGGGGAAATGTTTGACTAGAGGGGGGCCAATTTGTCATTTATAATTAGATAATCTACCGTACATGTCTAGGAACGGTTCCAGTCCATTTGAGGGAAACGTGGGGAAAGAAGGTAACAAACCTCCGAAGAAATAGACGTCCTGATTGGTCGTGGGGGTCACGAAATCCTGTCCATTTATTCGGGTTCGGGGGGGTAGATCGCTTGGTTTCTGCATTATTACCTGACCGTGGCAGCGTGGTAGTCTGGAGAAACTAGAAACTACGTTCCCGTGTTGTGAGTTGTGAGGAACACCGTCTTCCTAAGGGAATCCGATGATGTGAAGACTTTGTTTGCTTAATACTCACCGGCGTAAGCCCTAAGCACCTCTAGTTACCCGATGCGGACTCATCGGCCCTCTTGTCCAATAAACATCGCGAGACCAACCCGAGAACTGTGCCGTATGATATACCTATTCCCTCAGCATCACATAATCCGTGTCATCAATAACACGGCCACTTATGCCCCCTCCGAACGGCCTTTGGAGACCTCTTTCGGACGGGAAGCCTGAAACCGAACTAGCCAGAGCAGGACAGAAGAGGGGGTCAAATGCCCGACGTTGGATTCCCTTACCTACAAGTCTCTTGCCACTCTCTGTTTTTGCTATAGTACCTCCGCGATCGCAACATGCGGCCGCAGCTGAGTTGGGTTTCAGGGCCATAGGACGTCCTCCTATTACTAAAATTACGTTGCAGTCATGTCATGCCAGGCTCGTAAGATTGGAGCTTAGACCGATTTAACGGGAAGTTGGATCAGCAAACAAATGGTAGTTAAAGGGTTTCTTTGAATGGGTCGGAAAACCAGGTCGCGGAGAATAGCAACCGAAAGATCCTCCTACCCGCATTTACGTATGTGGTGGTTCTTTTGCGATGGTGGCGGTGGGCGGTGTTTTTTTTTGGGTTCGGGGGTGCCGTCGTTGGTGAAAATAGGTAAAATACCTAGGTAGGTATGTGGTACTTTGACATTACATACATACCCGACGTAGACTTACAGGATGCTACCTCTTGATGCATAACATTCACCAGCTCGGGTAAATATCCATACGTTGTGGGTTGGTAGTCAAAGTAGGTAGTTAAGGTGATTATAGCGCGACAGACGCTGACGAGAGGGAGGATCGTATCGTGCGTTATTCTTTGCATTCGCCCTCCCTGGCTCCCTACCTCCCTGGCTCCGTAACCAAGCTAACCCCCAACACTATCCCCCAACTATTCCAAGGTTGCCAGACCATGCCCGATTTACAGAATTAGCGCGGCATAGCCTGCAGGTCCGAGACTCGAGACTGCGGGGTACAGGGTTGCGATAGACAGACTTCGGGTTGATCTGCAACGACCGACATTTTATGACAGACCGACTGGCGATCGACTGTGGATTGACTTGAATACATGATGCAGAAGGGTCTTGTGTTCCTGTCCTCCATGCGAGTGTCTCGGGTGATGGACGTGTTTCCACTGGATGGGTGCTGCGAAGATCGGCTACGTAGTACGCGGCATGCGATGTGCCGTCATGATGTGAAGCTGGGTTGGGGTAATGGTGGCAGCATGGATCATGCGTGCTGCTGTGGCATAGAAGAATTGGTGGCGTTGCTGCTCCTCGGGAGTAGGGGGGTAATCATAACCGACGCTCTAACCGCCATAGTAGCCGTCGTCCGAACTTCGCGATGCTCTAGTCGTGCAAAGCATAGAGAACTTGGAAGTATGCCCGTAAATATACTATATGTATTAGTATATGTAGGTATGTTCAAATTCAGCTTTCGTCACCTACTTGCTGCAGCTGCCGGCTCCTGCAGCTCGTAACGTTTCTCCTAGTGTCATGTGAAGGTTGTATAGGTACTGTATCAAATAAGCGACATGTGAGATTGGAAAATGCTCGAGCATCATATTCATAGGTACTGAAGGTCTACCTGCGGTCTAACCTTCCGATGTTGACGTTAGCTGATAGCAATAGAAACATCCATTTTAGAGCCTTCCAGCAAAATGCATCCTGCACTAATAATCGAGGTAGCTTGTAAGCCCAGCTATTTCCATTATTTTTCTTTTCATTACTCCGTCCTGTTAACGCCGTTTAATCTCGTAACGCCAAGCTCGTGGTCCACACAATCGTGTCCCATTGAGCCCATGATCCTTACTATAACCTGATCCCCTGATTTTCTTCTAGACTAAGCTCTGCTCTAAAGCTATCACGTCTGCGAACCCATTGGTAATCATGTCCATGTGTTCGCTGCTTGGCAATCCACAGGGCTTCCTGGGTTCTCCACCGTAGCCCTCAAAGTGCTGCAGGGCAGCCTTCACGCCGGCAAAGCCCGTCTGAATTGCGATCCAATCCGCCTTGGCAACGATTGCCTGCAGCCTTCTAGCCTCCTTCAGCTCGCCAGCATGGTATAGTTCGCAGATGCGGACGCACGCTCGAGGCACTAGGTTGGCAGTACCCGCGATGGTGCCGTTTCCACCAACTACAAGGCCTTGCAGGATAAAGTCTGCGCTGCCACCAGCGACAAAGAAATCGGGTTTGGCCCCATCGACGATGCGAGCTAGTTTCCCGGTGTTACCACAAGTGAGCTTGACACCAGCAACGTTGGGGTGTTTTGAAATCTGAAGGATTGCGTCGGAAGAGAGGTCTAGACCGGAGCAAGCCCCAGGGTAGTTGTAGATCATGACTGGAATGGGGCTAGAATCAGCAACATCGCAGAAATGCTGAACGATCTTTGATGTGTTAAGAAGACCGCCATAGTACGCGGGAGGGAGTACGATGACATAGTTAGCACCAGCATTGGCTGCATCCTGGCATAACTGGATCGTCTCGCGGGTAGATTGTGCTCCACACCCAGCGATGAGAGGCATAAGGTGGTGGTCCGCCTGGTCTAGAGCGGCTCGTGTAGTCTTAATAACGAGGCTGCGCTCATCTCGGCTTAAATGAACCGCCTCTCCGTTCGAGCCGTGTACAACAAGGCCGGCAACGCCAGCCTCGGCAAGGTGAACGGCATGGCGTTGGGTTGCTTCTAAGTCGATGTCATCGTTCTCTTTGAAAAAAGCAACGGTAGGAACATAGACCCCGTCGGGCAGAGGGCGAGATTGGCCTAGAGATTCCGTCATCGAGACTATTTTAGGTAGACTTTGGTAGAGTGAGTTGTTTGGATGTGATTGTGTGAGTGGAAAAAAAAACTTGATGAAGATGAGAAGAGGTAAAGTAAAGTATCTTTGAGTGAGTTTTTAAAGTGATTTAAGTACGGAGGAACTAGTCCGGCCTACGCGAGGTACGTGGATTTATATAATGTAAACTAGATGTGACGGGGAAAGGAACTTTGGAAGGGGTTGAAGCAGGTGTAAGGGGCAGAAACAATGGGAAGTACTTGTGAACCCTCTTGTGGCAGGGGGTAACAACGGTTTAAATACCTATATTTTAAGTTTATGTCCTTTTTTTCTTCGTTAGCAAGAAGGCGCGCATCTAGGTTGTTTGTTACGGCTCATAGCCGATGAGACTACTAAAGCTAGGTGGGCTAAGTAGGTAGGCTAGGTAGACTAGGTAGGCGTAAGGCGAAGACGACTAAGCACGGGACTCAACTGGCTAGCTATCGGATCCTACTCATGTTGAGGCAATCCAATGAGCATGAAGAGGATTCGGGATTTGCCCGACAGAGCCTCTAGTCACTTGTACGACTCTTGATGGGAACTGGTAGGCGTGTTTTGACTGGACAATGACGAAGAGGCTACTGACAAAGGCAAGTAGACGTGTGGCCGTGAGGTAGCCCAATTATAATGGACAAGGATGTATTTTGGTCCGTGGGGGGATCATGTGGCAGTTGAGGTTTTTCCCCTGGCAAGGAACAACGAAGAATGATTGATTGTACCACCAGGGACTCGTAGGTGGCTTGGATATGTGCTTCTGACGTTCAAATCCCCAGGGTCCTTTTTCAATACATTGCTTCCAGAAAATATGATTGGCTCTTCTGGTCTATTTCGGGCAGAAAAACATGAGAATTGACATGCGGGGATGTAGACGCGGGCTTCGTGCTCCAGCCCCTACTCTTGTTGCGGTAGGACTAGCCATTCTTTCAGGTCCACAGCCAATCCGAAGCTGGTGAATGGATAGACAGGCTGTCTTGTTGGATGAGTTATGGGGCGAAGAATCCATCAGTGCAGTCTAATGTCGAACGAAATGCGGTGAAGCTTTTTTTGGTTGAGAAAGAGAGATTGGGAAGGAGGGGCATATTCTAGGCAGTCCAGGGTAAAGAAAAGGTTTAATGGGTCGGGCTCGTGGGGGAACGGGGAAGTTACATTTTACAAGACCTGGAGTACCTGGAGAATCGCCTCCCATTATGGGCTAGTCCAGGCATGTAAGCCCTGTACTACGCCCACTACGTCGTAGCGTCACCACCCCCACGACCGTTAATTTCATTGGATTTTCCATTCCCAGGCTCCTAGGTCGAACTTAAAACACGCAAACGTTCTAGCGTATCCCGGCTCCATTTTTATTCCGATCATTTCGATGTCCGAACTAGAACTAGAACTAGAACATCTTTCTATCGATTCATCGGCTCATATCTCTTCCATTAGTATTATCTAGTGCTGCTAGTATTAAACGGGGCTAGCAGGACTAACAGTCTAGTCCGTACAGCCCTCTCTGCCAAGCCAACTCCCCGATGCTCTGCGGGATATGCCCCAGTGTCCTGGTCGATAGCTTCACCGCGGACCCATTTACGTGGGAGGCAAAAAAGGAGGGGGTAACACCTCGTGCCCTGCTCCCACATATTCAACCTACATACGATCCATACGCGAGGACCTATTCTATTAGCAACGCACATATCAACGACAAACACGACCGCCACAAATCTCACCATCCACCGAGCAACGCACACGTCCAAACTGCATCGTGCAGTAGGACCACGCAAGCCGCTCAAGCAGGCTACAGTTTAGTTGACTGCGTGATCACAACTCATGAACACCTCTCACAGGATTTTCAGGATTCCGGGGTAGGCAACGTGGATGTCACCTCCAGAAGTTAGCTCAGCCAAGAAATTCGCCGTTTAGTACTAGTGTCTGTACCCCCATCATATGTTCACAACACCAACTACCTAGGCATGTATCTAATACTACAATCATTGCTGACTACCTAGTAGGTAAGTACCTAGATCATGCTTGTGTTTCGGTCGACATTTGTCGTTGTTTTCAGTGTTCCATTACCCCAGTCATGTTTGAGGAGGTCGAACAACCCAACCTAAACTCAAGCGAAGCTACCTATGAACTTCGCCATTCCACAACGCTGCGATGAAACCCGATGGCCTGGCTCAAGGTTATCCGTCCTTTGGGGTATGGGCGCGTGCTACTCATTCTTGGCGATCTATTCGTCAATGTCTATTCTCGGACCCGTGGATGGTCTACTCCAACAGCCGGGTCTCATTTCGCCCGTCCTTAAATCGGCGTCGATTATTCATTTATAGTACAACGACAGCTCCCTGCAGGAAAAAAGCTTTCCTCGTATCGTATCGTAAGACATAATCGACCAGGAACAAATTCCTAAGTAACAATTCTCACGTGAGAACTTCTAGGGTGTCTTAAGGTGGGGGTCAGAAGCCAATATCGGTACGATCGACGCAGGGGGTTGAATGGTTTATTCCCGGGATCCCGTCCCTCGGGAGAATACGGTCATTGGCTCTTATGGTTCTTCTCGTGACATTTCGAATCTTGGATCACTACTTCGCTGCCGGGCGATTGGGACCGCCCGAAGTTGATATCGATATTCTCAATGAGTAGGTACATTGCGATTGGCTTACAATGTTATAGTAGGACATCGATATGACATACCGTCATAGATGCAGCAGATTGATTATACATCGAGAAATGACCCAATTTCAACCCAATATTCAAGTTCTAGCGCATGCGTTGTAAGAGGCCTTAGCGTAATCCGGAAACCCCGGAAAGACTTCCAACGCGCGAAGTCGCAGCCTGAGTGAGAACTTTAGAATCGGACTCTCAAAATACGCGAGCTAGCAGCTCTAAGAGCGCATGGCATAGTCAAGCAAGGAAGTGGAGTAAGGAATTTAAGAGGCCATTTCAACATAAGCTACTGCCAAGGGCATGGTTCCCTATTCAAAAGGCAACAAGACGCGCAGTCTCGGGATAGGAATACATACGATGCAGTTAGCCAGGAAAGATAAAAACGAGACACCATGAGGACGATACTAATAACTACCTAACTACCCGGACATTAATTTACCTAAATAATCCGGGCAAAAATCCCCAACCTACAAGGATTGTGGTAACGAATATCGGTCAGGGATATGTTTGTGATACTTCTGCAGTGGCATCGGCTATCGCGTAAGTCCTGTTGATCATTGCAGACTGGAGCTTTATGAAATCCCTCATGGGTACCACGAGATGATGGATAGATGACTCGAATAGATAAGGCGCCATATTACACTCCAAACGAGCCCTTGTGTCATTTGGCGACGAAAATGCACAAACCATTGGTGTACTAAATATGTGAAGCTTGGGAGCATCAGTCAACAGTCTGATATTTGCTTATACGCCCTACCACATACTAGTAATAACTACAGTTACTGAGTATTATCCTTTACAATGAGAATGAGCCTCATGTAGGTACTACGTACCCAATTACTCGACCAAGTCAAAGCCAATAGGAACTCAGCTTAGGTTTAATACCCTATATGGTTTTAATTGGCGAGCATATCCATGCGGTAATTATGTGAAGTAAAGTACCTGTAGATGAACAATGGAGGGTGTATTTGACCCTCCAACTTGGATTCCTGTTGTAAGTCGGTTCACATCTCCCAAATTTTCATCCAGATCAGAATCTCCTTCCCCCTTCCCGAACACACTCTATAACAGCCCAACAACCTAATACTTAATTGCCTACCTACTCAGTATTCTAGCATCAGTCCAGTATATCTCGTTCATCTCTCTTCCGCTTATAATGTTCCCAAATTGAGTCGTAGCCTCATTATAAATGTATGGGGTTGATCCGCTTACATCATTCCTAACGACAATCCTCCGCACAGAAGTCGGGCTCTCGCGTGTTTTAACTAGCAAATTCCGATTGGCTTATTTCCAATCACGCACTTTGGTAGGTATTTAATTGCCAAAGGGGAAATAGCAAGCAATTTATAGGCACTAGGTACTGTCGATCAGTTGAAGTTCTCTCTGTCCACCCTGTTTGAGCATGGCGGTTTCGTGTTTGTAAGACTTAGACGAAATACCTGTATCGAAATATATAAAGTTTCTCGCGAACAACTGAGGATGCCCATCTTCAATATTTCAAATCATATTGAAAAGAAGAGATTCACAGGTAGGTATCTATTATCGAATTGATGGCTTTATTCAAGAAACTTGATGGACAGAAATACAAGACCTCCCTTTTTAATTTCATTTCATCTCTTTTTGTGTATATCGGGATCCGTGAAATATTTACGGTAATGGAATTACAACCACAACATTTGATGAAGATGGTGTCTCAGATATAGATAGTTCACATGGCTTCTTTTTTAGCAATACAACAAGTCCTGAAGCGTGATTTCCTTCTAGATGGCTCGAGGTAGAGAAGGTTCAATTCTAACTTTGCTGTCAAAACTTTCATCCCATCCTGACTTACCAAGTATCCAGATCTATATGGGTAAGTGCTACACTGGAATTTACCTATGTACTAATTCGTTCCTACCACTGAAAGGCAATGAAGCTTTCCGAATGAAGGGACAAGCGCCTTATCTCAAAATGACGCTAATGAGATGTCAATGACCACATATCTCTATGACAATCATGATTACAATAATTATGCGAAAAACATAGAGATAATAAGGGGGTCAAACCCAGTTATCGAAATCGGCAGTTCTGTTCTATTAAACTACGTTGACTTGGATGTCGTGGCAATACGATATACCTTTCACATCTATTAACTCATAGTTATCGTTAACTAGAATATATTTACGATCCACCATAAATCCCCGATTATATTGTTTTCTCATAATTGTGACCTAGTTAGAAAATCAGTTAAGACGGCTAAGATGAACTCCAAAGACTTGACCGACTATAGCGGGTGTACGCAAGATCCTTCTCATCACCGTCGAAGCCGAATCCGAATCTTCACCACCTTCCCTTTATTTCTGCTGGATCTTATTTTTCCCACACAACTTCATTTACATTTCCCACTTACTCTCATTTATTTCTACCTACTCTCAAAAATACCACTTCTTCCTTACCACTCCGAATCGCACAACAAACCCGACCTTTCCCATAACACCCAACTCTCATCCAACCCACTTCCAATATTCACAGAATTCCTTTCATCACTATTATTTACTACTATCTTACATTCTAATCGCCACTTGCCTCTTTGAAATCGATGAATCACGTAAAAAAATCGATTTCTTACGTGGTATTGTCGATATTACATCTTTTAAGCCTGTGGTCTTATTATTATTGACCATCATCACATCCATTATCATTCATTAAATAGTATCTTCAGTCTTCACGTCTTTCCCCATACGTGTGCTACGTACACGTATTGCGGATTGAAAGATGGCATCCTCAATTTCTCCCCTCAGCAGCGAACCTCTCAAGGTTCGCAACACCATGGTACAGTCTTCGCTACACCCTGAAAGTAACCAACACTCATCTAATAAACAGGTCTGCATTTTGTCACCATGTACCCGAGATGTTTGCGTCATCCATGGTCGACCTAAGTCCGCTGAGCTCTCTGCCCAAACTCCCCACCGCGTTGGCGGTTACTACCCTGAGAATCCAACGAAGTTATGCGAGCTCGATAACTGTGAGATTCACCGCCCATCAGTCACAGTCTCTTCAATCAACTCTGCCGGAATCAATCGAATCAGCCACAATGAAGAAATCCTCTACCTTCCTGGCAGTGATAAGCTAGGGATGAAGAAGGATGTGGCTCCCGAAGAAGGCAACGCCATCGCCTCTGAAACATCTCACGTTCCTTCCACGCCGGACCTTTCTGGCCAGCCTTGGTGGGTCAAGATGGGCGACAAGTTAATCAAGCCAGCTAAATGGTATGTCTTGTCAGTTGTGGAGAAGAGCGATGATCCCTACATTCCACCTAGCCACGACTTCGTGAGTAAAATCTTCGCGAGCGAAGAAGAACGATCGCTGGCTTTCGAAGCCCACCGACGCGAGACTTTCACGCGCTACGATGAAACGCCTCCCCTGATGCTTACTTATGGCATTCAATACGCCCCCAAGCCAGGTAGTCACCTCGGCGCTACATCTCGCAAGGTTTTCATCACTGGCTTGGACCTCGATATGCCTATGTACGACATCTTGGCACGAGTGCGAGGAGGAAAGATCCTCAAGGTGACTGCGGCTAACAGCCCATGGCCTATAGGCTACACTGTGATCGTTGAGTTCATCAATGCGCAGGATGCTAAGGCTTATGTGGACTACATGGAGGACAAGGCTTGTGATGTGTTTCATGAAGACGTCGAGATCACTCTCTTCAAGTCCCACAGCTATCCCATTTCTATGGAGATAGAGAATGATCTCCGACAGAAGTTCACTCGACAGGTTGTGTACCTCGACTTCTCCGGCCATTCTCCTGAAGAATTCTTGCAAGACTTCGAGGCTCGATTCAGAAAGCCGGAAGATGTTCTCGAGGATATCTGGCTGGATGAGAATGAAGCTCTGTGGATTCTCTTCACCAGCGTTAAGCACGCCGGTCGTTTCTACAAGCAGACTACCAGAGAGCTGGAACGAGAGCGTCCCGGCGCATTTGACGACGATCTGTACCGCTTTGCTCCGGACCCATGCGACGAACCCCTTGACAAGATGGAGGGGTCTGTGAAGTTGGCACGCGGATCTAATCGAAGCTTATTGGATGCTTGGATTACAGGAAAGTGGGATGAAGAAGAAGAGGAGGAATATGAAGAAGAATATGACGAGGAGGATTATGAAGAAGAATATGAAGAGGATTATGATGAGGATGAACATGAAGAGGGCGGTGAGGTCGGCCGGGCTACTTCGCATTCATGGGACATTCCTGCTATGATTAGTCCTCCTAGCCTGCCCATTCCTTCTGTTCCCGGTGGTTCATCTAATCTGCCTATTTCTTCGGGTCCCGGCGGTCCGTCTAGCAACCCCCCGGCTCCTTCCACCCCGGAGCAACCCCTCCACATTTATGGACTGGGAACTGGAATGTGGTCTCGTCCGTGGTTTCTCGACACGCTGCGTAAGATGGATGAGCCCGGCTGGGAGACCTACCCCGGGGGCGACGAATTCCAACGACATCGAGGTCAGTCAAGACTCATGCACCGACGCCACCGACGGGATCCTAGCATGGCACGCTCTTGGTACCCTTATGTACCTCTAGGTGAACCAAATCACGACCGAGGCTTCAACCTTACGCAGTTCTCTGAGGAACTGCACGCCAGATCGAGTCAGGCCAGCGGAGCCGCTGCTCCTATGAATTCCCTCCCGACTAACGATGGAGACCATGCCAAGCCATCATCATCAGCACCTGAGGACACAGTCCTTAAAGATGAGGATAAAGTAGAGGACAAGGCGGGGGAGAAGGTAGAGGATAAGCCGACTGATGCTAGCCTTGACGAGACTGAAGATACTACTCCTCGAAACTCCCTCGAGGTCTCCGATCCTAAGGCGAGTGTCTTTAAATATCAAGGTACCGTTACTCCAACACAAGCAGCGTCGGTGAACGACTATGGAGAAGACGTTCCCGCGGTGGAAGATGAGGCGATGGAAGACGAGACGGTGCAAGATGACACGGCGGCAGATGACACGGCGGCAGATGACACGGTGGAAGGTGATCTGATCGGAGGCGACGCGATGGAAGACAACGCAACGGAAGACACCATTACAGAAGACAACGCGACGATGGCCATGCACATGCTTCCGCAGAATGATCCCGCTTTTATCAACCCCTTGATCCGCGAACCTGGTGATTTCATCTCAAAGACCGAGACCCATCCTGCCACACCAAAGCGAGAGTCCCACTCGCATCCCCAGGAAGAGGTGCGCACTCTTCCCGGCAGCCTCTCCGCTGTTAACGCAGCCCTGCAAGCATGGCAACGTGGCGAGAAATATAATCTGAAGGCCGTGTTCGATGCTCAACGTGCAGATCGCGAGAACAAGGAACGTGAGCAGAAGGAGAAGGAGAAGCGCGAACAGCAAGAGCGCGAGAAAGGTGGTAAGCAGTAATCTGTCTGACTGACAGATGAATCATACCCCTTCTCTGAATTGATCTCGAATGTTTCGTCTCTGGTTTCGGCTTTCGGTACGACGGTTTATCATACTCTCCTCAAATTCCCGTGGAGCACGCGTATGCTATCGAATTTGAGTAACACCACCCCTTATTGAGCTTAACTTCCGACCTATTCTCCCGACGACGAAAGCATATATGCTTCGTCAATAAGTACTATTACATAACAAGTCCTGCGGTTTATCAGCACTGGACGGATTTTCGGGACGAACGTCGTATAACATACCATTATTATCTACCCACATGAACAATCATCCACGCTTATATCTTAACGCGGAAGGGGAACTCGTTTGGTACGATCCCTTTCATCAAGGCCAAAGCTCTACCCCTATTTACGACAGTAGAGCACTTTCGCCTTTATTTTTCCCCTCGATACCCCTTAACGGACCCACTGGGTCTCTACATATCCGATCTTACGACATAACGCCACATCAGATCGAGATACATATTACCCCTCAACCCAATTTCGCTTCTTTTAAACCCCTTTTCGACATACGAATTAGGGGATACATAACCTTGACATACTTAGGTACCAAGTCTTGCATTTTCGCGGAGTTGCGCCGGTGGAAAAACTGGATCTTGAATCTTTTTTTTTTCGCGCGGGCGGCGGTTTTAGTGAGGGCTGGCTAGGAACTTCGAGTTTGCTTGTACGTACGGAAGGACATATGGAGAGGTTCTCTGCGTGTCTTATGCGAGACACGGGACCTCGATCAATTGACATCTGTCGTTGATCCCAACTTTGACTCGTGTTATACGTGATGTGATGCGATCGAGAATTAATTAAATGCCATCGTAGGTGTCCGGCGAGTTATTATGGTTAAAGGGGAGGGGGGAAAGTAAAGAGGAGTAGGATTCATGACAATTTTTATTAGTATCGGTAGCACGAGACGTCTGCTAATTAATTAGGAATCTTCGTAGCTTCAGCATCTGCGAATAGGATGGTAGGTAGGGTATTATGCATGCCAATGGTCACTCATACTCATGGTCATGCCTCCTCTCCGCGAAGCATACAAATCTCCCTCCACCGCTTATATCTCCAGCACTCCGGTTCCAAGCAACACCTACTGCAATGCGATGGAATGCACTCCTGAAGCCATGCCAAGAAGTCAAAAACTGGCCTAGATAAGTTAGGTCATTAATAATTAACTCCCACTTCCCTTCTCAGCACCACTTCCGCGCTGGATGGCGGCGGCGAGGTCTCTCATAAAAGCCGCGCCTAGCTCGTCCATCCTCTCCTTGGGTTTGGTTTCCCGTCTCTTGAAGCTTGATTCCTGATCTGCCGTGACAACTAGGATCTCGTCCTCCCCATCTTCATCTTCGTAGTAATTGTATCGTGCTATTTCCCTCCTCTTACCCCTTCCGCCGCTGCCGTTAACAGTAGCGTTTTCTTCCCCGCCACTGTCCGCGCTATTTCGTAGCTCGTCCAGATCATCCGCGTCCCCCGCGAAGGCTTCCGCGACACTGGAGTACTTTCTCTTCAGCGTTAGGGGACTGGAGCGGAGGTTCCGACTCGGTGAGTCGAATCCATTAGTCAGCGAGCCGGTGGTCCTGCGACGGCCCGTTGCAGCCTTGGCCTTGCCCTTGAGGTATGCCTTAATTAATTCCGGGGGAATATTGTCTTCCGGCTCCCAGGTGGGGTTCTGGTCCGGGGGCCATTCGCCGGCCCACCGTACTTTGAAGAAACGGGTGCGCAAGCCATGCGCGTGGACTAGTTTATCGCCTTCGAGACGCGATACTACCCACATCTTCCCGTTGCCAGTGGTGGACTTGGTTTTCGATTTAGGTGTACACTTCTTTGGGGGCGGAGAGGTATTGGTTTGACCTTTAAAGGGCGGATTTACGGCTAACTCGCCGGAGGATTGGGGTATTTCAGAGGGCCAGCGGCCGGAGCTTCGGCCGGCGGGGGTAAAGCCATGGTGCTGCGAGTTAGGTTTGGGTGGTTGGGGAGGCGGGGCTGATGAAGAAGGCTCGCATTTTTTATTTGTGAAGCGTGGGTATTGAGGTACTGGGACAGGTGTTGTAGATTGCTTGTTTTCGGGTGGTTTGGGTACTGATGGTTCTGGCTTCGGTTGGAATTGCAATTGAAATTGCTGGGGATATTGTCGCGGAATCTTCTTGTCTGATTTCAATGGTGTGGGGACTGGAACAGGAGTTGTGGATTGCTTCCTGCCAGGTGGAATAGGTATTTTGCGTGGTTGGCTATTTACTGGTTGAATTGGTTTGCGTGGCTTGGGCATGGGTGGTGGGAGAGGTGTTATTGCTGGAAGCTCCCAAGGTCGCTTGTTGGATCGAAGTACTTCGGGTACGGGGACGTGACTCGTAGATGACTTCAGTGCAAGATTGCCGTTAGCGCTCTTGATCAATGTCGTGTCCTTATGAAGCCATAAATTTCTAGCATACGAGCTGATTTCGAGACCCGAGGACGTGGCCTCGGGAACTCTGTCCAGTGACATAGTCTCTTCACCCTTATCATCCTCATCCTCATCTCCATCCAGCTCTATATCCATATCTTCAGCGGCATCGTCACTCTCTCTGCGTAATTGTTGTTGTATCGCGTCATCCGCATCTGCCTCGTCCATTTCCTCCATATCGGTCACAATCTCTCTAACGCGCTTCTTTTGCGGCGTCGATAATGACGGGCCTGATGTGTTCGTAGGTGGTAGCGTTACTTCGATACTCTCAGAATCGTTGACGCTCGCCTGCTTAGAGAGTTCGCGCGCCTGAAGCTCCGCTTTACTCGGTCGACCTCGACGCCTCCGACCAGAAGGGGTTGGTGGATCCGGTGTTGTCGGAGTTCCCATCGCGCTTGTAGGTTTCACTGCTTTCTTCTTTTTCGCAATGGTTAATAAGTCTAAATCTAACTCCTCTTTTTTCAATGCTCCTCGCCTGTCGGTTTCCTTGCCGGTATCTCTTTCTAATTGTTTCTGGTACTCGAAGTTCTCTAGCTCGCCGGGTGAAACGTAATCGAGTATATTTGTCGCAAGGATAGCTACTCTCGCAGCCGGTAGATCTTTCCATCCAACTACGTAGCACATCTGCAGCTGCAATTCACCATTACGAGCTTTACCAGGTATTACGCGCTTGTCGATTAAATGCGCGGTCGAGTGGTCTCGTTCGGGTCTGAGTCTCAGAGGCGCTAAAGGGGGACCGTCGCCGGGTCTATATGGACGAGGTTTCGAGGGTAGTGGTATTTGAATTGATGATCTTCGCGTTTCTTCTCCATCCATGGGAGCGGATTAAACGTGTTCCGCTTGGGAACAATTCCAAGGGTGAAAGGAGAGGGCTGTCACCTGTGATGTTGCTGTTGGATCGCGCGCGTTGTCCAGGGTAGCTTAAACCACAAATGGCTCTGCGCAGCCAGCGCAAATGGAGACACTAGCATACGCACACGATTTCCATTAGGCTCTTGTGATATCGCGAATAAACAATGCAATTGGCCTTTGGATTCTTTGGCTGAACCAAAAGATTAAAGGCTTTTTTTGGTTTGCGTTGAAAAGTCTTGTTCTCAATTGCATTGTTGTTAACATTAGAAAGGACACTAACCTAACAGTGGCCAGTACCTAACCTAGTAGCCAGTGGCACCTAACTTGACGAATTCGGTAGGCTTAACCTGGATCTGCTTGGGTTCAAACCTTACTGCGCTTAGTACGCTAAAACACGCAACCTTAAACCGGAACTCATTAATAAATGTTCGACATTCGAAACACAACCTTGGAACTATTCCGATTTAAATTTCCACATCCTGAAAAGAGGCTTACGCTTGTAAATAAAACTTCAATAAATAAAACATTATTATTAAACACCAAGATATTCAAAGGTATATAAGTCGGCAGGTAGCCAGCTTTTGTAGTATTGTAATTGAATCAAGACATTTATTTTCGCTCACATTGAACTTGCAGCCCTAGGTTCCTACTTAAGTACGGACCCTGAGTAAACAATTCGAAGTCCCCACATACCGCCTTCCCTTTCCGTCAATTCTTGGCCGATCAACATTCTGCCCTTCTTGTGTCATTTTTGTGACTCAGTGCCCCTCCCCCTCTATTTCCATCAATACGCCTAATCCTATTCAAAACTTCCTATCTTCTCAAACTTTCCCTTAGCACGCCCGCGATCCACCTTCCAATAAAAAATAGTCACGAACAAGATCACAACACGATCGCGACAATGAGCGAGTCGAATACAAAGCCGTCACTGCTCCCCCAACCGGGCAAGCAAAATATTCTAATCACGAGCGCCTTGCCTTATGCGAACAACGTTCCACATCTTGGCAATATCATCGGTAGTGTCCTGGTAAGCTAAGTCTAATTGCGATTTGGGACGAAATGAATGCGCTGGCTAACGCATGAATCTCAACAGTCCGCAGATGTATTTGCTCGTTTCTCTAGAGCACGCGGCTTCCCGACATTGTACATTTGCGGCACAGACGAATATGGCACGGCCACCGAGACCCAGGCCCTTGCTGAAGGTGTAGATCCTGCCACTCTCTGCACCAAGTACAACGCCATTCATCGCGATATCTACTCTTGGTTTAAGATCGATTTCGATATCTTTGGCCGCACCCCAACTGCCCAGCACACAGAAATTGTCCAACAGATCTTTACTCGTCTGTGGGAGAATGGCTTTATCGAAGAACGAGAAACCGAACAAGCCTACTGTCCTGCGCATAACTCTTTCTTAGCCGATCGTTTTGTGGAGGGTGAATGCAGTCTGTGCCATGCAGCGGGGGCCCGTGGAGACCAGGTATATAATCCTTCCTCTATTCCGATTTCTACTGCTAATGCGATTGATAGTGCGACGCATGTGGAAATCTTCTTGACCCCTTAGAGCCGACCGAGGACACCAAGGCAGAGTCCGGCGAAGACCGAAAAGCCACTGGCTGGCTAGTGAATCCTCACTGCAAACTCGACGGCGCAACCCCAGAACGACGAACAACAAAGCATCTCTACCTCAAGTTAGATGCACTACAACCCGAAGTCAAATCTTGGCTCGACAACGCTGGTGATATCAAAGATTGGAGCTCTAATGCTATAGCTATCACACAATCGTGGCTCAACGACGGACTGAAGCCACGGAGTATCACAAGAGATCTTAAATGGGGTGTACCAGTCCCCACAGGTCTCCCCGGCTTATCAGGGGGCGATTACGATGGAAAGGTTTTCTATGTTTGGTTCGATGCATGCAGTATGCCGTACCCCGCAGATTTCTATTATACATGGACACGTGCTAATTGTAATAGTTGGCTATCCCTCGATCACCAAATGTTATACCGACAGAGACGACACGACAGGAAAGAATTGGGAAAAATGGTGGAAGAACCCGGATAATGTTTCCTTATACCAGTTCATGGGCAAGGATAATGTCCCGTGAGTAATTGCAAACCAAACAAATTGGATAACAACTAATCGTCAAAATTAGATTCCACAGCATTATTTTCCCAGCTTCTCAGCTCGGTACCCAAGAAAAGTGGACCCAGGTTCACAAATTGTCCACCACGGAGTATCTTAACTACGAAGGCGGCAAATTCAGCAAATCAAAGAGCGTTGGAGTATTCGGAAACAGCGCAAAGGATACCGGTGTACCTGTTGACGTGTGGAGATACTACTTGCTCTCAAGACGTCCGGAAACCAGCGATTCCGAGTTTAGTTGGCGAGAGTTTGTCGATGCCAACAACAACGATCTACTCAAGAATCTTGGCAACTTCTGCAACCGTGTTGTCAAGTTTGCTCATGCGAAGTTGAATGCTGTGGTACCCGACTATACCAAGTACCAGGATTCGGACGGCTCGATAAAACAATTCACAGAAGAGGTCAATGGATTGCTTCAAACCTATATTTCAAACCTCAATGCCACCAAGCTACGAGCTGGTCTTTCTACGGCTCTCAGGTACGTATTCCGAATCATCTTTCAACTTATTATTTAATAGACTAACATGATGATTCTTTTATAGTATCTCGGCTGTAGGTAACAAGCTATTGCAAGACAATAAGCTTAGCAACCAGCTACTCACTGAAGATCCGGAACGATGTAACGCCGTTGTCGGTGTTGCCCTCAACCATCTTCACCTTCTCGCAAATATCCTGTTCCCATACCTTCCAGAGACCGCCGATGGGATCCTCCGCCAAATCGGCGTTCAAGGTTCCGGTAATAGCCGCTTTGCCATTCCGGATACTTGGACACCCAACACCATTCCACCCGGACAGGCTCTCGGAGAACCCAAACTATTATTCTCTCTCATCCCCACGGAGAAGGCTGATGAATGGCGTGAGGCCTTTGGAGGAGAAGAGTTGCGAAAGCAGAAGGCTATTGAGATGGAAAAGGCAGCAGCGAAGAAAGCCGCAAAGGAGAAGGAGAAGGAGCGCAAGAAACTCAAGAAGCAAGCCCTCGCCGCTGGTGGCGACTCGACAAAGGTGCCTACGGAAAAGCTACAGAGTCTGAACATCACAGACGCTGCGGGCAGCAAGCCGCCCCAGGAACCAGCAAAATAAGGGACAAATCAGGCTTCCCGCAAATTTCATGCATGGATATGATGTCGTTAGTAGGGCGCTGGTATAGAGGTTTCTGCAGAGACACCTTCATTTGAATTGGGGTGTAGTTAGCGTCTAGAGGTTGCGGATGATCTAAACAGCTACGGATGGAATTGGGATTTGCAAAATAAAATGGAGGATATTGTTCAATCTTCTGATTCAATGGCGTTTTGATATCACGCCGCTGTTCTTCTTACACAGGAAGGCTTAGAAGATATTGGTATTAGGTGTTTCCGCGTTTCATATCATTCTACCAACATAGCGAAATGATACTACACCCTTACCATCACATATGGATTGACTTTCACCTGCTTGCCCAGGAACAGTTTACCAGATTACTACTCAGGTACGAAATTTCAATGAAGACTTCTTGGCAAAGGCACTAGTATGCTCCACCAGAAATAACCAATGAGACTCTAGCTTATGCCTAGCATATACTCTTTCCAGTATGTGACACTGCTATTCAGCCAATCAGACTCAAGTAGGCTATATTCCATACTGCCACTAGTTCATGGGCATCTGTTCAGGGGCTAACCCAATAGTATAGATATACAAGTATAAAGATGAAAGGACAACAAAAAGAACCTCGTAACATTCCCACTCTATCAACAGAACTAACCATCATGACGAAACCCTACTTCTGCCCATGAAGCGGAAAAGCACATTTACAAGCCTGCTCCCCCTCCAACCCATGCGAGACATTCTTACACGCGCAGCCATTCTCGCCAATCGAGTACTCCCCATCCGCATACGCGAACTTGAACCTCGGGCTCCCCACATCGAAGTCCACAGACTTAATCGTCAACACGTACGGCAGGAAGTTCTCCTCGATAACGTACGGGCTGCCGCAATGGTTGCTCTGCGATTGCGGCGCGTAGACACCCTTGATATTACACGCGTTATCATACAGCATGAATGAGTTGCCCGATACGAGACCTGCCCATGGCGCGCTGGAGTCGAAGGTCGGGACGTCGATTTCGTGCACGTCCATTGCGAGGGTCCAGGACCCGGCGCCTTGCGGGACGCAGAGGTGCGTGCTGGGTTCTTTGCCGGTTTTGGATTTGAGTTGGTTTTGGAGCTGGCAGGAGGCGCTGGTTAGGGTGGATAGGCTGAGGGCGGCGAGGGCGAGGGAGATTATGGGGGACATTGTGGTTGTGGGTTTGTTGTTTCTGGGTTTGGGTTTGGGTTTGGGGTTTGATGGTGAGGAATTTGCTGTCTGGATGAAAGAGGAGGGTGAACGAGAGACATTTATATCACAATTTCTGAGCGGAAGAATTGATAGAGATGAATCAACGGACTCTAGTGAGGCCATAGAAGAGAATTTGCTGGTTTTCCTAAACTATCTACGCCGTGGGTGAAAATCATTACGACGCCTTGTCAGGCAGCAGCTATTGTCAATTGTCTATCTATAGAGTTGGAGATGTCGATCAGGAATCCTTATAATAAACATTGACGTCACATATAACTTTTTCAAGGGATAGAGGTTTCCATTTCGGTTAGATTACCCGAGAAAGATTCCTACGATGGTTCAGCTGGTCTAAACAACGTGATGTTCGTTTCCTGTTAATTTTTCTAGGGGTTGGATTTTATGCTCGCAATTGAATTCTGTAGAGATTGCTTTCGTAGGAATACCATCTTGATTGGATACTATTCACTTAATATGATTGTAGGAATACAGCATCGCCGCCGCCACTTCGTCACAGTTACCTTTTCCTAATCCTCCTGGTTATGGGTTGTGGATCTAGTTTATACGTAAGACAGAGCACGCATGTTGCACAATTCCGTTTCCCATCAATTAGGGAACTAAACACGTGAATTGGTAGATATCAGAAATACGTTGCGAGAGTTAATCCTCAGCGATCGCTGGGCAATTTAACCTTAAGTCCTAGAGCTTCGCATCATCCCACATACTAGGTACACAAGCTGACAAGGTCTTCTAGTAGTGGCCTGGATAGCAGTCCTCTCCATACGAACTATTTCTATTGAGTGATCATTTGGTTCGCATCCTCATATCTATAACACAGTTCCAATTTAAACTTTTAGGTTTCTTTAGGTCAAGAGTTCTTTCTTGTGTTAGTTCCTTTTAACCTAGGTTACTCGATAATCATTCACTTAGAGTTGATGGTATTGAATATAAATAAAAGTTTTAATTTACAAATGAAAATCGGCAAGAAAAGCCAAATGATTAAGGTTACACCTCTTTCGAACTTAGGTATAAACGTTGAGGTATCGTGTAGAACTTACTGGGCTGAGTAAGCATGCGTGTTGACTCCAAAGGGTATCACGTGGTGCAACAAAGTTTTATCTATCTCCTTTAACATACCAACTAAAGGTTAGGTAAATTTAAGTTGTAATTATATCAATAAATTGGTTAAGTGAAGAGCCTCGTAATGATACGGCTTATATCATTATCTTTGCTATTTATATGAAAGAAGAAGGTTTGATATCCATGATTAGTAATTGAATTATGTAATACAATTATGTCGAGCACTTCGGGCTGCCAGGTGCTGAGTCATTGCTGACTGTGAAGCTTACATAAAGGTAATTCCGTTAGTAAGAAATTATCTAATACTTAAAGTTCACCTATTTGATCAAAGTTGCTGAATCTCCTCGCCACAATAACCTTAAACCCCTCGAGATTTCAGGCAAAGTTATAATGAGAAACATATTTAAATGTTGTCACCCACCACATATCGTGGATCGCGTGTTGCGACTACACAGCACATCACTGAAACACGATGGATTCTCACGAGCTGCAAACCACATCTGAGACCCAGAATGTATATATCGAACGCTACTCTCCGTTCTCGCCCTACGTACTACCTCAGGACTCGTATCCAGGCCCAAAATACACGGACGACGCATGCTTCAACCAGAAATATGTCGCTCGCGCCGCATCCACGCCTCTCACCTCCGAAGAGCTAGGATTGGTTCGGTCCCACCTCGAAGACATGTTCTACGAAGAAACATGTAATTCGCTGCGCTACCACCCGACATTTCTGAGGGGCTGGGCGCGCAATCTTGAAATGGCGTCGGCGCCCCGGCATCAGGACTGCGACAGCGGCATAATGCACTGGTCCCCTGACATCCGCGATTACGCGAACAAGCAGACAGCCGTCTACTTCGTGGGCAGCGGTTCCGAGCCCGATAGCGTTGGACACCGCCACGGCTGCACGGACCGACGGCTGGGCTGTTACATCTACCGCACATGGTACGCGCTGCATGGCGGGCGACCAAACCTCCAGCGACAGCACTTCTTCGCCAAGGCGCTGCGCGTACCTAAGAGCGAGGCCGCGAGCTGGAGTATCTCCGGCCTCGTTGCTACCCACCGCCGGCTATGCGACGTAACAGCAGCGCGTTTCGGGGCCGAGGTAGTGAGTCTGCGATGCGAAGACCCTACTAGTAATTATTTCCCACCACCGGTTAAGACGGCGCAGACGTGGTGCGAGCACGGCTTGTCCTTGGGTCATTTATTCCGCGCCGTGATCCTTGTGGCTGACGAGAACGTGTTGCCCGTGGAGTGTCCGGTACAGCCAGTTCCGGATATCAGGGGCCATAACCAGCACTGGAAAGTCGCTGCGTGGCTGGAGCGGCTTATGCCCGAGTGTAGTGTGTTGATGGTGCGGACTGGGGACGATGCACATCTCAGTCAGCCCATCTCGTTCGAGAGACTGGTTAGAAAAGGGGAGACAATTCCACTGGGTTTAGAAGAGGAGAAGCTAGCTACAGAGTTCGGCGTTGTGCGGGTAAAGATTGGCGTGGCGATGCGCTACCTGTTCGACCTGCAGGTCGAAGAGGAGGCCGCCATTCCAAGTCTGCGACAGACATCAGCCATGCTCACAGAGGAGCGCGAGAGAGCTTGCCATGCTTGGGTGGAAAGCGTGCTGCAACATGCCTCTCTCGGAGAAGTTGGGGTCGACGGGAACTGGTTTACATGGGACGCGGTACGGCGGATGTGGGCTGAAAGAAATGGAGATATCTTTAATCATGTCTTCCAGGATGAGACAGAATTGATGCCGCTATATTCATGGTACGGGCTTAGGTGAATTCCAGGAAAATAAACTAACCCGATAGCAATGGTATCATGCTATAGCGAGTAAGGCCGCTTTTGAGGCGGTCGCAACGCAGGCAACACTCGAAAACTGGACTGTTCTGACGTTCTTCTCATCGGTTTTGCAAAGCCTAGCACGGTATACTCTCGCCACTACAACGGTCCGGTCCCGTTGCAAAGCTAGACCGTACCTGATGGACACCATTTCTGCAACGTCTACATCAATCCTTTGTTTGGGCGACCCGGATTAGTGTTGTTCAGCTCGCAGCCTACGTCCTTGCTTATGATGGACCGTAGCTCTGAGTGTAACGATGAATAAGAGGCTTGAAGAATGTCTGTGGGGATGCTCTCCGTATAGGGGAGATAACTGGGACCAGAGAAGCCAGGACCAATCACGGCCCAGCTCGGAATAGTTCGTCCTTGTTACTTAGGTAAGCAATCCTTAGGTAATCGATAATTATTAGTAAGCTAATTGTGTTGGAACAACAGCGCATAGTACGAGTTGGTTTTTATAAGAGGGAAACATACCATTTATAATTAGTATAAAGTTTGTGAAACGGAATACTGTGTTAAATGAGTGATCAAATACCTACGATCTTTGTAGTCATTTAGAGAATGCTTATGTAATCGTATTGGCATGTAATTACGTAATCACCAGCTCTATGTTTTTCAAACGACTTTTTTGCATTTTACGTATTGTTCAATCGGAATGATAGTCGGCTGAAATGTGCCTGCCTGGATTTGGCCAATATAGGAGTACATATTCCCCCATTATTAGGAACCTGCCAATACAATTCTACAAAGGTAGGCCTAAGTGAATCAGCTCTGGGCGAGGGGCCCTGGGTAGGTTTAGTTAGATAGTATGAGGGACGAATACAAAATTACGGAGGAGTTGTGCATGCTAAATTTTGTCACGGCATAGACATTAGCAATAGTTATCGTGTATTCCGTTGATGAAGGCGGCGTAGAGAAGATGAATAATGCCCAACAGGTCGAGGGGAGGATGTCAGCAACGGCGAGGGTGAGGATTTGACATGAAAAGTATCTACAAGGTAGGTCATAAAAAGAATCGAATTAATTCTTTTACAGGCAGGCTAGTCACATTTGTGGTAAAAGCAAAAAAAAAAAGAAAATCGAAAAAAAAGGATCGAAAAAAAGGGCTTTAGGTCTGAATCGAACCTGCGGGTTTTAAATAATAAAAAGGTCGGCGCACCAAGATCCGTTTTTGGGGATGATCAACCATACCATTAATGCCCGGTCCTTAGACCATCGGATATAGATGTCATCCAACTTCCTCCTTGGTGCGCCTGGAACTCCGGCCATTTATTAATACTTATAAACCTTTCCCAGTGAATTATGTGATAGGCTGGCGTCGTAGCAACCAGCGGGAGAACTACGGTGAAAGCGGTGGAGCATCACCGAGGTAACGTATGAGGGAAGAGATTACTGTGCATCTGACTTGATACTCTTAGCTAGGTCGTCAAGATCCCCCCGCCACGAGTGTCAGTGGGGCTTGACCTGAACATACAGACAGGTATTGTATGTATCCAACCCTATATAATGTCTCGTGATGGAAAATACCGACATTCCCTACACCGGCCATGTCATATATGATGACTTTTCACCTATGAAAACATCGACACGTACCTAGAGGAGAAAACAGAATCGTTAAAATATATGAGTAAACCACATTTTCGACATCTAATCTTCTCCGTTAATAAAATACCACCGAGGCAACATTATATATATCCCCATCTACCTGGAAAATATACCAAGTTCATTCATCCAATTGATACCTCCCAGGGCACCAAGTTGTCGAAGTCGTCGGTAAACCTTCCTCAACTGTTACAACCCCTCTACCTCGCCCCCTTTTCGGACCCACTACCCCTTTTCCCATCATCCCCACACCCAATCAATCCCTTCTCATCGTTCTCAAACCCTATAATCCTCATCCCTTGGCACCCCCGACGAAAACGAGGACATCGACCCGCTCCCCCTCGTCGAATTCTTCACCGGCCTCATCTCCACACCCTCAACCGCACCCGTATACCCGGGCGGCACGGTATGCAACGGGCCGGGGGTATACGGGGGACTCGGATCGTCTGAGCTCCCGTTCTGGCGATGGCTATACCGATTATAATCATAGCCCGCCGCACCATCATACCCACCATCACGATTCCTTCTCCTCGTCTCCCTAGCTGACGGAATCGCCTGCGGTACCCCCATACCACCACGCGGTGGTGGCAGATCCGCCACATAAGCGCGCGTCTCAACACTCGAACCCCTCCCGCGGTTCTGTCCACGACTCACGCTGCGTCGACGGTACTCGCCTAGCACGGCAACGAGGAGCCATAGCAGCCAGATGAGCCCCGCGACAACGGAGTACGCGATGATGACGCCCTTCTCTGCATGCGCGAGTCGAAGGCCTAGACCGCCGTTTATTATGCCCAGGGTTAGGGTCAGTCGGCCGATCCATAGGTGGAGGTGGGAGTATGCGGTGCGGCGGCCTAGACGTTTGAATTTCGAGTGGTGGATTACGCCGAGGGGTGGTTGGAGGGCGAGGACGGCGAGGATGACGATGCCGATTATGGGGTGTGCGTTCGTTGAGGACATTTCTAACTATATTTCACGAGTTGGTTAGGGGTTGAAATGCAAGGGGATGGGGTTGAGGAGAATCGCCGACGGGGGCAAACAGAACCCGGGCGCAAAGGGAGGAGTTGTAAAAGGGGTACTCACCAAGCTGGACCCGTTTGGGATCTTTATCATCTGTACAAGCTGGATTCCGAGACCCGCGGCGGCGATGTATAGGAAGTAGGCGATGACCTGAAATACCCCGTGTATCCACCAAGCGTGGCGGCCTGAGATGATGCGCATGAGGATTGCGCCGGCTGGGAATAATACCGCGAAGCATAGGGCTGCCATCACGCCGTGGGCTGTTCCATAATTCACCACCTTCTCGACGTCGAAGTCTGGGTACACATCGAAGCCGCTATCTGTGCCGGACGAGGAGCCGTATCCCCCTGAAGAATCGCCGCCATCACTTCCGCCTCCACTACCCCAGCCTCCCCATGTGATGCCTTCACCATCGTCACCAGCCTCGAAGTACGGGAATTGAGCATTTGCTTGAACCGCTGTAAGGATGTGGTCAACACTCCGCTATTCGGTCTGCATTGAAATTGGTGACAGATGCTAAGTGATGCTGACATTAGGCTGTTTGTGCTTACCTAAAGCGAGACATAAGCCCAAAACATCTGACACCTTCATAGCGACGTGCGACTCCCGGCAATAACCCAATATTAAATCGATCAATCAATCAATCAATCCAGCCAAATCTTAATAATATGGTCTGATCTTATCAGATCATTCATACGAGCATCGATACGAGACCACATCAAGCAACACACGAAGCCCTGTCATGTGTGTATGTATGTCAATCTCAACCTCGAAGATTTCAATTCGAAAGCAATTAGGGCGAAAGCAGCGACACGCAAGAGCAAAAGCAAGACAAGAAACCTCAACCGAAAGAAAAACGAGCGACCCTCCATCTTCTTTTACAGCAAGCAAGGACCAGCATCTCTGCCACCGACGCCATACCTCTACCCAAACCCAGCAGCACTCCAAAACCCCGACAAGAAAAGTCCATCCTCAGTGCTCCGTCACACCCTCCGCTCTTAGAAAAACCCCCCTCAACCCCGACCCGCAGCATTCCTTGTTTGCCCATGTACCATACCTCATGTCTCGGATCTCAAGCTGGGGACGTGCCGTCCGCCCGCCGCGGACCAAACCCAAACAACTTACATTAGGTAGGTACATACGCACGACAAAGGCTCTCGGGACCGAGCCCGCAAGCAGCCAACCAGGAGCCGCATAGTTCCCACCTCCCCCAGCAGCGTACCTCCCCACCCATGCCGCGCGCAGGAGTACATAGCACAGGACATAATATCCATCAATCACCATCAACACCTAAGCACATTCCCCGGCACATACCTCCCCGCAAGCCGGTCCATCACATAGAATTACGTCAGTGCCATATCGAGGTGACGCGTAAAACGGGCGAGTTTCGTGCGACCGTGCCACGGTATCACCACCAGCTTAGAAGGCGCCGACTATACATACATACCTACATACATACCTCAACACCTAGCCCTAGTCTATACGTGATAGGTCCGCGTATGATAAAAAGATCTCTTGGCAGGCTTCTTGCGTAACTATCCGACTTCTTGCTACTAACTCTAACATACATACACAGGTACGTAGGCGAATAGACGTTGTTGGTGCCGTGTGTTGGATATATATGAGAGCGCATTGGCGGTGAACAGACGATTCTTAAACGTATTCGACTTTTATTCGTGGCATGTATGTCGGGGCGGAATCGATGCGTAGCGTGCGGTAAAGCTAGTGGCGTCGCTAGGAGAGGCACTTACAGCGATTGTATGAATACGCTCGAATCCCATCTACTTGATGTGCACATTTTATACATGCTTCACAATTACACACGACACGATATATGGAAATCAATGTATTGACTTAAGGAAAAACTGACCGACTATGAAATTTGTTTTGGTGAGTGCAAAGTGATGAGGGAACGCCACCATGGCGAGTCCAAGTAGAAATCCGATCCACCACTCCTGAACCTGTGGAAGGTTGACCATGACGCAGAGGACCTCTTTTTTGTGAATTGTTGAGATGAGTATCATGATCAGACCAAAGCTGTATCGTTATCTGGTTCCTTAGGACGACGTGGATGCGAGTCTATCTTGTCCAGTGCTTGAAAGACTTAGACGAACAGGGGTATCCGGCGTGGAAGACATTGCCAAGGTGAACGGAGCTGTTTGCGCAGTTTGCGAACAGGGCACATGTGTTTAAAATGTCAAGGCATTAGGACGGAAAGCATCTGCAGAAAACACAATGCGATCGCCAAGCATCGAGGCATCATGAAAACGTATATGCCATGAAATCGCGAGAAGGTAGGAAGCGTTTGTCGGTCAGGCCAGGCGAAGCCCGAAGCATAGAAATCGTAAAAGAAATCGACGTCGTAGCAAATAATGCAAATCGTACACCGCTGCCCTCATCGAGGCATTGACTTTACGGATTCATCATAAAGTCAACGCTAGACACGAGGGCCAATTGCATGTGAACCCCAACGCCCAATGCGCACCGTCCATTCGTCGTATCGAGTTCACACTAACGCCAGATGTGTCATAACGCGGAGAAGTGTCATCGAATAGCCATGACTGAATAGTACCGCACGAGGAAGGGAAACGGATCGAGAAGACCAAATAGCCGAAACCAGAGACTGATAGACTGATAGACTGATGCAGAAGACGGAGAAGCATGCCGAAACGCCAGAAACGCGGGACGCCGGTTATGCTAAATCATGCCGGGTATGCTGAATCGTGTTGCGAGCCGGTTCCGGTTTACTAGAGTCCCGATTAGACTATTCGAATGACGGGCGTGCAGGGGTTAACATGAACTATACCTGAGGACCCAAGCCGCTAGGAGGAGGACCTTGGTGACCACTACCACCACCAAAGCCAGGGCCACCGAAAGGAGCAGCACCAGGGCCGGGTGGACCCGGGGGGCCTGGAGGGAAATAATGTGGAGGGGGAGGTGCGGGTCGATAGGGGGTACCTACACCAGAATTGTTTTGAGAACGACCCCAAGACAGACGAACTCGAGAGTTTCCAATAGGATATCCCTGCATCTGGTTGATGGCCATCTCCGCCGCGTGGCGATGGACGAACTGAACAAAGCCACATCCCTTTCCGGGAGGGATCTTAACGTAGGTGATTTCCCCAAAACCTTGAAAGAATGATCGGAGTTCGTCTTCGGTTACGTAACCCGAGAGACCTCCTACAAATACAGTCGTGTTGTTGGGGTCGGTGAACTGGTTCATCGTAAGGGGGTTGAACGTGCCGGGCTGCTGTTGGTAACCGTAGTTCGGAGGCTGCTGTTGCATCCATTGGCCTCCCATGGCGTTGCCATGGTGGGCTACCTGGGCAGGCGGCATCATCTGATGGCCGAATTGGTTGTACTGAGGGGCTTGGTGACCACTACTTATACTGTTAGTGAGGAATCGTATCTAAGAAAGCCGCTTATACCTACCGGTTCTTAGGGGTGGCGGGCGAGACTCTCATGGGTCTGTTGCCGCAATACACACCCTGCATTTCGACCAAAGCACGCTGTTGGTCCTGTTCATCAGAAAATCGTACGAAGCCATATCCGCGCGACTGCCCAGTCTGTTGATCTGTCATGATCTTAGCTGACTTGCAGCTGGGGAATCGAGCTTGGAATAGGGCGACTAGAACGAATTCGTTGACTTCGTGTCCGAGATCTCCAACGAAGATGGAGTACTCGGGAGTTCGGTCATCGCGACGATCAATGAGGCCTCCTCCAGAAGCCCAGTTGAGGCGGAACACGCGGTCAGTGTTCGGGATAGGGGTTCCGTTGAGTTGGAGGGCCTTCTGAGCCGCATCTGGGGATCCGAACTCAACAAAACAATACCCGGCACTTCTATGCCTCCCGTATTAGTAATTAATCATCTTCAGTTTTTGCGGGATACGTAGAAATTTAAGAGTTAAGGACTGCTGCAAATCTTCGGGACCATAAACCGCGCTTGCGGAATAATGAAGATCACCAGTAGTGTCAGGATTGCGCGAGGGTTCTTCTTACCCGGAGTGGCGATCTCGGATGATCTTAACTTGTACGTTTTCAGTAAGGGTGGATTGGAAAAGCGTGCGGATGAAGCCTTCATCCATCCAGCCAGCAAGTTCGCCCATCCTACAATTATTCAATTAATATTACATCATCGCAATGGCTATATGTGGATATTTCATACCAAAGAGTCTGACGAGCAGAGTCGGATGAGAAGTTCTGGGTCATATCGCCGCCTGCCTGACCGTTGGTCGGAGCCATGGGGAGACCGGGCTGGGGTACGCCGGGGGCAACGCCTGCGCCTTGAGAGCCAGCATCTCCCTGGGAGCCGGATCCGTTCGACGGGGGCTTGCCGTTGTATGGATTGAAAGTGTCCATGGTTATCTACAGCGTGTTAGATAAAATAGAGAAGCATATATGAATTGTTGTTTGCGACAGAGGAGTGTGGTATCTGAGTGATCTGCAGGGTGTATGGCAGCAGGAGGGGAGCATAAGCATAGGAACTAAACGTACAAAGTTCAGGTAGTAATTGATTTCAATCAAAGTCTCAAGGTCAACTGAATAATTGATTGGTGATTAGCAACTGCCTTTAGCGATAAGTGATTGAAGATTCCTAGGGCATAGACGAACTATCGGGGGAAAATAAATTTGCTAGAAAGGAACGGATGGAAGGGGGAAATAATCAACCAACTGTTATGAAAAGCGCTCAGAGCTCGGAAATCTTAGCATGAAAAAGTTGAACGGCGATTAAATCAGAATGAAAAAAAAAACATTAAAAAGATAGAAGTTCTTCAAGTGAAAACTTTTTTGGTAGAATGCTTGGTAGGTGTGAGGGCTGTGGCAGATAGTGGGCAATGCTCAGTGGATCACAATAGTCGTCGAAAAGAATGACAACATGAGTGAAAACAACTCACTTAATGACAGCTAAGAACCTTATTCGGTGGACACTGCGTGACCAAGCGTAGATATTCTAACTGTATAGTCAGAATATGTAACTTAAAATGACACAGACCGATTTCGAGGGTTCAGAACAGGAGCAGAACAGGAGCATTTGTGCATATTATTGTGCACAGCTCTGCTAGTGCGAATTTGTGATCAAACTTGAACTGAGTGGCAAGGGTAGATTATGTAATATGGTCTTAGTAGCGCTGGGAAGCAATTCATATTCGAATGGTTGCTTGCCATTCCAATAAATTTCTAGTGTGAACTGTGATGTGTTGGGGAGAAGGGGAGGGGGGTAAAACAGGGATGTTCATTAGGTGTTTTGCACAGCAGTTATGCGAATAACTTACCGATTAAGGTGAGAATTTGGATAATAGATATACAAGCAGGTAGAGGATGAGATCGAGGTTAAGGAGTTGTCGGATGTTAGAAGTTCTGAGAAAAGATTAGATAAAGGTCAGATGAAAGGCAATCAAAGTTTGAAGTTCAATGAGATGAAAAAGGAAGCCGACAGAAACCAAGGCCACCAGCAAATGGAAAAGTAACCTGTGCATAGAAGGATGACTCAAAAGATAAATGAAGACGTTTGCTTTTGTGATGAATACCCAAGTAGCTGTCGTTCAGCTTTGTAAACCACCAGAACGAATCCAGGCTTGGTGACAGTTTCATAGGCTAGGTTTGCGGATATGATCTGTCTGGATTCGATAAACGAATAAGCTCAAGGCACTTGCCCTTGAGCAACATATTCCCAAACACAACGCAACAATATTGAATACATAGATCCTGTCCGCAACCGCGACATGACGAGAAACTTCTAACGAGGAGGCTGTCATGATAGAATCTTAACCCAGTATCGGCGTGTATAGCTTTAGGCAGCCATCTCTTAACAGCCACTAGAGCATCGCGGCGAGAGAAGCATCGAGTAGATTATGACGCATCATTTCATTCTCGCAGCTTGTTGTATCGACGCCCCAGTTTTGCTGTCGGTCAAGCCCTTCACTAGCAATGCCAATCAGGCATAGAAACTCGGCCATATTTAGAAATTAGAAGGATGATGGCAATCATATTCATGAAGCTATCCACTGGATAACATCATGCTATGAGGCCATTTCTCGCTGGCAACAAATTACGACGTAACAGAGAATGTGGCGCTTTGGCGAAAAGGAGATTTCAGGGTATAGATAATAAGAGAAAGGAACAACCAACCTTTAGAAAACACCAACCCAATATCTAGATCCTGTAAGTCAGAGACCAGGGACCAAACGCCAACGCCTCGGACGTGTCCGGATGAAGGTGCGAATGCAAACGTCGAAATCTGAAGTCGTGTCCCTAAATCCCCTTTTTGCCGGCCGTGATATTAATGGACGCTTGATCAACAGGTATGATGAAATCAAGCCTCAAAGTCGTGTGACAGGGTCTAATGATGATACGGTCAAGACTTTGGAAAACCTGTAATTTTATGTTAGCTTTTTGCGATAAAACATCGAGAATGACCGCAGTCAGCAAAGAGTATCTTCAGCATTCGGACTCCAAGTTGTCATAGCGCCCAGAACGTTAAATCGAATTGCCGATTCCGAATGAAACCCTGAACTCGGAATATGATATTTAGTCTCCAGACATAGAGGTCAGTGAAAATAGATAAGCCGTTCCGGACCAGAATAAATGAAGTAGCATAGCATCAATTGAGAAAGATCCCGTGAATTATGCAAGAGGCGAGGTAATTCGGTTTAGTAGGATGGAAGCGCCACCGATAACTTTAATCAAGCGGGAAAGCCGCATTCAGTGATATATTGCGGCAGACTTAGGTCTACTAGAATAGTCAGATATAAGGGATACATTATCGTATTATGGTGAATGATGAGTGTAACGTACAAGTTCAAGACAGATGGTATCTGTTAGAGGCTTGTCGAACTAGGTAGCAAGACGGTTCCGCACAATTTGGAAAATATTCAGTGACAACCTATCCAAAGGAGACAGATGCTGATAATAGCAAAGCCGTTTCAACAAGCTTCCGGGTGTCTGTGAAATGACAACGATCACCTCCCCTCGCAGTGAATGGAGTGACCACACCATCTCCAGGAATCCTCATGCGTTCCGGTGTCGGCCAACCGTGGATAATCCATAATTCCCAGGCTTCAAATCGCCACAGTTGACACTGCCCAAGCTAAGAGACCTTATGCCCACAGGGTACCTAGTCGATATGTCCGGAAACGCGATATCCCCCATGTGAATGCTCCTCTAAAATGTATCCTAGGATTCGCACCCCAGATTGCAACGAGCGCAAAACGTTCTTAAGAATAACTTGAGATTCGAATTCGGATGGCCCTAGAAAGTCTGCTTACAGCAGTCACTCTCAATATGAGCATCGAGCGTCGAGCACCCTCATGTAACATGCTCACATTCGAGACAGCAAGCATCAGTCTCAGTCGTATCCTCCAGCTGGCCACCCCGCATCCTTATGCCCCTTATGGTTTGCGAAGTTTCTTCAATGATGTATATTGATAAGGATGAATCGACGATGCGGTAGGTAGGAATAAGTTGTTTATTTAAGCTATCGATACTCCGCGATTAAGTGCGAGGAGACTCCAAGTTGCGTTGGGATGACGCGAGATAACTAGGCGCAGACTGGAATTCGAAAAAAATGATGACCAGAACCATAGCATACGGACAACTTGATTCTACGCAATCGCAATAGGGTCGCAAGCGCTTTCTGTCCTTGATAATATTATCACATGAAGACTTTGTCCAAGCGAGGTTGTATTCGTCGTTGAAAGGTAGCCTGGTGTCTGGCGGGATAGGTGGGGCTGATCGCCGAGGATTTTCTAGAGCTCAAGTCGATCGAGGCTTTGCGCGCAGAGCTAGATGCTGTGCAATGCGGGGCATTGGGCACTTAAAACCCGTACCGCGATACTCAACGGTTTCCGCGATGACACTAGCAATCTTTTCGTTGTCACGAAGATCTGATTTGGTGTTTCCCGTTTGTATAGGAGAAAGTTTGGGCTCGATGACGCAGCTTCGGTTCGGGGGCGAAGGATCCGAGGGTCAATCGAGTCGCTGTAGCGAAAGTGTGCAGTACGGACCCATCTATTCATTTCTCACGGCCGAACAGCCCACCAAGGAGTGGCATCTCCAGGCTGCAGACCCTGTACATCGACTACATCTTCCGGAATATCCATAGGCTCGGGAGGAGTTCGAATGCTGAAGAGCACTAAAGTGCAAGAAGATACAAAGAAGAAAAGATGAACTTACTTTTAGACACCGAACGAGACTTTTTGGTTCCGAGTAAAGCAGTAGATATGTAGCGCCTTCGCGAACTCCAGCAAGATCCGAGGGCACCGGGGAATGTCTTTTTCTCGTAAAAAAATGACAGGACAGATTTCCTTTTTTTAGACTCCTAGAGCTCGAATTGCGCCGCAACAAGAATTGGGGGAACCGTGATAATTGGGAAATAAAACCCGCACTTGGACCGTTGCGACGATGCGATAGACGAAGAAGTGTATGATGGGATACCGAGCAGGCCGCGCGCACACAGAAAACGCTTTTTTGGGTAAAACGCACGCAACCAACAAATTCGCGTAGCAGGCAAGATGAAGGATTGAGCTCGCGACGTTAATTAGGGTTTGGAGAGAAGAGAGGAAGAGAAGGAAAAAAGAGAGTGTAAGTGTGGAGAGTGAGAGATAGAGCGAGAGAGAGAGAAGAGAGAAGGAGAATTAAAACAGCAAGCAAGAAACACAAAAGCAGACAACGATAGTGCTGGTTTGGTTTGCGCGTAGTGTGGATATGTGTGTGAGTGGGAAAAGGTGGAATTTGGGACTTGGTGCTTAGGTTGGGGCCCTTGGGGTGGAGGAAGGAAGAGTCTCCAACGAAATCAGCGTGCCCAGAGTGGAGCTGACAAGAACCCAGGCCGCACCTGCGATTTCAAACTTTAAAAAAAAAATTGGAAAAAAAGCCCTCTTCTGTGGGTGCCGCTAATAACGTGAACGGGCTACTAATATTTAGTAGATGCAACTAAAAAATTACTTAGAGACGGCGCCACGAACTCATCTACCCAGTCACCCAGTCAGGTCAGTCAGGCCAGTTTAACCAGTAAGATCTAGGACGTACTGTACGGCATCCGTGAGCCACCTATGTACGTAATTGCTCCTCAGCATTGAATTATTTTTTCTCACCATGACATGCAACCTACGTATATGCAATACAATTAGTTCTACTGGTTGAAAGTATATAGGTAAGTGATGAAACTACAGGCGTGTGCGCTTCGATGTTCCCGTCGCTTCAGTTGGTATACTAAAGTTTTCCATGTCACGGGTTGCTTCAATGTTCTATGGATGGATGTAAAAAATTCTAGGCAGGTGTGAGCCGAGGGATTCATCCTTGTACCGTGCCTGGCTGTTTAGTCTGGAGGTATGACCTCAAGCTTCCGATCAAAATGTATCGCAAATGTACATGCAGGTGAAGCCAGTGCCCCACCACTCAGGGAAAGCCCTACTCGCATACGTAATAGTACAGCGAAGTACTTCGAAGGCGACGGAACGGAATCTGGCATGTAGGAAATGGCAAGTACCGTTGTATCTAATATAACATTGAATAAAAGTCGTCTACATGTAACCATTTTGACTTTACAGTCTTCATTCGAAATACTTCTATATATTAAGAACAAAAATTGCGCTTCAGGTAGTTGTCGCCAGGTATGTATGTTCGATGAATTAGAAGGGAAGTTATTAGATTGAAAGCAATGGCATTGCTGAGATCTTACCTAAAGCGACCTAACTTGAAGCCGGATCTAGGTATCTACTTCAAGTTACGAATGTACGACTGGCTCGATCCAAGTCACAAGCGTTACTTACAATTCAACGTAAGATGTCAGCTCATCGCAATTAGAAAGAAAAATCAAAACATCAAAACTCAATATCGAGCATCGAGCATCGTTTAACGTTTATCGACAAGGTCAACGCAAGCAAGAAATAACCCTCATGCTCGCAAAAATCTTGCTATTTCGTACCATGTCGTCTAATGTTGTAAGGTAATAAGATGTATACCTAGGTACCTAGTAGGTAACTATAGGCAACATTTTCGCTTTCAGGTTTTGTCTTATTGTTTCTTAATAAAGAAAAAGAAGCTTTGATCACTTTGGACTTACAAGGATTGCCACGTCGAATATCGATCCTAAACAATGCATAGCTCCAATGCCGTTGAGGAATACGACATCCTATCCTGTTTGCTTCTTGGAGGTTTCTCCATGTTTATTCATGAAGAAAAAGCTTGCTGCAACCACCCCGTCCGTCAGGGATCGATAATTCGAGGTTGTTCCGCAGGTCTTGTTTTGAAACGCGTTTCTTTAGATCTAAACAACGCCTAATTTCTCTTCTAGCTACTATGCAGCTATGTAACCAGCTAGATGTCTTAATTCGGATCTTGTACGTTCGTCAGTCGCACCCGATGTATTCTTGAGTAACCGTTTTGACTGACGAGATCATTGGCTGATAGTAAGCATTCTTTACACAGCATAAAACTTTCAACCACTCATGATCAGATCCTAGGTAGTTATGGAAATTTGGGAAATGTTCTAACTAGGAGATAGAACATGGCAGCATGGCACTTTTCTTCCATCCATGACACCTGCTAGTGACAACTTAATTGGAGTCTGAAAACCAGCCTCTAAACAACCATGTATGTATCAGCGTTCGGGCACTACCGCAAACGAGGTGAGATTGGTTGTGAGACGGCGTAACAGCACGTGTGTACGAGGGGGGAAGGCCAAAAAATCTGGGACCCGATCTCGAATCAGAAAATAGCTCCCACCCCGGGAAATGCGACGATCTGCACGACCCCTGTCTGGTTGGTGGCCTATTTGCAGATTGCAAAATGACAAGCATCAAATGACGGAGGCTATGTGCGTACAGTATTTCTCGTACGGTGAATACCACACTTGGCAGCGCTTCAAATATGATATTTATCGGTATTCCGTGCTTAGCTGCTTAGGTGCGCTTCGAACGTCGAGTACTTGACACGTATAAGAATTAGATATGTAGAGCATGCATTGTCCAATCTTCCCAGTCTTCTCAATAATAACGTACCTGATATATGTCTGAGATCGATGGCGCAGAAAAATGACCGGGAGTGTCTTAGGTCGCGTCGTCTTGGTGTCAAAGTTGTACTATGTACGCGACCCATCCGACAGTGACCAGTGACCAGTCACCAGTCAATTACCAACTACCAAGTTACATGTAAGCAAGGGGGTTTCCCTATCTATCCGTTTCGTTTACTAGCAAACTTTTTCTTTCTTTCTTTCTATAACCTCCTTGTTGATTCTATGGCCTGCCAGCAATTACGCGCATGCGACTAACTATTTGGCCCCCAGTCCGGATCAAGAATGGATTTTTATAAGAAAAAAAACTTTAGTGCAGGATCCATCATACATATATACATGGATCCCCTCTGTTTTGACCATGCTAGGTAAATACTTACCTGTCAGCCTGCTTGCCTGTGTACATATACACACAGTACAAGATACTGCTGCAAGGCACAAGATCTGAATTTTTATTGGTGTTCCCGACCTCATATCTGAAAACTGAGAAGTTCAGGTTTTCTCGAACACGAGGTGCTTAACAATGCAAGTCTCACTGCATTATTTGACTATCAAGAATTCAGGTACGGTACGAGCCTCGAGGCATAACCTTGGAATGCACCTATGCACCTGAACATGGCCTAAAACTTTCATATGCCGACAATATATCCGGGTTGCTCAAAAGCATAGTTGTGCGTGTGGTGAATGTCGTTGCGCTAAGATCAAAATTGGTGGGACCTAACTGGTTCGTGTTTGATGGATCTTCCGGCCTTCCGAGCTTTGTTTTTGCTATCCAGGCAGCCAGGAAATAGCTCCTAATGCACCAGTTTACTGAATCGTGTTAGAGGATTAGCAAATCATCTAGCCGGGTTCGAGCCCCTGCAACTGTATCCCGCGTATCGGACTAGACACTTTGACAATAGCTAGACTCTATCTCGATCATGAGAATCGCACCCAATCCTAGTAAGCTATGTAGGTATTACTCGCGTTTGAGGATCGTCACTAACTCTGTTGGTTAGTAGAGTTTATCTCGCGCATGGCCTGCAGAAGGAGTATATACTGTCTGATTGGTTGGCTGTTAATGCGCGGTTTCGACGAAGGATGGAGGCCTATCAATCGGTCGACTCGGCAGGATAGGCTCTTCCAGAACACGGGACCGCGATCACTAGGTTCTGTCATCAAGTGTGATGCATACCCGACAAAGGTTCAAGCCGAGCTCGGTACCGTTCTTGCTTTATAACCTTAATGGCCGCATGTGTGACCGCATTTATTAATAGATTCGGGTTCCGTCAAGTCAACCTCGCCATGAAGATGCCGAGGGAGGAAAAAGATGCAGGTTGGGGACAATATAAACCAACTAGTTGTAGACGTAGGGGTTGTTGTACACGCCTAAACCCTTGACATGTATCGATAGAATTAGTTCTAGCACCGTCACGAGTTCCTTTGCCTGGCAACTTGGTAACTCAAGGTATGAGTAAGTTCCGTGGCCACATGAGTAGGAGCAGCCACTAAGTTTTGATATGTCGAAGGCGACTTGTTGCTCAAGAGCAACCAGCTTCGGGCTTCATTGTCTTTAACGTTAGATGCTCCCTCCCATAAATGCGGCACTCTTGAGATAACGGCTGGTATTTTTGTAGGAGCGCATCTCTTAGGAATTTTATGTACCAGCTTACGTGCCTAGTAGTTAGGTACCGATTGAGTATTTTAAATAATACAGCGAACCAAGCACACGCATTAATATATGTATTGTATTACTATAGGTAGTACCTACCAACAGCAATACTAAATTAAAATCGTTTTGATGAGAGTGAGGAATCGCGTACGTAAGCAAAGTAACCTCGCAGCTGCCTTGTTAGGCGACGAGTCTGACGTATAATGAGCCACATGTGGCTGTGCGTAATAATTGTTAGGTGGGTTGGATTTGTACCTACCGACCGCCACCTTCTTCATGTTTCTACTCGTTGCCAGGTGATTGATGTGTTGACGTGCGCATCTCGCTGGCTAAAAACACGGATATGGGAAAAGGGTTACGTTAAAAAGTCACAAGCTTAGCGGTCGTCAGTGTCTTCAATGCAATCATTTCATTTCGTACGTCCACAGAAGTCTAGAGGAAATTGAGGGTATGAATCTGTGCCCTTCCCGGCGTTTATTTCTCACTTAAAAAGACCATTCGGAATATCTACCTACGAACAACACCCCTAGCTGCTTAGCTAATAATCGATTATTTACGAATATACTATTGGATTCGTCAACTTCGAGTTACGTGCGACATCAATTTTGCATTAACGTGGCACATATTCTGTGCTTTCTTGAGTGCTTTCTCTCGCCCCTGGCGGGCTTCCATATCACACATGGCTTCATCTACTGAAGGAGCCGAGCTTAAGTTCGTATCATCAATACGGTACAAATTCGCCGGTGCATCCGGAGACGATAAGAAACTGAGCGATGCACTGAATTCTCATCTTGTTCCCCTTGTCGGTAAAGCTGGTAGTCAGTATAAGGCTGTCCGAGACGCTGTATGAAACCCATCCTGGTGTGTGGCCTGGGGGTAATACTAAATTGTATATACAGACCTTCCAAGCATTCATCAGTGTCAACAACTTTGTTAAACCAACAGGGTACGTGTCTCTTCTCAAGATCGAAGCAAATCCTTTGCTTGCTAACCTTAAAACTAGCGTCATATTACCCGTTGCTGCTCTCGTAGACCAGTACAAAAAGACTAGTTCGCCTATGGTAAAGCAATTAGACCTGAATCTCATCAAGCAAGGAATCACAAGGCTCGACCAATCCAAACGACGGGAACTTCTCCCGATCGTTCTTCGAGGAATCTCAAAGGAAACCAACCCGATTAGCGCGGCCGGATTCTTTAATATTTTCCTGCGCTTGCTTCTGGATATTAAGATACCTGGTCGAGGAAGTAACGAGGATATTGCTCTGCGGGAGCAAACGGGCCTATCGGATCCGGTAGATGCTGGCTATATATCACAATGGCTTGGCAAGCTCTTCCTTCTGAGGCAGGATTTGGCCCTTGCAAAAGAAGAAGACCTTGATATAAAGCTACGGGATTCGCCATCCGGCCTCTCCTTGGAAGATGTTGCTTTTCTGAGGAACAAAAACCCCCTATCCTGGCATCCAAGTAACCCATCCAGCCTAAGTTTATCGGAATGCAAGATCAAGGCCGTCAGTTTCTTGGCTAGCGGGGCTTTCACGGACTCTGAACGTCATATCCCAACAATATGCGCTGCCGGTTCGGCTGATTCACGAATCACATCGATCGCCGACGATATCCTCAAACGGTCAAGTGTTGATCTTGAAAATAAAATCGTGGTTAAAGCTCTTTATGACGCACATAAGAAGCTTCCACCTGCTCAACGGACACAAATTCTCAAACTACTCTCGAAATCAGTCATTGCCTGCAGTTTCAACGACGATGCAGTAGAGACCGCCAAGCAAGATTTCAATCTTGGGCCTGGCCGTAATGCCTCTGTTCTTGGCCTGGAAGCTTCTCGCTTAAACAAGGCATTGCTGGCATTTTTGGGATGGATTGCGAGGAACAGTTCTAGTTCTACTGACCGTAGTAATACCATGGGCCCTTCTCTCGTTCTTATCTTGAAGGACTACATTCTAGGACAAGGATGGCCGGAACCTGCAGTCCCAGGAAATATACACCAGATCCAGGATGAGTTGAAGCTACGAGCTAATGCGTACGAAACTATTGGTGTCTTAGCTAGGGGTAGTCTGTTCGAATACAAGGCGAAAGACTCACTCCTGAAATGGCTTTTCGACTCCCTCGTTTCTGATCCAAGCCCTGATATTGTAGTCTACATCGAGAGCGCTTTGTCGAGCATGATGGGCCTTTTCAAGCCGACTAATCCAGCGGAAACCCGCGACCTAGAAATATTGCTTCTAGAGTATATGGCTCTGTCAGGTGGGCAAGGCGGAAGGACGGCACGGCATATAGCGGCACGCTTCGCGAATAATAGCCTTCCTTACAGTAACGTTAAAGCTCGATGGATCGATATTCTTGCACTAGGTGGTGGGTCCACTGAACGACGTGATGTGTTGGAAGAGGGGCAACGAGGACTTGACCCTTGGTGGGCTACTAAGCTAAATCCCGACGATGCGCTGGTCTTACCTGACTGGGAAAAACTGGCAGAGATGTTCTTCAATATGAGCCGCAAAGAAGACGAGAATCGCATGGATGTTGATCAGACATCCAAGTACACTCTATTCCCAAACAACTGTCTTCAAGCTTTCCCGGTAGCGATACACTTCATTAAGAAAATTCTGTTTCTTACTGCATTAGGTGAGGACAAATTCGAAGTGGACTGGGAATCCCAACTAGAACGAAACATCGAAAACGACCTAGCAACCCGTGATAGTATCAGACAATATTTCGCTACCTCGAAGCCAGATTCCCTTTTGAAAATCCTTAACGCAGCACTTGATGGGATTAGAGATCACCCTGATGTCGGTGCCGAAGAGTGTATTAGCTGTGTTGCAGAGATATTATCATTCGCCCCTTCGAAAACCGTCATATCACCCTTATCTGCGAGAACACGAGAATTGATTCCTTTGATCAAATCAAATAACCAAAAGGTTAGGCAATTGGCGTCAAAAACATTTGGTATACTTGCACCATGGAGCAACGAGTCTGCCATTCTTATTTCTCAGTTGCGAAACTTCGTTGAGTCAAATATGGATCCGTCTGCTTCTCAATCTGCAGAATATCAAGGCTCTCTCGCTTGCTTAGGCAGTTACTTTTCTCGAGCTGCGTACTACGGAAAATTTAAGCCTCAAGATGTATCCGAACATGCCCAATTTCTCTACGAGAGTGCTACCTCTACGTTGGAAAAGGCAAGCGCGGATATCAAGGCCACCGCTCTAGACTCCATCTCTCAGCTATGGACTGCAAACGTTCATTTCCCTGTTAATGATGACGAATTGACTAAAATTATAGACTCATTGGCAAAGCTTGCGGCCTCAGGCAACGAAAAAGCAATCACCGCACTGGGAAGGTTAGCGATTCCTTCTTTGGCTGATGTGTCAGGAAACGATACGGAACCCGTAGCGAAGATTTTGGACAAGCTATTTGGACTGTCGGAAATCAAGAGGACAGAAATTCACTTCGCTATTGGTGAAGCAATTGCCTGTGCGATTTCTCGTTGGGATTCCGAAGCCGTACAACTCTCTTTAGACGTGGAACCCTCGGGTACTGGTAAATCCGACATTATCGAGGCTCTTGGGAATCGACCCTCTAGAATTGATACCACAATCAACAAACTCATTACCGACTGCAAGACTACTAAGCCTTCGCTTTTGAAGGCTTCTGGTATATGGCTGTTCTGTGTCATTCAATACTGCTCAAATCTACCTCAGATTCAATCCCGTTTACGCGAGTGTCAAGTTGCTTTTATGCGACTTCTCACTGCTCGCGACGAGCTCGTCCAGGAAACTGCATCCCGTGGCCTAGCTTTGGTGTACGAAAAGGGCGACGAGTCTCTGAAGGGTGATCTTGTTAAGGACCTGGTGGCAAGCTTCACCGGAACCAAGACACAACTTAAAGTCGACGAGGATACGGAGCTCTTTGATGCCGGTGCACTGCCAACGGGCGAGGGCAAATCTATCACGTCATACAAAGATATCATTAGTCTCGCCAACGAAGTCGGTGACCAAAGTCTCATCTACAAGTTCATGGCACTAGCTACGAATGCCGCAACATGGACTGCTCGCTCAGCATTCGGTCGGTTCGGTTTGAGCAACATCCTATCCGATGCGGAACTGGATCCTAAAATCTACCCGAAGCTATATCGATATCGATTTGATCCGAATTCGAATGTGCGACGATCGATGGACGACATATGGAAGGCTGTCGTAAAGGATCAAACTGTTGTGATCGATACACACTTCGATGCCATCATGAACGATCTTCTGAAAAGTATCTTGGACGGAAAAGAATGGCGGGTGCGAGAGGCGAGCTGCGCGGCGATTGCTGAACTCATCTATGGTCAAAAGTTTCCCAAGTACGAAAAGTACTACACGGACATCTGGAAAGCAACGTTGAGAGTCCTAGATGACCAAAAAACTTCGGTCCGAGAGGCTGCGCTCAAGTTGTGTATGGGCTTGTCGAAGACACTAGTTACCCAACTTCAGGAAAACAACTCTTCCTCTTCCGCCAAGGCAATGATTACCCAAGTTGTCCCATTCCTGTTATCTGACAAGGGAATCGAAAATTCAGCAAAGGAGGTGAAGAGTATGTCTATTATTACAGTTCTTGATGTCGTCAAGAACGGTGGTGATGCGTTGAAGCCGTTCATTGCAACTATCATTACGCATTGCCTTGGGCTACTTAGCACTGTGGAGCACGAAGCCGTCAATTATTACTATCAACGAGTAAGCGAGGAAGACCGCGAGGGCCTTGACAAATTACGAAGTACTTTTGCTACACGATCGCCTATTTTCGAATGCGTCGTCGACTGTTTGCGATTTGTTGATGAAGACGTCATGAAAGAACTGGCTCCGCAATTGATATCGACCATAAAATCTGCGATTGGAATGCAGACGAAGATCGGCTGTGGCGAAGTTCTTAATACTCTGGCCTTACGGCATAGCATTCTTCTGCCACCGTACAATGCAACATTTCTCAAGGCGATGGAGACGCAGATCCTGGATCGGAACCACGAAACGAGTAAGGCTTATGCTAGAAGCGCCGCATATTTATTGAGATCTGCGAGCATAGAGGTCCGAGATCGATTTACCTCTAGACTCCTAGAGTTGTACTTTGGCGCCGAGGATGATACCAGGCGCCAGAAAGTTGCGGATGCTGTCTTGGCCATCGCTAAAATTTCACCAGATGCATTTACTGACCTAGAGGCTCGTCTCTTGCCATTCGCATACTTTGCAAAGCACGATACCGACGAATACGTCTCTGAGGAGTTTGCGGCTGCCTGGAATCAGCACGCGGGTGGAAGCCATAGCGTAAAGCGCTTCGTTGACGAAATCACGCAGATTGTGTCCCGAGGCTTGGATACGTCGAAGTGGGCTCTCCAACATGGTGCCGCTTTGACAACTGCATCCATGGTCACGGCGCTCAGCAGCGCTGCTGGGAAAGATGGTCAATTCGCCGATACGGAGCTGCAAAAGATTTGGCCTGTATTAGACAAGGCCTTGGCGCTCAAGACATTCAAAGGGAAGGAGAAACTAGTGACAGCGTATCCCCTCTTTGTGCTCCACGGCAAGAAGCTTTGGAACGATGATTCCGCTTTCGCTGCCCAGTTGAAGAAGATAGCTATACGCGAAGCAAAGCGGAATAATGACGAATACCGACCCCATGCCATTGCAGCACTCGCGGAGTTCGCTAGCGCCCGCGAGGACTTAGACATGTACGCGGAGGTAGTCAGTCTGGTGTCACAATACTTGAAACCTGATGACGAAACACATAAAGTCACTGAGTTGGAGCGAAGAACGGCGGAAGCAGCACTCAAAGCTGACATGACAGCTTACAATCGCCAGAAGATGCAAGCTACCCCAGTTTCAGTACTAGGCGAGGTAATTACCACCATGGAAGGGGCAAAACAAGCGATTTTGATGGCAAAGGACACGTGGTTTACCAGCACAACTGAGATCATGAACCAAGCAAGTAAATCAGAAGGTTCACCTGACCCGACAGCTGCAACTGTGGCTACCCGCTGGTTTCGACTACTTGTCGCAAACGAAAACGACATTGCTCTTGAGAGCCAGCGCACAAGCAGGGCTAAATCTCTAGATGCGTTCGTGAAGGCATGGAAGAAGGGCGTCTTTGGTTCGATTAGCGAACAGGGCTCGCTGCGTGAAGAGATGGAACAGAAGCTGAAGGCCATGGCGGAAGCAGATCGGTCTATAGACGTGCAGAAGCTTTTGGGCCAGGTCGCCCAACAGTTGGTTGCGTGATTTGGTGAAGGGGGTATTGCGAAGAATGGCGTTAGGGAGTGGGTGTTTTATTTCGTAGACATCAATCATAGATTATGTTGATGATGAATGGAATAACGATATGTTATCCGGGGATGATGGAGGTCTCTTATGTACAAACTTCGTGTTTGCTGTCATAGATCTCCATTTGTAGTCAGTCATCAATACAAGTAACTGATTACTTAATATCTACCTATATATAGCAATTGTGAAGCTATATTTTGTAAAACATTCCCCTTTCTTTTTTACAACTGTAAAGAGCTGCCAGGTGATGCCAGCTGCTGGCAACAGAGACGGAGATTTACCGGTAAAAATATAAGAAGGCACCCACTATTTCGCTCCTTATCAGCCCTATCTACCTATCGGTGCTCGGCCCCACAAGATTATGTTGCGTCACAATAGCCGCCTTTGAACCATTTCCAAACTCATCCAACGTTATCCAGCAGCTTTCAATCTGCATGAACAAACGATCGTAACAACTTTATTCTTCCATTTGCCTCGACGGCCATAGGTCCTTTGGCGTTTTTTTCGAACAAAATTAGACTGCTCTACTGGTTTCGCATTTATTACAGGCAGACATCGGGCGAGTTACTTAGGCCGGGCCATCGTGAACTTTGAATTCATTCGTCTAATTCCATTCAATACTACCCGCGACCTTTACAATTTAATAGTAAACCGACACCACGACCTCACTGCGTGTTGGCTCATTCTCTACCGGACGAAGAATCAAACCATATCGATTGACTCCCCTCTCCATAACCAACTTCTATTTATCTAGACTGGGTCGACATTCGCTACTTTTCCAAGATGGATGAAGAGGTAGACCAGTTCATGAGCATAACCGGCGTCGCAGCCGAGCGTGTAGCTCGCGGCTACCTCGAGATATCCGGTGGCGACCCGATGCAGGCTATCCAGCTTTATTTCGAAAATCCCGAATTAGAGGCAAGCTTCAACGCACCTGCTGCTTCCACCTCCGCTTCAACCTCGGCGCGACAACCTCCCACGGCCGCAACTGGAAGTCAAAACTTTACCGGTCGCGAAGATTCTCGAGGCTTCATTGTGATAGACTCTGATGACGACGACGATGATGTTCAGATGGATGATAACGACTTCGCGGTACCCGATGACGGTGATGATAATGTTGCGGCGATAGCGAGAAACGCTCAGGAGGAAGAGGATGCGGCTATGGCTAGACGATTGCAGGAAGAGATGTATTCAGAGAACCATGCGTCCGGAGATGGAGTGCGGGCCCCAATAGCACAAACAACGGAGACCCTCGCAGCGCCTAACCCGTCGTGGGGCATGGATGACGACCGAGACGCTGCTGTCATGGAACAACTACGACGACAGCGCAGAGCTGACGGTAAATAACAATGATTATATTATTCATTATATATGCATCACTAACTTTATTCCCTAGGTTCGAGTACAAATCCCTTTAACCAATCATCGGTTGACTGGTCCGACACCGACGACCGCACAGTCCCAGGCGCAAGATCATCGCGATTCCCACCAACCATGGGCGCTCCAGACAGCACAACGAGAAGATTACGAGATCTATTCTCACCCCCAACTAGCCTAATCAACCGTCTTCCCCTAGAATCCGCGAGAGACCTTGGAAAGAATGAGAAGAAGTGGATACTCGTGAACCTTCAAAAACTCGACGACTTTCGATGTCAAGTTCTTAACCGAGACCACTGGAAGAACGAGAACATCGTTTCCTTAGTGCGCGAGCACTTCATCTTCCTACAATACACCTTAGACGACCCTCTATCACGCTCTTACACGCAATTCTATTTCCACAACGGCAGCCATGAAGACGAGAATAACTATCCTCATGTTTCGATTATCGATCCCCGCACCGGAGAACAGGTCAAGGTGTGGTCGGGAGAGTCGTTCCCTTCCCCAGAAGAATTCAACCAAGATTTAGTTGAATTTCTAGACCGTTACAGCTTAGCAGCCAACAGCAAGAATCCTGTGGTAAAGACGAAACCGAAATCGAAGCCTAAGGATATTGGCCGTATGACGGAAGAGGAGATGCTTGAGATGGCTCTAAAAAACAGTCTTGACGAAGACGGTGGCCCATCCGAACCCAGCGTTTTGGACCCAGACGCTCTTACTAAATCAAACCCAGATATTGGAAAGGGCAAGGGCAAGGAGCTTGCTGATCCGGATAGTGATGCGGCAGAAGAGGCATCTGGAGCAGCGTTCGCCCAAATATCATCCTCTAACCCTCACGTAGAGCCCGACAACAACCCGGCGACTACGACCAGGATACAATTCCGACACGCAGGCGGTCGCATTATTCGACGATTCCTTATCACAGACACCATTCGTCGTATCTACGAGTGGCTCAAGGCCGAGCCTCTCGAGGGCAAGGAGGGCGTCACGTTCGAGCTCAAGGCTATACCAGGCGGAGACCTAATCGGAGAGCTCGAAAAGAGTATCCAGGAAGCTGGTTTGAAGCAGGGTACGGTTATGATCGAGTTCATCGAGGACTCGTAGGAAACCGAAGCATAATGAAGGGATTCGGCCGCGTAAGGGGATACTAGGAGACAAGGGAACATAAGGATTGTCTGCATCATCTTTCACGGCTCGCGTAATGCGTTATAGACCATGTCATAGTTAAATTTGCAACAGCTCAGGTTCGCTGTTGCCCCGATTCTGCTTTAGAACTAATTAAACAAGTTCTCGTGACGTTGAATTTATTTTTGAGGTGTTAATGATATGGTCAATTTGTGAGGTTGGTTGCTTGTGAGGATATCCTATATGGTGCAAGTTATGATAATGGCAAGTATAACTCTAAATTCCACACCCCTTTCCCTGTACATATTATCTTACAAATTCCCTTCAATATATAGTCCCTCGGCCCTCAATCCACCACACGAACCGCCGGCATCGTAGGCGTAGCATAAATCATCTCCTCATCCGTCTCCTCCGGAAGCATCCGCTCCACCTCGCGCATCGACTCCCAATGCACCGTCCCATACCGATACATCTCCCCAAACGTCCCCGGCCTATGATCCACATCCCTAAACCCATCCCTCTTCACCAAATCCCCCAACGCCGGCGTCCCCCCCGCTGAGTTATGGTACACCTTATACATATGACTCCGCTCCAACATCTCAACCACAAACTCCTCCGCCTCCTTCCTCTTCCCCACATCCGCCTCATCGAGTCGCGTGCCGAATAGCGCCGCTTGCTTGTACCCGTCGTAATCCGTCTTAATCGCCCCTAGAATCCCGTTCTCTATCCCCTCGACATGGAAAACCTTCCTCTCGTAAAACTCCCGCCCGTCCCACCCCGTCTCCACATCCACCAGCTTCCGCGTGCGATCCCCCATCAACATGTGCGCCACGTAATCGCTCATCTCCCGCACTCGGTCCCCGAACCGCCAGTCCGCCATCCCCTCCGCCAGCCCGATCTCCCGCATCAGCGGCTCCGTGTGCATCCCCGATGCGTTCGTGCGGTTGGTCCATAGGGCTTGGTACCCGGCGTGCCAGTGCTTGATGAAGAGGCAGTGTTTGCGTGCCGCGAGCATGTAGTTCCCGAAACTTCCCCATTGTTTGCGGATTTGCCCTGTTATCACCCATACTGCCATCTCGTACGGGGAGGTGGGGGAGGTGAGATGGTTCCAGAAGAGGCGGTCGAGGTGTGTGTGGAGCATGTTTCCGACATCCATCCATACGCCGCCGTGCTCGTAGAGCAAGGGCAGACGAACTAGGTCTGCGGCGTGTTGCGCGGCGTGTCGGCCATTCATGGTGTGGTTTTGGAAACACGCCGGGAACCAGGTCTTGTCGACGTAGTTGTATATATGGTTCGGCGAGCCGTCTTGCAGGTCGACGATCCGGATTGTCCAGGAGGGACCGAGCTTGCGCACCCAGTTTGTTACGGTGTGTTGGTAGCTTGGGTACATTGCCGACAGGCCTTTGTCCCAGAATGCCCAGACGTTTTTCTCGGAGGTGATGGGGCGGAAGGTGTGCAGTTCTGCGATTATCTCGGGTGTGGGCCGGAGGTCCAGTTGTGCGTCGGGTACGACGCGGAGGTTGGTCGCGGATTTGGGGAGAGGGAATTTGGCTGCTTGGGTTGGAGGCATTGTTGAGGTTGTTGTGATGCCTCCCATGGTTATTCTCATTGGGGATTTTATGAGTTACTTCGTGCTTTACATATCGTCTTCTATCCCCGAGTCGAAGACTTCAAGAATATATATGCCATTTCAAATATTGCGCGCTGATGGGAAAGGAGCATGGCGGGACCATCCGACAGCGACAGTAAGATTGAGCCCCCATGCTCGTTCCTATCGTAAATTCCAACTACGACACGCCGAATGATTCATAATGGTAGATTCAAGGTTCTCAAGACCATGTCGGCGCTAAGGGTACCGATGAACATGGGGCTTGACTTCCATCGGCGCTATCTAGCATCTGGTGATCCTGCTCCTGCCTTTGCTCCCTGTCTGTTACTGCGGGTCGGTCCGTAGCTTAACTCCGTAGCTCAACTCGATCGCCGCGCCAAGACGGGAAGGTCCTGCAGTTCGACCGAAGCGGTTAGCGCGATCATGATTCATAATGACGGGGAAGGACCCGGGATCATTTCTCAGCTCAGGGGGCTAAGCAAATCTCAATCGCCGACGATTCGATACACGGGACGTACCTAGCAGTCTAGTAGGTAAGTACAGGAATTGCTTTTCATACCCTACCATCTACCTAACCACTAACCTAACTCAGACTTATCTGAGGTGGCTTTGGAATACAGGCAGCCAGGTAAAATGATTCAGGATGAGATCTGGGAGGGACAGGGGCATTGCGGGCTGAGGAGATAGCATCGCCTCAAGCTAAGCGCATGCTCGCAATTGCTTTTCATCACATAGTGATTAAGAGGAATACCAACTATAAGAAGTCTCATCGAGCCTATTGTGCTCGAGAGAAGCTCACAGAGATTAATATACTCTACAACGAGCATCTTCAGGCGGAATATCCATAAGTTGCAATGGTTGCTCTCAAAGACAAGCCCGAATACGTCGATCTCGATGTCGATTTCACGCCTCTACCAAAACATGGCCATCTATCGGAGAAAACGCCGGAGTTCATAGAGGCCGAGCCCGCGATTGCAGCCGCCTATGACCAATTATGGGCGTTACCAGATTTCGCGGCGTTTCGCCAAGCTGCGGGTGACCCTGACGCCCCTATGCCACATGGTGGACCCGATCGGTATTGCGACGTTGTGACCGAACTGCTACAAGTTCCTGCGCGTGACGGGCACTTGATTGAGTTGAAGATTTATAAATCTCCAAAGGTTTTGCCGGGCGCTACGTTGGTTTATCGCATGCATGGTGGTGGTATGGAACATCAAGCACGACCCCTTTTCCGTGACTGCAGCTCGCTGACCTCTATCTAGGCTGGGCTGTCGGGCGACACGAGGTAGATGGTGCCGAGAACGTTTATGCAGCCACGAACCCTAACATAGTCGTTGCGAGCGTCGAATATCGATTGTGAGTAATTGGAAGTCGGTATAATGCGACCTAGCTAATATTAATAAGAGCCCCTGAGTTCCCCCTTCCAATTGGGAGCAATGATTGCTATGATGGTCTATTATGGGTATGTTCACCAATCGCTGGCTTATGTCCAATATAGACTAACTAGCTTTAGTGTAAGAAGAATGCCACAACCCTTGGAATTGATCCAGAGAAGATTATCGTTGCCGGAAGTAGTGCCGGAGCCAATCTTGTAAGCTTCCAATGGGGGTTGGTTATACAGAGTATGCTTCGCTAACATTGCAAACAGGCTGCAAGTCTAGCCATCATGGCTAGAGATAGCGGTATCACTGGCATCATCGCCCAGATTCTTCATTTCCCAGCAGTTTGCCATCCCAAATTCTTTCCCCGAGACAAGTATGAGTTTGGCAGCTACAATCAGAACGCCTTTAATTGCGTCCTCAATGTCCTCATAAACGAAGCTTTTCTCGACGCATACAATCCTGATGTCAAGCCCGACACCAGACACTCGCCTCTGCTTGCGGCGTCGCATGCGAATCTTCCTCCAGCCTGTAAGAAGCATTTGCCGACCCCTTTTCTCCGTTTCATGTTGTATGTTCCATCTATACGTGACTAATTGTTAGCCCTCTTCTAGTAATACAATGCGCAGGTGTTGATATATATCGGGATGACGCTTTCGCATACGCCGAGGCCCTCGAAGCTGCTGGCGTTGAAGTCGAGATATATGGCTACAAAGGCGTGCCCCATTGCTTTCCTGCGGTTATCATAACCCATCCTAGCACGCCGGTCTTTTACGAGAGGTACAATGCCTTCTTGAAGAAACACGCGACTAGTTCTAATGAGGAGAAATAATGATTCTCAAAAAAGGCGCGTGGTGGATGGAAGATGGTGACTATACCACTCAAATGGAATTGCCTTTTCAGGATATTTGATGCTAGCAGTTTAAATGGGGCCGTTCCCCGGTCACCGGTCCGGATCCGACTATGACCTCCCAACCAAGGTAGATGCTGTGTAAGTCTTTATTACAATGTCAATTGTCGAGTATATGACATGTCAAATTATTTACTCCAGCTGATACCTATGAATTTACATGCTTATTACTGCCCTCGGAGATTGTAGATGTCTTGAGAGTCAGAAAAGTTCGTCCGCATGGTTGGTCCTTCAGGGGATCGAGTCCTACGATTAGATGGCATATCACATAGCACGTATCAAATGTATAGAGGACTGCAATTGATTCCCTATCTGTGGTCTGCCTAATCCATTGCCAGCATGCAAAACTCCAGTCGAAACGCAAAAGTCTCATACAGCAATAGCAATCGAAGCATCAATCATCCTTCCATTGCCCAAGTACCATCTCCATTCCTCTGCCATACTTCCGCGGTAAGGGTTCTGTAACCGTAGAACAACTTACTCCGGTGCGTATTTTGCCGTCTCGAAGAGGTTAGAGATTGTCAGGTTGCCGTGGTTTTGAGTCTGTTCGGCAGGACCCGTGTTGGTGGCCATGTTGTTCTCGCCACCAAGTCCAGCACCGGAGCCACCGGCACCAGAGTCAACAGCACCGGGGTCAACAGCACCGGAACCACCAGGACCACCAGAACCACCATCGCCAATACCCTCACCACCGCCATTCTGGGGTCCACCTCCATTCTGAGATCCACCTTCAGCTCCAGCGCCGGCACTACTACCAACACCAGCATCATAACCACCACCACCACCACCGAATCCCACGTTACTACCAGCAGCTCCATCCTCCAGCGCATAATTCGCTCTCTCTTTTCCCTTCCCCTTATAACTCTCCCCCTCTTCCTCGCGATTCTTCACACTATCAACCCCATAATGCAAATACATCAACCCCGTATCCTCACGTTTCGGAAGCATCGTCTTAGTAAAGTGCTGCACTCCAAACCCCGTACCTTTGCAGAAAAGACACACCGACACCACGGGATCAATAAACCCACCAACATACTCCCTATCCTCCCCCGCACGTCCGGCATTCACACAATCGTTCATCTCATCAATCAAATGGTGGAACTTCACCGGGCCGGGATTCATGCCCGTCCAGCCGTACACGGAGATCTCCGTGCAGCGCACCCCGTTCGCGGTCCCCGTGGGCGGGTGGTTGAGGAACGAGTGGTACCAAGTGCGCACCTGGGAGGCTTCCTCTGGGTCGAGGTGGTTGATCAGGTCGTGTGAGTGCGGGGATGCGGTGAATGTGGTTGCGGTGGACTCGTGGAAGCAGAACTCGGCGAATGTCCACCACGAGCGCGAGAGGATGTTCTTGGCGCCGGCGGCGCGGAAGTTCTTGTTCACGTGGAATCGCATCGCGGCGCAGTCCGCGTGGTCGCAGTGTTCGGGGCCAGAGAAGAACGTGATTGTGCGGCTGCTGAAGTCGTTGACGAAGTTTTCGGCTTCGTAGGCTGTGACGAGGAGGTCGAAGTATATTAGCATTGTGCCCGGGTCGTTGACGTTGAGGGCGACGTTCTTCTGGTGCAGAAGGATCTCGTCCTTTTCTGTCAGACGTCGGGCTTTCTGCCCTCGTTCAGTTTCCTTGGACACGAATAAGTTAATCGCGACAACTTTATCACAATCCTTGGGTCTTTCACGCGCATAGAGGAAGTTTCGGTCTACAACGAAGATGTCCGTTTCGAAGTTACAGACTAGTTCCCCTTGTAATCTCACGCTAGGGCCGATCTTGACTTTCGAGGCATCTCGGTTGTCGTGGTTTAGGTACGGCTGTCCGTTCTGGGTGATCGGTACCCACTCCATGTTTTCGCCGACGCTGATTCTTGGTGTCCCGGCGCTGACTTTTGGTACCTTCCTTGATGGACCTGATTTCTTGCTACCGCCGGAGGTGGAAGCAGTTGCGTTCATGAGGACAGGTCTAGAAGAACTACTGGCGTTACGGATAGTGTGGCCTGTAGAATCGACGTAATCTACATCGACACGGGCTTGAACACCAAGACTGATGCCGAAACTGGTAGCTCCGGGTTGCAAAGTGAATTCTTGTGGGGGTATCTTATCGAACCGAATCTTTACGCGGGCTTGTATTGCTGGTGGAGCTTCTTCTTCATCTTCATCGGAGGCTGGTTGGGCTGCTTTACCAGCGGGTTCTTTCTCCCTCACAGGGCCACTCGCTCGAAGTACATTCTTGAAGGATTGCTTGTATACGAGACCCCAGATAACAGTCTTGATGCCAGAAGTAGGATCTGATGGTTCGGTCGAAGCCATAACGGCGGATGTCGTGGCAGTATTTGCCGTGGGGTTCGTACTCATCATTGTAGCTGATGATTAGAAAAGGGATGAACGGAAGTGAATGTAGGCTGAACTTGTATTTAGAATAATTTTATGTGAAAAAAAAAGAATTGATAGTGTGTAAATGGGTTGATGAGGAGAGTGTCCTAATAGAAGCGTAATTAAATCTTGATAATTCGATAACTTCGAATTTCAAGAATTTGCTTGTTAGGTTTGGAATGTGCCAAAGGCACCTAGAGGTGGTGGGGTTCAGGATATATCACTAGGAAACAAGTAGAGGAGTAGGAGGATCGAAGAAATCTAATTAGTAGGAAAGAAGTTGAAGAGGAGAAAAAAATTAATTTACCTAGGGTTTCCAGGGCAAGTGTCTAGATATATAGCTTGGCGGGTATGTCTAATCAGTAAAGTCGGTGGATTTTATAGTTGGCGTATTACATTGACGTTATATAGTCATTGTATCGTATACTCGGTGTGGTCGACTTTTCGTATAGTATAGTCTACATGGTACGGTTGACGTGGTTTGGGGTTGAAGTGCAATAAAATCGACGACTATAGCGCGGGACAGGTTACCAGAGAAACTTGGTTCACGGTCATCAGATTAATGAGATCAAAGAGGAGCTTTCTATCTGTAACTAACTGATATTATAAGAAGTTCAGAATTCACATGAAGTTGCCATATGTTACGTAGGTAACGATACAAATTATTATTCTACTGTTTAGTTAGCTTCAGGTGACTATATTGATTCAGCCAGAACTTGAGATATAAGTTAATGAATATTCGTTATTGATAAGTTGAGCTTTTCCTTCAATTTTAATATTCACGATTGTTTATATGATATTATTTAACACGGTCGTCTTGTAATGTATCGCCAGTTGTCTCTAAGACTTCAAGATCTTAAAAATGCCCTGTAGAAAAAAGCTCACAGTTGATGAGCAAGCTCCTTAAAGAAAAGAGAAAGGGAAAATAAAAGGAAAAAGACGACGATTGAAACGATATACATGCTTTGAGATCGCCTCATATAAAAGACAAATTACAAGCATTAAGTATTGTGGATATTGAATGTCCTCGTAAGAGCGGTTATAATGCCAGTTGTCGTATTTTAAAGTGTACGCTTAGTCGTAAAGATAATTTAACAGAAGTCACGCTCCTCCAATCCATATACATCCCCATTTCATTTTCTAGGCAAATCTCTCCCCCGGTAGCAATAAATCATGAATCAATAAACATAAACACTAAGCGACGCTGGACGAGGCAGACTAGCAATATGCTCGAAATGATCAATATTTGGGGTATCAAAAAGGGAGAATATCCCAATCATCTATCTATATACATGATTTAAGGGGAATAATTAGTTGACCCTATCGCGGTCCAGATCTATGTCGGCTACCTTTACAGGCTTCGTCCTGTAAATCAACTTGTGCCCCACAAAGAGCACAACAAACAAGATGATGCTAACATATGCGGCGAAGAAGTTGCCGGTATTCCACTTGATGAAGACGGTAAATCCGTTGGTCAGGATAATTAGGATGCAGAAGAAGAGCCCGAACCACGTTAGGTATGGTTGTAGGGGGGCCGAGTATGGCAAATCCTGTCGAGAAATGCCCCGAGCCTTTAACGTCTTCATGAATCGCAAGTGGCAGATGCTAATACAGGTCCAGGTAATAAAACCAGCAATAGCAGTGATATTGAGTAGCCAGTCGAAAACATTACCGCCATTCTCCGACAGGTTAAGGAAAGCGAGAAGACCCATAACCGAAGTGAGAGCGACGGCGTAGTAAGGGGTTCCGTGCTGGTTGGTGCGGGCTAAGAAAGCCGGAGCATTGTTTTCCGTTGCTAGACCGACGAGAATTCGACTTCCGGAATACACATTAGAATTCGCAGCGGAGAGAACAGCAGTCAGAAGAACACCGTTGATGATATGAGGAAGGACGGGAACGCCTGCTAGGTTGGCTGCGATAACAAGCGGTGATGCGGAGGCGTCTGTCGTGCCGATCGAAAGGTTTGGGTTATCGTATGGCACAAGCAAGCCGGAGAAGAAGATCGTGCCAACAAATAGCGAAACAATAGCCCAGAATGTGAATCGAACGGCCTTTGGCACGTTCTTTGCCGGATCGTGAGTTTCTCCTGCGCCCACACCAACGAGCTCTGCACCTTGGTAAGCAAACCCGGCGGTAACGAGAACGGACCAGAATCCGATAAACTTTCCGGAGGCACCAGTGGTAATTGATTCAGCAAAAGCACCAGGTGTTACCCAGGTGTGAAATCCGAGATATCCATTCTGACCTGCTCCGGCATCGATGCAAATACCGAAGATGATGAAGCCAACGATTGTTACAACTTTAATGCTAGAAAACCACATCTCGAACGCTCCGAAGTACCGAATCGGTAGGAAGTTGACGGCAGTGAAAACAGCCCAGAAGATGGCGATGAAGATTCCGATATTAAGGCTCGCGTCCCAGTACTGGATAATGAGACCGGATCCTACGAGCTCGAGAGCGAATGTTATCGACCAGCTAAACCAGTAAATCCAACCCATGGCGAAACCAAGCGACCGATCGACGAACCGAGATGCGTATACGGTGAAACTACCGGCTACAGGTATGTAACTAGCCAGCTCACCCAAACTCGTCATGATTGAGAAGACAATTAATCCGACGAACAAGAAGGCGATGAGACATCCTGCTGGACCAGCGGTCGCCAAAGCATTTCCGCTTCCGAGGAACATTCCGGTTCCTATGGTTCCTCCGATGGCGATGAATTGCAGGTGGTAGCTGTGCATACCACGATGCAGCTGGTCCTCACCGGTTTCGACATCTTTCTGTTCGTTAGATGGCAATGAAGCCTCCTTCGACGGGGTCTTCTCCGCTTCGTTAATAGTGTCCATCTCGACAATTGGAAACCGAGTTTAACGAAAGACCCACGGGGAACGACGACACGCTAAAATGAAGGTAACTATTATGTAATGAACAGTTTTGAAGATGGATGGGAATTGAAGAGGAGCTCAGACGGATCGCTCAGGAGATGAAGGGATATATAAATAAGGTTCTCGGTGCCGGTTAGCGGCGTGACTCTGTGATGGAGCTGATGGAGAATGGAGAAGCCATGCGTGTGTGTATGGTAACATTCCTTCTAGAAAAAGTTTTCGAATGGCTCTAAGCAAGGTTCGAGACTTGACTACCAGCGGCTTAACGGGTTTGCCGAAAATATCTCATGATTTGAACGGGCTCTTTCGCAGTCTTGCCCATAATACGCTCGGCGGAAAATCTACCTAATTTGTCCTATCGGTGGCGGATCGTGAGGATAGATCCACTGAAAGGTTTTCACTTTCCCCCATTCAATTGACAAATGGGACTCTAAGCGCATTTATAATAACACTATAACGGGAAAGTGGGCCAAATTACGTACAGAAAATTTTCCTCTTTCGCGCCATCCCGACGCGAGAGTCTGGGGAGAGAGAGAGGAGAGGATCTCATTAACATCACGTGGTGCATCTGAGGCTCTCGTCAGCTCTCGCTCTCTTTAATCGTGATGAATAAGTAATGTTCCTGTGGCGGAAAAGAACTCGCATCTTGAATTTGCAAGGAAGAAAAGAGAGAGAGAAAATTACTAGTTGCCAATGCAGAGACCTCGACTTCAATTGAGTTTTCAACGTTGAGATGTGTTGAGTTGAGTTGAGTTAAGTCGAGTCGAGTCTTTTAAAGTTCGGTTTTCGACGGTTAGATGTCTAACTCGTTACCAGTAGTTATTAGCCAATACTTCCAAACTAGGCGTGATAAGCTACCCATTAAGCTCTATAGACTAACGTAACCCCGTGGGTCAACGCGTCTAAGCTAACGGTTAGATGTTAGATGTTGGACCCAGCCAGATCCCCTAATCTTGGCTTCTTCTCAGGTCTCGAGCAGAAGATGAGTAATTGACCATCGGTTTAGCAACTTTAGCTAGGTAACTAACGTCTCTTTATATAAGACTAGGTGGTCTTTCCTTATGAGATACGACGCAGTTTCTGGCTTCTCATTCGCTAATGGTGTTGATTTGTGCAAATGTGTCATACTAACATGTCTTTCAGCTTTTCAGCTCATTGAAACTTCGACGGATCTTGAGAGGTTGATCGAATACCTAGTAATAATAGTAACGACAGTAGCAAATGCCCAGATAGGTATGTGTGTTTCCGACACTAACCGAGCAGGTCTACATGGGTATTGTGCTTTAGTCCCATAAGAATCATGTACGAATGCAGCGTACATAACCGCATACATACCCCTAGGTAGGTAACCGTTGAAATACGATTATTAACACGGCACGCCGGGGCGGCATCTGATCAACGTCCGAGGTACGATGGCGATCTTAACGCTTGGATAAATTGTGTCATGTACATATGTAAGGGCGCGACTAGGAGGAAGTACTTGCCTACGAGGCATTCGTATGCCGTTGCGAAATCTCCAGTCTCCAGCATATCCCCTCACTCTTGTGTGCGTGAAAGCGCTGCGTTCACCCAGAGGGAGACAGACAGACAGGTAGACTGACGAGAACATAGCTAGGTGCTCAATGAATCGGTGGCTCACCGTACGTCGCGTACAGTATGATCTCGAGACAATAATGGTTACGCGTTCTTTGAAAATAAACTCCAAGTCCGAGACCTCGGGTACATCGGAGAGAGTCTCTTATACAGCCCGATATCCGCGTCATGCGATGAATATGCATGGCAGGTAGACCGGTATAACTACCTACCTACTTACTGGGTACCTCCATAATATGGGTATCTCCATTTCCCCGCAAGAACAAATCGTGTTTGGGACCTGTACGGCATGGGTACAACATACCAGGTAGGCATGTTTGACATCTAGCGCATCTTTCATCTTGAATGCTGGATGAATAGAGGAGACTTTACGTAAGTGTTGAAATGAAATTGAACTAGCCCTGGAAGTCCTTTGACTGACACATACTAGGTACTGGGCAGGTGGGTAGTAGAAGTGGTGGCTGGTTGAAAGATATAGGAATGACGTTTGTTGATGAGAAACCCTGAATCACCCATGTGAGGATCGTGAAATACACAGAGACAAAATTTCTTTGTCAACGCCTTTCGTGGGTCGGGTATTCGGATCTTTAAAAGATGTCGGACCCCGATCCTTCCTAGGTACCGGACCTTGCAGCAAGAGATAAAAACTTTATTAATTTATCAGCCGGCAGTGCTTGTGTGAACGTCATCGGTTACACAACCGGGACGGGCGCTTGTGGCTTACATCAAGTACGTACTGGTTGGTCGAACCGTTAACTGCCTGTTAAATTGGTTGGCTGGTAATCGTTTCACCAAAAGCATTCGCAATTTTACAATGCAGCCATTCCGGTCTTCTCGGCACTTGACATGATTAAGCCAAACAGAAAGCAACTATGGCCGGTGTGGCTTTTGCTACATTCATCTTTATGCAGACCATCACACGCCAAAAAGCCAGTCAGGGGGCATGTGAGACATTGGATATGAATTACATTACATGCTCGATGTAGAGTACCTCTCATGATCACCGACTCTTTGTTTCTATGTACTATTAAGTACCTTAGGTAGTTTATTAAAAGGGAGGTTGTCACCCTTATTATTTTGTATTTAATTGGTAATATGTAAATGCTAAGCAGTTTTCGTTTCTAGAAAATTTTAGACAAGATACGTAATTCAAGAAAATCAGTTATCCTTCATGACCATGAATTCACCTTCACATTCGCCATCGGCAATACAAGATGGGTTACAGTGGGAGCTTCCCACTGTCCAGCTACCCTCATATTTCCCTGTTATTTGCATTATGCTTGTGGTGGTTGTCTACAGATTCGCATCATCCGATAAAACCGTTAAAGCTCTCCCCTCCATCAACACCAGAGGATTATTCTCCAGTACTGTTGCTAGAGTAAGTAAAAAGTCCAACATGACCGAAGTCAACAAGTGCCTAGCTAACGAGTTACGTTGAAAGAAAACATTTACAGCATCCGCCGAGAGCTTCTTGAACGAAGCCAAAGAAAAACACCCTCGCAAACCATGGCGTGTCATGACGGACTTGGGAGAGAGAGTTGTCTTGACTCCAGAACTTATGGAAGAAATTCGAAATGAACCCAACATGAGCTTTCAGGGAGCTTTTCACGAGGTATGTTGGAACATCATCCACTTACCTAGCTCACGTCGAACTTAACTAACAGCTATGGTGTTTCCAATTAGGATTTCCATGGCAGTCTTCCCGGATTTGATGCCATCCAATTCTTCGTCCGAAGTGATATATTGATAGCTGTTGTCAGGAACAACCTCCTAAGGCCTACCCGTACGTCTATGAACTCCGTATGTAGGCTATTCTATCATAATACTAACTATTAGCCTCCCAGTCAGCATGACAGAACGAATGTCCGACGAAACAAACTACGCTCTGTCTAAAACCGTCGGTAATACTTCAGGTGAGTCCACAAGTGTCGAACCAATCAACAGACCAATAACTAACGAAGAAAGACTGGACTGAATTGAACTTGTGCCAAACTCTGACTGATATGGTCAGCCGGGTCTCGGCGCGCTTGTTCGTGGGCGAGGAATTATGCCGGAATGAGGAATGGATCCAATCGTCCCAGCACTTCCATCACACTTGGTTCGCAGGCGCAATGAAACTACATGATTGGCCATGGCCTCTTCGACATCTCGTGCATTGGTTCATACCTGAATGTCAGGAGATGAAGAAGTATCTCGGCAAGCAAAAGAAAATACTAGCGGACTTTGTAGCCAAACGTGAGAACATGAAAAAGGACGCCGCCGCTGCCGGTCAAGAAGCCCCCAAGTTTGATGATGGATTCACATGGTTGGAGCAGGAGGCAAAGGCTAGAGGACTAGTCTACGACACGACTATGGCAACGGGCTTGCAATTGATGATAGCTCTCGTTTCGGCCCATGCGACAACTGATCTACTCCAAAAGACCATGTTCCATCTTCTTCAGCACCCTGGAGCCACGGAACAGATTCGCGAGGAAGTTCTTGGCCAGCTTCGAACCGAAGGCATGACTACCGCGTCGTTCTACAATATGCACCTCCTTGACAGCGCTCTCAAGGAATCACAGCGAGTGACACCCTCAGAAATGTGTGAGTAATATCCGATCCCATGATCTGTCAAACGAAACTGTAGCTGACTTGACCTCATTGAAGTATTGATACGCCGCCGCGTGATGGGAGACGTACAACTTTCTAACGGTCTTTTCTTGAAGGAGGGCACAAGAACCTGGATGGATGTATCACACATGAAAGACCCAGCCATAGTACGTCTATTTCATGTTCTTTACCCCCTACACCACTTACTTACGAGAGTATTTACTGACTTTCATTTTTGCAGTACGAGAACCCGGAACAGTGGGATATGACTCGATTTGCTAAGCTCCGTACACAACCGGGAGGAGCTAGCTCGGCTCAATTGGTGAGCTCGACTCGCAACCACGTTGGTTTCGGATATGGCAAACATGTTTGCACCGGAAGATTTTTTGCGACGAACCTTCTCAAAGTGGTTCTATGCCATCTATTGGCAAACTATGAGTGGAAGCTAGCACCCGGACTAGAAGCGGATTTCTTGGACTTCGGCATTTCGCGCATGGTGAACCCTCAAGCCAAGCTATTGATCCGGCGGAGAGAAAAAGTCGAGATCGATTTCGACTCGATCTTCGATTCTTGAATGTGGCTGGCGACGGAGCGATGAGACCTGCTTGGATCTGCGTCGACGATCCGGACTTCGGAGTTAAAATTTAGGGGTGGGCGGCTAAGTGATCCGGGACGGCACGATAAGACACAAAATTCCTCTCTTTGGCTTTTCTTCTCACACGGGGAACCATTGATTGAATGATGACACGATGGCACTTAGCGTTGTGATGGATACCATGGAACTTGAGAAGTCTAGGACTTTGCTGTGGCAACCAGATTGATCGGCTATTTGCTTATTATAGAGATAGATCTAATATAGCAGGAAAACCAACGAGGATTTTAGTATCATAAAACTTGCGATATATGTTTCCCTTGAATGGTATTATTGAGACAACAATTTGTTTCCGACATCTCGATTTAGGTGTCTCGGCTTAAGAAAAGAAAAACGAAAAGAAAATAGGGAAATGTTTACAGTGGCTTACATCATATGTAAACAACCGGTCCCCACTTCGTATCTAGGTACGTACCTTTATCGTGGCTTAATAGTAGCTGATAAGACTCAAGGGTCCAGGATCTAGCGCTGTGGCGTTGTCGACACGGGCAGGTACGCGGGTAAAAACCAACGTGACGACGTGACGAAGAAACCGCGAAGTAACATATGGTAACAAGGATTCTCAGCCCAGGTATTGCGTACCGTTCAGGGGGTACAGGGTGGGGGATAAACTCACCGTATCGCTCTCGTCCAATCGATCGACGTCCCTCCTTTTAACCCCACGGTGGAGCAAACCTTGCACACCTTGTACGATCCAAATGTAGCTGTAACGCGGTTTTTTGCCCGTATTTTTTTTGTATTTTGTATTTTTGTATCTTACGTATCCCAGCTTCTACTGTTACCAGAGAACCATATCAACAAATCATCTGTCTCTCTTTCTTTACTCTGTTTCTAACTTGCCTATTCCCAGATCTCCATGTCCATTTTCACCACATCAACTTTTTTCTAGGCATGCATTGATTGCCCATTGCCGCGTTTGTTGACATTGCCATTACCCTCTGTCGCATTTATGCATGCACGCTACCGAATCACCGGTAGTTTCGCCGTCTTTAGTCTCTCCTTGAAGCTTGGATTTTTGTATTAGACGCTTTAGACATTCATTCTCACAATTGATCGTATCTACATTCATTTTCTCCCCTCTTGTTGGCTAATACTGCCCGTCTTATGGTTACTTGGACTTTTGAATTGTTACGAACCTTGGAACCAGGTAATTGGCTTTTGTTTCGGTGGAAATTCAGTAGCGGGAGAATTGGAATTCCCTTCACCTACTTTCTACAATCCGCCAATCCTGGCTTACCACGACTTGACTTCTCGCACACTTTTACCCGACTGCTTTAAAGTACACAACTTCGCTCTATTACGCTTCACGAAATAATCTATTACGAGTAACGGGAATTACATGCCAAGATGGCGGAACGCGACTATGATGAGAATAACGAAGCCTTAGACCCAGAGCTCCTATATACCAAGGAATTCTGCATTGGTTAGCAATCTTTCCGTGGTGGGATGTTGTAGGTGGAGACCAATGCTGACTAGTTGCGCTTTAGGAGGAGGTAGTTTTGGTAAGGTCTTCAAAGGGTACGTGCTCACCATCCTAATATTATTGGTATGCCAATGGCTAATCCTAAGATAAGCGTCGAAAAGCGAAGTGGACAGGCCGTAGCGATCAAGGTCATCGACATCGAGAGCGCCGAAGATGAGGTTGAAGATATCATACAAGAGATAGCAATTCTGTCCGAACTTCAATCACCCTACGTCACCAAATACTACGGTTCTTATGCGAAGGGCGCCGAATTATGGATTGTGATGGAGTTCTGTTCCGGTGGAAGTTGCGCCGACCTGATGAAGCCCGGCATGATTGGAGAAGACTACATCGCGATCATCGTAAGAGAGTTGCTTTTGGGTTTGGACTACTTGCATGCCGACAAGAAGCTCCATCGGGATATCAAGGGTATGGAGCATGCATCTGACCAACGTTACAATCCCCTATTTACTAATGACGCATTGTTATAGCTGCGAACATCCTTCTTAGTTCCAATGGTCAAGTCAAGCTCGCCGATTTTGGTGTATCTGGCCAGCTCTCGGCGACTATGACCAAGAAGAACACATTTGTTGGTACCCCGTTTTGGATGGCTCCGGAGGTCATTAAACAATCTGGATATGACCACAAGGCAGATATTTGGTCATTGGGAATCACTGCGCTTGAACTTGCAAACGGCGAACCGCCGTATGCTGACATTCATCCAATGAAGGTCTTATTTCTAATCCCGAAAAACCCCGCGCCCAGACTAGAGGGCAACTTCACCAAGGCGTTCAAAGATTTCATCGAATTATGTCTGCAAAGAGACCCGAAGGAACGGCCTGCAGCTAGGGATCTGCTGAAGCACCCTTTCATCCGAAAGGCTAAGAAGACTAGCTGCTTAACAGAGTTGATCGAACGCTATCATCGATGGAGCGCAACACACAAGTCAGAAGACGAGGAACACATAGACGAAGGAGAAGACTTCACCGAACCACAACACGTTAACGAAGATGTATGGGATTTTGGCACCGTCCGACTGGTTAGTGACCGAGGAGGAGTTGTGAATCGGCCTGGATTGAACGCTATGGATGACTCCGCTAGAAACGCGAGGGCATCAAGACAACTAGACGCCGACTATGGTGAGAGTCCCAGAGCGATCTCACCGAACAAGATCCAAGCTCAAGACTTTGCGGATACATCCGTCTCGAACACTCTCAAAGCCCCCAACCCCCCAGGATTCGCAACACCGCGACAAGCATCGCCTCAGCGACGGCCAGTTCCCAACCTTGGAGCTTTATCGCCTTCGAAGATTGCGCTACCTCCCTCGCCACCGAAGCACGCACAAGATTATCATACTCCGCGACCGATCTCGAAGAATGCTCCCGTAATTCCTACTATGACATCTACGGACTATGACCGAGCAGCGAAAGACCAGTTACAACAAGACATGGGAGCTCTCAATATTAGCCACACTCCTCAATCCCAATATCCTCACTCGCCGCAAAATATGACACCCCGAAACCCGCAGGCCCAACTCCAGCAACAACGAGGTATCCCTCGAGCAAACCCGTTCAATCTACCAGAAATCCCTCCTTACCGTGGGCCTAGCTCGCAACATAACCAACAAGCACTTCAGCAAAAAGCCACTCCCCAACCGTCTCCCAACTTAGGTTCCGGAGCATTCACATCCAAAGCGCAGCCCAAGCAGCAGACCCCAGCACCTGATTCATTCCCGCCTCCCGGCCCCGCAAACCCCAACGGCGAGCTCGACGCATTGAACGACGTCATCTTCCCGGCTCTCGAGGAGGCGTTGAAGCGACGACAGATCCGATTACAGCAGATCTACCGCAACGAGAAGGTCATCACACCTCAACGTCAACGCGCCGAAGCCGCGCACGATCGCATCCGTAAACATGTTTACAAGCTAGCAAATGTGTGTAAAGAGATCGATCGTCTCGACAAGAGCGAGCCTGTAGGCATGGGCAAAGACGTCGGCACGTTTCTCGAAGGCTTGCTCGAGGAGATACTAGTCCGTGTCGAACCATTAGACGAAGACGAAGGAATGTAAATGAATGGATGAGCCAACTAGATGAACTAATGATGAAGCACGGAGTCACTTTGTTACCAAGAGCAATACAATACAAGGCAAACAAAACACATACGTCGCGGAAGGATAACCTGATTGTGTAATATATATCTAATAAGGAGTCTAAGGGATGGAGAAAGGTTCCTTCTGCTTTTGTACTTAAAATACCACTGCCCATCCTAACCCTTACCACGTCACCCGGGGCGACGTACAGCGAGCCGAGGCACGTTGCGTTCGCTTCGCTCTTAGGTTTTTCTTCTTCTTCTGGAATTTACCAGTCCCATACCCTATCTGGATGCCCAGACTTGGCATTGCTTTTCGGTGTATTCCCAGGAGGGCGTTTAATGCTACCGTCGCGGAAAAAGAATATAAGGGATGATACCAAAATTACGTATGTATGTATGCCCGTTCGTCCCTTTTGCCTCGTTTATCGGTGAGCTCGTCTGCGTCAATCTGTCGAGCCGCTCTTCGTCTTGGATCGGATCTTCCTCCTAATTCCCCTACTGACTCGGTGTACGCCCTTCCCTCCTTCCTTGCTATCTTTACTCTCCTTCCTCTCCCGTCCCTCCTCACAATCCGTCCCCTCCTCCCTCCCCTCCTCAATCACAGACGTCCCACGAATGATCTCCCGCACCCCGACCCCGTTCCCGGTCCCGGGACTCCCCATCCGCGACCGCACCTGCAGCTGCGCTGGGTCCTCGCGCTCCGGCGCTGCCCAGCAGAGGTAGTCTTGTCCGAATAAGCGCCGGTGGTCCCGTCGGTGCTCTTCGAATACGGAACGCACGCGTGAGACGTAGTATGTGTATAATCGCTCGGCTTCGACGCTCTTGTCCTGGGTAGACTTTTGCGGCTGGGCGGCGTGGATGTGCGAGAGTTCGCGCAGGTTCCAGATGTAGGTTTGGCGCAGGGCGCGCCGGGATTCGTTGTATCGCTGGATGGAGTCGGTAAGCTGCGAGGTGCGTTAGTTTTCTAGTTTTTTTTTTTAAAAAAAAAAGAATTGGTGAAGGGGGTGAGAGAAGGGGGGAGGGGCATACGAAAGATCGGTAGTGGCATTGAGCGCCTGGACATTCGACATGGTGGATGTAGTGCTCGTGCAGGCTGGGAGGCGGCTGGCCGTAGTACCCGTACGTGTGGCGAGAGCGGGAGCTCGAGAATGGGGGACGCTCTCGAGGACGCCATGGCTGCCATGGCGAGTCTTCGTCTGAGCCCCAGCTCCGGTGTATCCGTTCCTGTTGCCGGTACGCCCCCGCGCTGCCGACGATGGCGGCGGTCGCTGTCATTGCCGTTATCGCCGCGGCTGCGTACTCGGCCATTGGGTATGCTATTTGTTGTACGGGTGGACCGGCTGTTGGTGACGGGTTGTGGGTTTTTGTTAGTGGGATTGGGGGGATCCCATTACGGGTGAAGGTGAGACAATAAGAGTTTGTTGATTGGTGAGGGTCAATAGCAATTTAGGGGTTTCCCTCTTTTTTGGTCTCTATTCGTATAGTCTACCTAACCCTACTAATAGTGGTATTTTCCTTGGCCAGTTGTGTTTCTTTAGGGGGAAGCCGAGGATTTTCGTTTATGTATGCTGATCCTAGAGAAGTCGTTGAAGGTAGTAATGCAGAAGGGAACAAGGTGGGTTGAAACTGGTCGAGTTGGTTGTTTGATGAAGAAACTGATTAAACTTGTGTGGGTTTTGACGAACTTGGGTCTTGCCCGTGGCAAGGTTTCGAGATCGGTAGCCATCTAGGTAAGATAAAGCATTATGGGTTACAGGATCAAGACACGAGGCATATGGATGGTGGAGATGGTAGGTAATGCCTACTCGCGATGGAAGGTATCTGTTTAAAGCTATTTGGTTTCTAACACCTCTTAAGATGGTAGGGAAATACCGACCTAAGTAGCATGCCAAACAAACCATATTAAGAGGCAACTTGAACCAGTATCTAGATATCATCCAAGTTATGCAGGTAGTTTCTGTATGTCTAACAAGGGCCATTGCAGTATGTATGTATTCTGTTAGTAAACTCTTAAAGGGGGAAAGTGCTACTACTTTGGATTGCTATAATTATCCCCTCTTCTTCCTCTATGGGAAGCTAACACGTACCATAATGAGCAGCAAATCCTTGCCGTGTAACATATGGGATAGATTGAAGAACAGTGCAATACAGTAGTATTAACACATGAGCGACTTTTGTATTTCACATTTTATATACTTCCCTAAAGATCCCAAATATAGGCAATTATATCTATAATAAGCCGAGAAACAAATTGATTTCATCATTAATATTGAAGCAATGAAGTTGAAGTTGGAACTACCCAGCTTCGTCCGATCTAATCCATGCCAGTGATGACGTTACATTATGCGCCTCAATCTGTAAGATCTGATAAGATACACAGCCACATCTAGATGCATATCTGCACATCTATGGCTGAACAAGTTTTACTAGCGTATCAAGGCTAACCCGGATCTAGTTTAGCAAGGTAGCATAACTGGGGCTGGGTTTTCACGAACCGTGCTTTTGCCCGTTCACCCGATCGGAATACCACGGCTTGCCTCTAATCCTCCACCAACCATCCTAGGGTCGCTATCCACCAAAGCCTTTTTATGTTTGCGCCATTTGCAAGTTCTTGCATCGTTGAATTTCCACCCCTAAGAGAACCCTCCGACGCATCATTCCCCCTTTTAGTACCCTATATACCCGACTGAACACCACGATGCTGTCGCGAAACTCTACCAGAGCCGCTCAGGTACTTATCCCTCGCTTTTGCCGAGCCCAATGGCTCGAGCTCCGGCAATCACATGCTGCTTTTGCCGAAGATACGTTTCAAGATTCGCTAACTCAATTCTCCTCATATAGCGCCTGGCGCGGACCGCTGCTCGCCAACAATCCCACATTCACAATGCCACCCGATCCTTTGCGACAGTTCAGTCAGACATTTTCAAGCCTACGAAGTATGGCGGCAAGTACACCGTTACCCTCATCCCCGGTGACGGTATCGGTGCCGAGGTAGCGGAGAGCGTCAAGACCGTTTTCAAGGCCGATAGCGTACCCATTGATTGGGAACAAGTCGACGTCTCGGGTGTAGAGAGTGGCTCGCCTGGCAGCCTCGAGGACATGTTCCGGGAGTCTGTTGCCTCTCTGAAGAGGAACAAGCTCGCATTGAAGGGTATCCTACACACCCCCATCAGCAGATCGGGACACCAGAGCTTCAACGTCGCCATGCGACAAGAGCTCGACATCTACGCCTCCATCTCCCTCATCAAGAACATCCCCGGCTACAACACCCGCCACAAGGACGTCGATCTATGCATCATCCGAGAAAACACCGAGGGAGAGTACAGCGGCCTCGAGCACCAGAGCGTACCGGGTGTCGTTGAGTCCCTCAAGATCATCACCCGCGCTAAGTCGGAACGCATTGCCAAGTTCGCCTTCTCCTTCGCGCTGGCCAACAACCGCAAGAAGGTTACTTGTATCCACAAGGCCAACATCATGAAGCTGGCCGACGGTCTCTTCCGAAGCACCTTCCAGAAGACCGCCGCCGAGTACCCCACCCTCGAGACCAACGACATGATCGTCGACAACGCTAGCATGCAGTGCGTCTCAAGACCCCAGCAATTCGACGTCATGGTCATGCCCAACTTGTACGGTGGTATCCTATCCAACATCGGCGCTGCTCTCGTCGGTGGTCCCGGTATCGTCCCTGGCTGCAACATGGGTCGTGATGTCGCCGTTTTCGAGCCCGGTTGCCGACACGTCGGTCTTGATATTAAGGGCAAGGACCAGGCCAACCCTACCGCTCTCCTCCTTTCCGGCTCTATGCTGCTCCGTCACCTCGGCCTCGACGAGCACGCTAACCGTATCTCCAAGGCCGTATATGGCGTGATCTCCGAAGGGTAAGTTATTCTCTCGATCCCTATTTCCGTCCCTGTATTGGTATCTACCAATATATTTCTCAATACTAACACCCCCTATAGCAAGTACCGCACCCGCGACATGGGCGGCGACGCCACCACGCACGAATTCACGCGAGCCATCCTCGACAAGATGGAGACCTTGTAAACAGATCCTCTTTCCCACAACTTTTTTATTTAAACCCGACCCTGAGACCACACGGCCCGCTTCCTACGTGTTACTCCAATAGATACCTAGAGGAATGGAGGAAAGATAGCATGACTACATGGAGTCACGGAAGGCGAAGTTACGAGGGGATTCCTAGACGTGTGTACTGTACGTAGAAAGGATATATGTATGCTCGCATTGCATAAATTTCATCAATTCAATTTAAAGCATTATGTGAACTACCTCATACCTTGATGTGTGTATCCGGGTTTATACAATCAAGGTCTTCATCGTTTCCCCTTCCCTACGCAGCTAGTCTACCTCGCTAATTGTGCCCTTGTCTATGATTCGGAACTCGGGAGGTGGTGGTGTATTCCGTTACTGTAATAACTCAACATAATAGATACCGTATGATTATCTGACTTTCTACAAAATCTTATCAGCGACACGGAGTTAAGATTCATGGTGCATACTTCCAACGTTGTTCCTGCACACGAGAATCAGAGGCTTGAAATGTGTACGGGTATTGTGGCTAAAACGTGGCTAATATGTGGCTTGCTAAGGTCAGGTACATCTAATCACGTGGAGCACATGACGTCCCTCTCATCAGCCTCGTTGGCAACACAGAATCAAATTTTCGTAGAAAGAAATACGCGATATCGTCAAACCCTCGAGACTTAAGGCCGATCATAGGTTTCACAATCCTCCGAGCTCCGACCCCTCACCAAAGGCCCTAATTAACGTCGAATAGGGTATAATTCTTCGTGCAACCGGGCTTCCGTTAAATCCGATGGGAGCAAGTTTGTGAGAACAAACTGCTTAGGTGGGTAGAGCTTCATTATCAATGCTTCATCTCGGCGTCCAAGTCGGTATGCAGATGATAAAAGTCTTCTAAGACGCCCTCGCTAACCCAGAACACCAGGTCGTGGTCGGAGATGTCGCCGGACTTGATCTTTCTGCCAGACAAAGGACACCAGATATCTTCCTCCCAATCCGGTCCGATACCGCGGAAGAAGATTCTACCCCGACCTTTCTCTAGCTTCGTCCCTCCAACATGAACAACTCTGAGCGACAGATCCTTTTTCTTGCTCACAACACTTCCGCTAGGACCGCGTGGAAGATTCTCCTAAGCCTCCCGTTTATAATGTCTCAGCGATAGTTTCTCGGAGTCGGCTAGCTTTTCAATAAGGGCATCTTTGTGTTCTATCAAATAGCCCCACACTTGGCGCCAAATCGCACGGTTGTGTACTGTTGCCAAGATGACATAGACCTTCACCTTGGACCCCCCACGTTTGGGTTCCCAATTAGCTGCGCACCATTGGTTGGTTTTGCGGTCCCATCGCCCGAGGTACACCTCAGGATTCACGTAGCCATAGGGCTTCGTAGGAGAGAGAGTGAATCGGAGTGCTCCACTGAGATCCCAAAAACGTGAGATCTTGTTGCGTATTGAGATTGCTTCTGGCTCCGGGGAATTATACTCCACCTTCGGCGGGGTGTATCTGGGATACGGCTCTACATCCTGATCATTAATAGAGCTAGGCGCATTAGGATCCGAGATATCATCAGGAAATACAGCCTTGCTACATACGTAGTCCCGTTGAACTCGTAGAGCATATTGCCAAGCTCCTTGCTTATTTTTATCCGCAGGTTGTCCATCTGGTTTATTTGGGGATGCTTTACTGGATGAGTGCGGCACTGAGAGCTCCAGAGCTTCCTGCACGGCGTTTCGGCCCTGGTCTTGATGAACGTTTAAGTACTCGAAATCAACAAGGTAACGCTGCAGCGTCAGGCGGCGCTTCCGTAGCCAGGTCTCGTCTCCAGTGGCTTGGTAGGTTTGCAAAAGGCTATTGCAGTAAGTGAGAGTGTCATTGGTATTTTGAGTACTAATGGTCTGGATGTTGAAGACGAAGTCTCGGTTTAGCTCCCGTAACTGTGGCTGTAGCGGTGGTCGTGGCTCTGCATTGTCCTAGTCAATGGTCATTAATATTATCATTTCTCATGGGATTGATGGTACTCAATTGCTTACCCGGCTTGCAGTTTGCAGGAGTTCTTGGGTATCTTGAGCATCCATCGTGTTGGTACATCTACGCGATGATTGAGTTGCGCGAACATGAACTTTTTGATGATGAAAGGTCAAAGGTCAACAACTGAACCAGTTGGTATAAGGAAACTTTCCTCTGGAGAGGTGTGCGGGGGTTTTTATTCCTAGGTAGGCATTACCTAGCAATATCTATCCATGGATGTTTTTAGCAATAGCAACTGCCTTGTAGTTCAGGCCGATTATTTGGGAAGTCGCGTTGCTCACCTACCAAGTACCCAGGTACCCAAGTAGTGCGAGTGTTCTAACCTACCGTACATCAATAGGAATTTAGCATTCCTATCTATAGCTTCTACATATGCACCCGAAGCACTGCGCATAAATGGACGTCTCCTTGCGCACCCCCTAACTAAGACAGCGCCCTATCTTGTCTTATTGAGACATTGCTTAATCTTTAAAGAGCCTTCTCGGTGTAATGCTGCAAATTACAAGCCACTAGTCAACTCTTGGATGAGGCTTACCGGTGTTAGCAAGCACGTTAATGAACCAGCCACATTATTCTGCTTTCATAGCCCTCTTTAACCAAGGGAGTACTTGTCTCCGTTGTTGGATAAGCTGCATGTTACATGCCGAAGGATCCCGGAGCATGGATATTCGGTGTCATCAAGATTATGATTGGTGATTAGGGGTAGCATATTAGGTATATTAGGGGTGGTAAGCTATGGACTGTGGAATGATGGATAAGCCGACATAGGCACACAAGGTTAGTATTTCTAAACTTACACACAGCCTCTATCTATCCAGAATTCTGACAGTAGCCAGAGCCTTCCCCGCAAGATGTTGGCAGGAAATTCATTAAACATGATGGGGGGAAGTTGTAAAGCGGATGATTCAATTCAACCCAACGAATACCACGAACCGTTCCACCGTCGCTACGATCGTCCGCTATTAACTATCTACACATATAGATAGAGGCAACCAACAATAATATACCTCACTCAATTCATACTGATGATCCGTCCGAGATGGTTTAATCCCATCACTCTTTCATAAAATGGAGAACTTCAAATACGACCAATTAGATCTCGACCAGCTTTCGTTTCGCCTAGTTCGTCTAGAAATGGGACTTTGGGGCGAAATTAAATGCGAAATTATTCATACAGCACTAGATGAGAATGTCATTCCTTACGAGGCAGTTTCATACAGATGGGGCTCGTCCATGAAAAGGGAATCAATACTTGTGCAAGGACAGAGGCTGAACGTGACTTCAAACCTCTATCGTATCCTTCACGACTTGCGGTATTCGAACGCAGATCGCTATCTATGGATCGACGCCATTTGCATCAACCAAGAAGATGTAAGTGAGCGAGGACACCAAGTCGTCAGAATGAGGGACATATATAGTAGGGCCGTACGGGTTATTTTTTTCGTTGGTCGGTCAACAATGTATACGGATAATCTTCTAGCTGCCTTAGCGGAACTACAAAGCAAGACATATGGTAATAGCTGGGGCCGTGAAGATGAGCGATGGGATGAAGCTTGGGTCCCTATCGAAAGTGGGATGGAGAAGCAGTTCCCCAATACCCGAAGATTATTTCGCCGGGCTCTGATTTACATCATGGAACAATCATGGTTCCGCAGAGTGTGGGTTCTTCAAGAAGTCGGCAATGCTAAATCCGCCATCGTGTATTGCGGCAGAGCATCCGTTCTAGCACGCGTGTTTGCAGTCGCCCCCCGCTTACTTGGGATCAATCTCAATTCGCACCATAAAGCCGTCTTTGAACTAATGCCTGGGCCCTCGAGACAACTATCTAAAATTGATAGAGACTTTTATTCACTACTCCAAAGATTTTCTATGGCGGAAGCACAGGATGAACGGGATAAAGTATATGCCTTACTAGGAATGTGTACATGTGCTGAAGCCGATAAGCTTATCCCGAATTACTCGAATTCTGTTGAAGAAGTCATTCGCGACACGATCTTATGTATATGGCACTACGACATACGCAACTTGCCCAGATATCCCTATACGAGAATGGATCGATTTCTAGCAGATTTGAATAAACTTGATGGATTGGTGCTTGCATGGTTCATAAAGTCGGGAGATATAGACGGCATACTATATCATATACATTACAGAGGACATCGAATCAGTATCACGGGTGATGCCGTCACAGATATACTTGAGAGCGAATGCCTCCGAGAACAAATAATCGAAGCATTACTGCAGCAACGCAATAATCGATCAGCAATCGCAATTGGCGCGAAAAGTCTACTCAACTGGATAAAGTTAGAAGGATTTGATAATATGTGTGGTCGGTTTTTCCTGAATTATGCTATAGATATTGATATGAGAGGCGATAATGGTCAAACTCCATTATTAGTTGCGACTAAGTATGGACAAAGCAGCGCCATCCGACTTTTGATACGGCGCGGCGCGGATATCGAAGCTAGAGACGGCAATGAAAACACTCCGTTACTATTAGCTTCAAAACAGGGATACATAGAAATCATGCAGGTACTACTGAACAGCGGTGCCAATATTGGAGCCAAGGACTACGATGGGAACACACCATTGTTATTAGCGTCAATGCACGGAGACGTTGAAATCATCCGATTACTCCTGAGTTGCGGAGCAAAATTCGAAGCCGACGATAACAATAAGAGTACACGGCGATTATACAACTTGCTACAAAGAAACAGCGAAACCTCCTTGATAGGATTGAGCTGTGGTGCATATGTGGGGATAGGGGGTACTTATGGGAGGGCACCCCTGATATCGGCCATAAAGCAGGGATGTATCGAAGCCATCAAATTACTCTTAAGGCACTGCCCAAATACTAGGACGATGATTATGACCAAGGACATCTATGGAAAGACGCCACTATTATTGGCAGCGGAAGTTGGAGCCCTAGAGATCGTCCGGTTGCTTATCAACTATGGTTCAGACATCGAGGCAAAAGACCAGTCTGGGATAACACCTCTAGGACTGGCGGTATCCCATGGACACACCGCGAAAGTTCGACTTCTTCTAGATGAGGGGGCTGATATAGACGCCAAAGATAGCTACGACCGCACGCCATTTTTATTAGCCGTGAAACGCGGCCTCCCTTCTGTGACTGCCATGTTCCTAGAGAGATATAGCGATATTGAAGCTAAAGAGAGATGCGACGAAGCGGAGAAGGAGATCAAGGGTATCGAAACCCGATTTTCTCAAAATGACTGGCCTTGGTATCGTACATACCTCATGAGGCCGTCTGTATACTATTGACAGGCCCAAGTAGAATGGTTTCTTGCCGGCTCATCAGTCAATATCGAAATAAAGCGTAAAAATATCACGGCTTCATGCCCACCTGGGCATATACACCTAGCTGTTAGCCTTTGTGGGTGGTTCTACTTCATCATCTATAGTAATTAATGCCTTCCGAGCTTTAATACTCGGCTAGGACTGTCATCGTCGTGCATGGTCCAACTACAAGACGTCTCCTTTATGTCCCTCTCTATACCAGACCTCTTGACCCATTATGCTCTCCTTTATTATCCGAGACCCCTGATAGATAGCATGGGCACCTCAATGAAAGTTGGTATCATGTCCTCGGGGGCTACGCCGAAGCCCGAGAGATTGGTGGAAATGTTGTCGTCGCTCCTGTTCGTGGGGCTTCTGAGGCATAACTGCTGCATAGTGGATGTCATAATCCCCCTCCCTCACAACAGCGAGAGAAATTCAGGATATGGTTGCATCGCTTGTCGTGAGCCAATTCAAGGTTGGATTTGGACGTTTCAATGATGCTGCCTAATACAACCTCAGCTCGCCGTCGAATGCCCAATTACATGAAGCTACAATCTGTCTGGACACAACCGTGTGACAGATTATACGGGGCGAACCGCGAGCTGATGGACGGGATAGGGGTAAAGTGGAACCCGGCGTTCGGACTGTTGCCAAGATAAAAAGTCCGAGCAGCGAGATCTCGGTCCCCGTTCCCGCGTTCGGTCCCGGATTCTAAGGGAATGCTCCGACTGGATAGAAGATGAGTCAATAAGGATAGGTTTGGACATATATTGTCACCGTCGGTTGCGCTTTCTGGGGTTTCATGGGTCATAATGCGTGACTCATGCGATACGGCAAGCACATGGATCTCCCCGTCATTTCATTCATCCTGGAAAATTTGACGAGAGTACCTCACCTTCAGATGTGCTAGCAACTGCGGTCTTTCGATCCACGTTAGTGTCCGAATTTTACCGCCTATTCTATAGCGAGGCCTAAGCGAGACCTTGGAAATGGGACCTCAAAAAGTAGGACTTTCGAGGAGAGGACTGCTTGCTGAGAATACAAATATGGCGAGGTGTGCAGAGCATCTCGGTGTGTTGGACATTCAATCTTCACACCTCATCACCACAACATATCAAACCTATTAAACTCACCACCACAGTAGTAAGCGATACTGAAACGCCCATCATGAGCACTTACGACGTTATCATCGCAGGCGCAGGACCCATCGGGCTCTTCCTAGCCTGCGAGCTCGGGATGAGAGGCACTTCCGTTCTAATACTAGAACGCGATACCTCTCCTGACTCGCCCTTCAAGAGCGCGCCTCTGGGTCTACGAGGCTTGAACACGATCTCCCTGGAGTCCCTCTACCGCCGCGACATAATGCACCTCGTCACGAAAAGCGAACGACCGAAGTTCTTCACTCCAAAGGCGGGTTACACATTCGGCGGCCACTTCGCCGGCATGCTCCTAAACGCCGAGCTACTCGACATGAAGAAGCACAAGTATCGTCTCAACGGTCCAGCTTTGTGCCCCAACGGTACCATTCTAGAAACCTTCGAGAAGGTATTAACCGAAAGAGCCGAGAGCCTAGGTGTCAAGATCCTCAGGGGCAAGGGCGTCACAGCCCTAACACAAGACGACAACAGTGTCACCGTAGAAGCAGGCGGCGAGACCTTCACAGGGAAATGGCTCGTAGGCTGCGACGGCGGGCGCAGCACCGTGCGTAAGATCGGCGGATTCGAATTCGTCGGGACAAAGCCGGAATGCACGGGGTACGCCGTCCTCGGCGACCTCGAGAACCGGGGAAGCCTGAAACTCGGATTCAACCCGAGCCAAGGCGGGATGTCGATCATCGGCCACGCAGGAAACCTGTTCCTCCTGGACTTCGATGGCGGCGCCTACGACCGCATGAAGGAGATCACGCCGGAGCACATCAACACCGTGATCGCGCGCGTCACGGGCACCGAAGCCAAGATCACTACCCTCAAGTACGCGTCCTCGTTCACGGACCGCTCGATGCAAGTAACCCAGTACCGCCGCGGCCGGGTCCTCCTCGCCGGCGACGCAGCTCACATCCACTCCCCGCTCGGCGCACAAGGGCTGAATCTCGGGCTCGGTGACGCTATGAATCTCGGCTGGAAGCTCTCCGCAACAGTGAAATCGGGAACCACGGACTTCGCGCTAGTCGATTCGTACGAAAAGGAGCGTCTGCCGATCGGGGCGTGGGTGTTGGAGTGGACGCGGGCACAGGTGTCGACGTTACGACCGGATTTATACGGCAAGGCGTTGCGGAAGATTATTTCAGATCTGATACAGACGACGGATGGGAATAACCTGTTCATGGACCGCGTGTGGGGCCTTTCGATGCGGTATGAGCTCGGTGACGAACACCCCCTCGTCGGATCCAGTGTTCCGGATTTCGAGCTGGTTGATGGGGATAGGTTAGGTCCGAGGCTGAAGAGTGGGAAAGGCCTGCTTTTGGATTTCGGCGCGGATGAGAGGTTGGAGGGGCTGGTGGGGAAGTACGCCGGTGAGGTCGATTACCTCAGCACGTCGGCGAAGGAGCAGTTGGGGCTTTCGGCTATGCTGGTTCGTCCTGATGGTGTTGTTGCTTGGGCTGCGGAGGGGAATACTGATGTTGATGCGGCTAAGGCCGCTTTTGAGCGGTGGTTTGGGAAGGGTGCGGAGTAGGGCGCTGTGCATGAGCTGCGTTGCCTTGGTGTATTCGCGTATACCCATTTTGGATCTGGCGTTTGAGCATCTCCCCTTTTCAGCGTATTAGCTGTCACTTGATTTGAATAGTTTGAAATACAAATATAGTGAAAGATTGTTAAGCAGTTGTTCGACTTAGTGAGCGCGATTTCGTGTCTTGTGATTCTGAGGGTTTTCGACTTGAGTGCTGATTCGCCTCTGCAAGCGAAGATGCCTAATCCCAGCCAAAAAAGAAAGGGGAGATGGTGTACCTAGTAGTCTGTGCGGCTTACATCGGACTTACATTCCGGACGCCACCACCCAGTTACTTGAGATACCGGAATTCCCCCTAGTCTTCCGGAGTGCCAGGTAATTTCTGGTGTCGGTAGCCTGCAGTTGAAGAAACAAGGATAAGGGGTGGGGGAGAATTGCCCCTCAAGCCATAATAATGATGCACTGTGTGATGGCTGGGATGAGTGACATATTTTCGATGAGGGGGATAGCTGTTATCACAGTTCTGCCTGGCTAAAATTCTTGATCACGCCGTTTCTGACGATTCCCTCGGAGTGAATCCCACGCTCAAGTCATGAGACCTCAAGCACTTATACACATGTCAAGCACATAAAAAGCAAGTAGCGAGAAAGGTCAATACGATATCATTTTTCTTAAGCGATATGATAGCAATCCTAGTAATTATTACATAGTCGCATTTTTTCACGTTGAGTTATTACGCTTCGACCTGCAGGAATAACCTCAGAGTTCATGTATCGATCACACCGAAATCATAACTATCCCTTGTGGCACATTACTGGTATTCATGACACCTACGAGTTACCTATTCAAGCAGAGCAAGGGATATATAAGCAAACAGTGTAATACTGTGCTATTAACACATAGATCATCCTATCCTCTCTTAAGCGTCACAATATGTGAATTCTTTTCACAGACCTTGCAGGTAAGTGAAGCATCTATCTTCTTGGAATAGCTATTGGCTGTGTTGATATAATATTCTCGTATCTACCTAGGTAATTTGGTTTATATAACCTAGTAACGCCATCATAGTCGACTACTCTCCTCGCCAACATCACTTCTATCACTTATATTGATTTATCAAAGTGACACTCAATTATTTCGAGACAGCCATTCAGTCTTCCTTGCCGGATTCCCTCACAATGTCAGAATCCAGTGCTACCCTAATTTCTTCACGTCAACCCGAGCATCCACAGTGTATCCCCAGTTGCTCCGATGTCAAGGCTGTAAAGGCGATCATCGAAATACTCCTTGAGCGGAAAGTTACATACGATGATGACGATCCTTGCCTTGAAGACCTTCCACAGTCTAAATTGCAACGAGGCCAATGCGAGTTCCAAGTCACAGATTCGATTTGGGATCTCTTCGTTCAACTCTTAAAGCTTCGCCCCTGGATTGATCATGTACCCCAGTTATGTAATCTCCCGGATGATCTGGCTCTATTCAAAGACCAGATGGTCGACCTGAATTACTGGTTGGAGTTCTCCTGTTTCCTGGAATTCAACCTTGATCGACACTGGCTCGGCATACACATAATTGACCATTCCGGTTTCAACGGAACGCTGGAACATTTATTGGCGGAGTACATTGTCACAAAGATGGAACGCTTTTTCGATGAGAGTACGATGGCTTTTATTATAAGGACAGAGGAAGCAGGCCCCATGATGTCCGCCACAAAGTATCTTTACCCAGGAACTCCCGTATATTGCGATCTCCTACTTGATCAGCATATGAGACAGCCTCCCCTTGTCATGATTGAGGTCGGGTTCTCCATTCCCGTCAAGCCAGAAAGAGTTCAGGACTGTGTAAGTATAACGGAAGGCCGCACCCAGTTTATTCTATGCTTGAACATAGAGTATGTGCCTCCAACTAGACGAAAGTTCAAATCACCCTCGAATCCCCCCAAATCTATCCATTTACAGATTTGGAGTTCACGATTCGATGATAGTCTGGACGAATGGAAAGCCTATTTGGTAGCAGACATCACGGATCTCCGCACCAAGGTTGATTGCGATCCAGACGCCGGATTCGATTTGAGCCCCGAGATTGCAGCTAGGCACTTTGACGACCATGTACCCGCGCCGAAGATGCCTATCTTCATTTCGTACAAGTTCTTGCTATGCTTTATCAGCAAGGCATGGGTAGAAACATGTTGCGGTTACGTGTCTGAGGAGGAATGCGAAGAGAAGACTCGGAAACGATCCTTCTCGCTTGTTAGAGCAGAAGAGTTCAATAAGAAACGGAGGAGATGCGATGACAATGATGATGAAGGTCTGCCAAACTGATGAGTATTCCTGTTTGTTTCGAGGGGGGTATAGCAAGGCCGAACTGTAACACTCAAGACCTTGATGGAAGGCTTCTCGCCTAGTTTTCTATATTCACGGGACGTTGTTTCATACCTACGTATCATTACGATCAACAGGTAATACATCAAAACATTCGTTGCAATCATGTTTCAGGGCAAAGCATCAACTTTCATTATTTATCTCGTGTCAGAGAAATGTTTCCCGTTGCTGTAAACAAACAGAAAATCATCCTAGACCGAAGCACCTATCAATGAAACAATAGTCATGACAAGCCAACTACCAGCAAGCCCCTCTTATCTGCCCTATTCCTTGCTTTAACCCTCTCGCAACCACGTAAACTTCCCCAGTTGGGAAATCACCAGCTGAACTTGTTGGGGTCATCGCCCTGGTTGACACCGTTCCACTCCTGGGGACCCGGCGACCAAACGTCTTCGAAAGGCTTCGTCGAACTTCCGCGTTGCTGTTCCAGACGCTGGGTGGAGGTGGGAGATGGGATGTTACGCTGCGGCATAGTAACACCCCATTTATCACCTACATAATTGATGTTCGGCACAGTGATGTCCCATGCAGCCATCTTGGTCTTGCCACACACCTCGTCCAGGAACTTCTTGCGTCGAAGAGCGTGCTCCTGCTCCTTGTCAGACTTCTGGAAAGTGGAATAACCACCGGGCGAGGCGCGTTGTGACTGCTCCTTCTTGGCAGGGCGGGTCTGCGTGGAGATCTCACGCTTGGGTCCCTTGGGTCCCTTGGGGGCCTTGGGGGTAGCAGAGCGGTAGGTCTGTGCAACTTCATGTCCTCCGGCCTCGTGAATCACCTGCGGGCGCTGGACAGTGGCGGGGGCAGCATGGCCACCAGCTCCATGAGTTCCATTACCCAACACGGTGATCAAGTTGGTCAAGACGTGGCGATGGAGATCCGTGACAGAATCGTCGGCACTGATGTGGGTGAGAACCTTGGCAAGTTAGAACATGTTCATATCACATGACCTTTTTTTTTTTTTAAAAAAAAAAAAGAAAAAAAAGGTAATACTTACAGTGGCAAGCACCTGCGATGCGAGAACTCGGCCGTTCTGGCCTTCAAAGTGCTGCTCAAAGAAATCTCGAAGAATGGCCTTGTCAGTCTCTTGAGCGCGGGCGACGAACAGAAGTCCATCAACCAGCTGGAGTCCGAGATCAGACATGGTGATGATCTTTGAAAAGACAAAGTGTTAGTATATCACAAAATAAATGATGAATTGATTATTCATATAAAAGGGATGGTGTAACGGGTTGGAGTTTAATCAAGATTGAGTTTTATACAAACAAAACACTCATATACCTGATACGCGTGGGAATTGGGAAGTCGCGGTCAACGAGTATCAAGGTATACTCACGAAATAATTTGGGAAAGGGTAGCGACGTGTTGATGACGTCAAATGATAGATGAAAAATGGAATAAGCAGCGGGAAATGATAATAAAACAAGTTTATTTACGCGTACTAGGTACACCTTGGTGATGGAGGTAGGTATGGTAGAGATATAGTGAAATAATGAGAATAGAGACTTACCAGATTACTTGAGATTTGATTGCTAGAATGAAGTAAACACGAGCTTGATCTCGCGATGATAGGATTGAGGAAAGTAATTGAGTAGGAAAAAAAGCTTGCAAGTGGTCGACTTAGCTGGTAGGAGAAAAGAGCTGATCTCACTACCTGATCCCACAGGCAAGGAAATTTGTTTTTGTTTAGGGAAGAAACCAAATCCTGATTTAGAGGAGGAGGATTGTAGGTTTTATGGATTGGTTCCTCAGATTTCGGTGGGTGCTGATTACAAGCTCGTCCGGAATATTCCAAAGTATTCTTCAAGTTATTCTTCCCTCTCCCTCAGGAATATCACCAGAGATTATCGTGGTTGTTATGGTCATTGTTCGGCGGTGAATCTTGTGAGTGCCCCTTGAGGGGCGTCTAACTCGCGTCAAAGAGTCGATGTCGTATAGGTGGGAGAGATAACTACAAACTGGACGCAAAAGGAGCACTTAGCCCATTAAGTAGGCAGTATCGAAAGATAAGTTCACAAATAGAGACAGTATTCACTAGGTAATATTCTGATATTTATTACAGTAAAATTCTCATATCAAAGGATTCTATACTTGAGTCGCCTTAGTTATGACATCCAATAGTACCTCAGTCTCCTTGTCGAGCAAAAATGGACTGTGAGCGCAGTTAAGTTCCACAATTGTAGCACCTGCAGCTGCAGCACGCTGGTACTGTTTCTCAGGCGGAACAATCTTATCCTTTTTGCACACAACATACGTCTTATGAGCCCGGACATCAGATGCTGTTGTCAATCTATCGGTGTCACTAGACTTTTCACTCTGCCATACAACCATCTGGAGAGCCTGCTTTTGCCTCGACTCTTCTATATCATCGTAGAAGAGCATCCGAGCTAGATCCTCGGGAACAGGCCGCTTTTTGAACTGCAGAAAGAGTCAGTAAACTGATTTATAATATTTCAAAGGCATTATCTTCCAGTATCCAGGGCAGGGGGCACAAAAAGGGGTAGCTCGAACCGATCCTAACCGAGCCTAGCCGCAGCCAAAAAGAGAGGGAATAATAGGGGCAGAGAAAAGTTCTTACATCTGTCCAACCTGGCGGGAACGGAATCGGCTCATCCGGTCGGCCATGCTGCGGTTCGACGAGCGCGGCGATATACACAATGCTGATGATACCGCCTTGGAGCCCCCGAGCCGCGCGGTCTTCGAGCGTCAAGCCGACAGCAGCCCCTGTTGCGACGATCCCACCGGCACTATGCGCAACTACCACTATCTTCCGACCCTGGTCCAGGAGCGGGCGAAGGTACTCGCGGATCTGGTTAGTGGCATCGATGTGCGTTTTGTCGTCTATAGAGTCATCGTAACCAGTCGTGACCTGATACGGCGCCAGGACCGTGTACCCACTATTCCGGAGTGGGTCGATTAGGGAGCGGTAGTGTAACGGAAGATGCCATGCTCCGTGGAGAAGGAGAATCGTCGGTTTCTCTTGCGATGCCATTGCCGATCGGAGAGATTATATATCGCCTCTATACAAAGCTTCTCTGATTGGTCTAGTCGTGTAATATCGTTCAAGGTTACTATGCGGAGAGAGTTGGTGTAACACGGAAGGCGAAACGTGATTGGCTGAAGACCGAAATATTCACCCAAAACGGCAACTAGGACTATCGGCGATTATTTTCGTTCACTCCGCGCTCGAGATTCAGTATGCGTACAGCCAGACTAATCGACTAGAATTCTTTTGGGGTCCGAAGAGAATTTATAGATCCAGGTCCGCGCCCCATGGCTCCATGTAGTTTTGCAGTCTGTCGGCAGTGGAGCAGTCGCCAAGTAGACTATCATGAAATCGACGTCGATTTGCACCAACAACAATGGGTCTCAGGTGACATAACTTGGAAAAAAGAGGCACAGTAAAATCGTGGCATTTTATTGGCGCTATCATTGTCAATATAGAGATGCTCCATATAAAGTCGGTAACTAATCGTCATGGCTCATGCGATCGATGCCAGCTCAGATTTTAACCCATTGGTCCGCTAACCTTTTATATCAGAGCATGCTGTAGAAATTTTCGGTGTTTTGGTTTTGCCGCAATTACTTCCGATGATGCCGGAAGTTTAGATTCCCGGAGTCGAGATGTCCCACTTACTTTTCTCTAAATGCTGACACCAGGTAATCAAGAAGGGACTGGGAGAGACCTTGCCTAAAGCGTTCTAATCAATATTTTCCCTTTCAAAACTAACTCTGCAGTCATCTCGACATGATAAGCTATCTCGAGGGTAACATATATACATATTACTGTGAACAGGAAGATTGGTACCGTAATAAACATGATTGGAAGCTTAAGGTACTGTGTGTGCTTTTTATCTCGATCGGGAGCTCTGCTGATGTTTTATTTAGGTTTGAGTTAAGTAAATATGAATGTCTTTTATTCTAATTTAGATCGAGTTACTATTGAAGGAGATATGTGTAGGGAATGATAAACGCTAAATGATAAGGGAACATGAAATATTTATAATCGAGGGTGATTTGTATGGTTCGCAAATCCCATTGTTCCTATGTAATGATAGAAGAGCAATCTGAAACTACGCGCTTCGAAACAATACCAAGGTGTTCTAGAAGGAACGGGACAGCTTAATATAGATTCCACACGTTCTCACATAATACCCATCTACCTAAATATCAATCTTGAAACTATTATTTACCTACCTTTCCTAGGTAAGTAAGGTGCAATTCGGGACCTGTCGTAGTATAAATCTTCTGTGCTATATTTTTTATAAAACCATAATTCTAGAAAACACTACAAGATTTATGTCAGATTGGAATTTCACTACAAATATGACGACTTTTACCAAGTTTAATCATTCAAAGTAACATAATATCACTAGTGTTGTAAGCAAGACTTATGATAAAGTTTGTCGAGGTCTTCTGATTCAAGTGAGGCGCTTCAAGGTGTAAACTTAGATACCAAGCTTGTGATTAGGAGCTAGAAATTTTGTCTTATAAGTATTAGGTGGGATAGATATTGTAGACCGCAACTTACAAACCATAGAAGTCTCGTCGTGTACTGTCTTGTTTACTCGACTTCCAAAATCATCACCATAGACAAGATGAATCGACTTCTTCGCTTCGGGTTGGTTATCAAAAACCTAGTTACACTCTCCACACCAAACAATCTGAACCGTATAAACAAAGTCAGTCGATTCTCTACCACTACAATATACAGGCAACCAACTCCTCCTTCCTCGTTCACCGCAAAAGGGTCTATTCCAGCGTGGGACGAACACGATCATCCAACGGTAGAACGCCCCAAAGATGGCATATCCCTAGAAAACTGGCACAAAGGCATCTACAGTCGGTATATCGACTCCAAGCTTGGAGATGGAGGACCAGCGGAGCACTTGAAGCATCTTCAGAAAATGCACAAGCGGCTGCTTCTCATATGCGAAACACTCGACCAAGAGATTGCGGCCTGTAAGAAAGAAGGAGACAAGGATCACGAAGCTATAGTTCAGAATTATAACAAGTATGCGAAGTGGAGTGAGGAGGTGATATCGGATCGCCTTGCTGAGGTTAAGAAGTATGTGGACGGATTGAAGGGGCGTTGATATTGGTGGACCATAGCGCACTCCTTCTACTAAAGGCATCTTCAATATCGAACGAATATCGAAATAGCAATGGAGGATACCAGCGGGAAGACATCTCTTGATATCTGTCAGAAAAGTCAATGTATTTCCTAATACACCTCAAACCTAGAACTCCACGGCGCCGTGCAATGCAACAAGGGTATCGCCTCAAGTCTAGAAAGCAATCCGTCTCTTGCGTCCGGTGTACTTAGACGTAGCCTTAACAACCTTACCCTTCCGTTCCATCTGCTCCTTCTTCTTCACAATCCACGCCTTACTCCCCTTCTTAATCTCCCCCTTCCCACTCTTATTCCCATGTCTTGAATCCAGCACATCCACGCCATCCATCCCCCTAACCACACCCGTAATATCGCCCCCATTCCCCTCCAAATTCCCCCCACCAACCGTCAGAACCAGATACACCTTCACATTCTTCGTCTCGGGATCATCCTCCAGCAGCCCCGCCCCGAACCCCGCCTTCACCGCCGCCCCGGTGATCATGCGCTTCTGCTCGTCGTTCTTCGGGTAGAACTGACAAACCGCTCTCCCGCCCCTCTTCAAACTCGCATACAGCCCGTTGAAAAACCGCGACAGTCGGCCCTGCGGCGACACGTCGCTCGTCTCCGCATTGCACAGCCACTGGATCGCGCTGATGCTGATCGCGGCGTCGAACGTGCCCGCCCGGAACGGCACGCCCTGTCCGATGTCCGCGAGCATCAGGTCGCCTTCGACGTCGCGCTGTAGTGCGACGTCGAGCATTGAGGCTGACACGTCCATGCCGATCCAGACGTGTGGACCGCCTTCGTCGGCGGGTGTTGAGGAGAGGATTTCGCCGGAGAGACCGCTGCCGCAGCCGACGTCGAGGATTAGGGAGGGCGTGGAGAGGTCGAGGAGCTCGAGGGCGCGCTGGGTCATTGAGGCTTGGATGTTTTGGATTCGTGAGGAGGTGGTGTATTTGCGCGCTTCGGAGTCATTGTAGTGGACGTCCGCGGACCTTGGGGGTGGTGGTTAGATAGATTTCGATGGTGGGGGTTAGAGGGGTACGTACAGTGTGTCCTCTGGCCGCGACATGATGAAGTTGTTGGATTGTCAATTGAAGAGTGTTCAGTCTGATCTTATATAGATATCATGGGAGACTAAATTGTGCTTTTGGGATGTGATATCTGATTTGTACTTATTTGGTGGTTTAGTAGTGTCGGTATTGGATAATGGAATCGCATTTTCCAATTGCTTGTGATGCGATAATGAGCTTTTCTGTGGGGACATATATTCTTATCGTTATCACTGTGTTGCTATGGGAAATCTTCGGCTTTTGGAGGGTCAAAAGTATTTGTGTACCTAGTACCTGAGTACCTAAGTACATGTGTACATACTAGACCTAGATCGATTTGACGAATCGAGCCAATAGGAGAAATAGGGTAATCTAATTACCGTTCCCGCCGTCAAATGCGGAAGGCCACGCTTTCAGTCGCGTCGCTTGGGTCGATGCAATTTCGATCAAAGGGCAAAACTCAGCTTATCGAAAAATGCTACCCTTAAACAGCAACCACATTCATTTCTCATTTCGCATTTCCCATACTGTACATATGATGAGATCATCAGGATCATCATAGTTGCTGCGTTGTCATTGTCAACATGTGGATTTTACCTCTTGTCGGTTACCTCGGCTCCATCGTGGGCTTTTGCTTCTTGACCTTGGCTATAGGTACATACTCTTATTATACTCTATAAGCCTTTAACTTCCTATTCGGGGATATAGGAATTTGGAAACTCGAATTGCTAACATACGACTTCTACAGCTTCCGGTCTATACTATCTCTCAGAACTCGTCGAGGAACATACCGTCATCGCGAAACGACTTCTTACGAAACTCATCTACTCCGTCATTGCTCTTCAAATCATACTATGTGTTATCGATGGCTTCCCATTTATTTTTACCTTGATGGGCGTCGCATCACATTTGATATATCTGGGTAATATGCGACGCTTCCCGTTTGTGAAGCTATCAGATCCCTTGTTTATTGCTTCTTGTGGTATGTTGCTAGCATTGATTCGATCGTGGCGAATGGACAAAGTTGCTGACAATATCAAATAGTTTTGGTCCTTGTCAACCATTACTTTTGGTTTCAACACTTTTCCGATGCGCAACACAAGTCCTATTCGCGGATGTCATCCGTCTACGATCAGCCGGATATACCAAGCTTTACTGAAATAGCCTCCTATTTCGGGTTGTGCGTATGGCTTATACCCTTTGCCTTATTTGTCAGTCTCTCGGCTAGCGATAATGTGTTACCTACTATCGGTTCCGAACAATCCTCTCGTGACGATGGGAAGAATAAACGTCAGGGCATGGTAAAATTAATAGTTGATAATGTACTCACGGTCATCGGAGAAGTTTCCCGAATGGCAGGGTGGAAGAAACCTGAAGATCGATTCTAAGACTGTAGGGTCAATGTTCAAATAAGTAATAATATGTGTACACTACAACACAATCACTTATCAAGCGCGATGCCATAGAAATGGTGAGTAGGCTACTGTGCAACCCACAATTCCACCCATCGGCGAAGACTAACAGCATAAGGACGTCACCAATTCCAAGCGCGTCTTCGTATGGACACCAATGCTCTCGTACTGAGGATCAAAAGCGTGCTCTGAATCGAGCTGACCTACAATGGATATTGTCGGATCGTTGTGCTTGAAGCACATCAACTAGTTGGTAAGTTCATGATTTCTTCTATATATGAGTATGGAATATCTTGTTATGATGACAACACCAATTTTTTATGCTAGATTGTATTTGAGTCAATTGACTTTGATTTGAACGATTGGATTTACCTGAACACATTCCAATTTTTTTTTTAATTTGCGAAGCATTTTGTTCATACATCGATCAATTACTAACTTCAGTCTTAGGTCCACGTAAACATACGAGTAGTACATGTACTCACATAGAGTGGCTGAGGCCAAGTCCGTTTGCGGATCTTGGATTGGCTGTAGCGTATTTCCATAGAGTGTAGGTACATATGTAGGTATGCTCAAGCGTTATAAGCACGAAGTTTGTGGGCATTCTGACAGGATCAGCATTTCTGGATCCCTACCTCGAGGTCAACCATCTCCGAATTTGTTCGGAGGCGGCCAACATTGGATCTGTTGACAAAGATCGTATCATGGTATCGTTAGATGCAATCGATATGAACGACGAAAGAAATATACTATTTTTAAAAGTTCAAGTTTCAGATCAACTCCTATGATTGACATAAATCAAGCTATCGGTTATATACCGTGGACTTATAGTTCACATCAAACTGCGATGGAACGATATATCTTGAAAAGCTCAATAGGCAATAGCCTGGTTCAGCCCAATATTAACCTACATATGAAAATTGCTTCTTATGTGAGTAGCGCTTACGGTCCCGGTTCTTTACCATGTATATCCCTACAGCATTGCTACTTTTAACTTGCTATATGTAGGACAGATTTTAATCCATGTGGCTGGCTCCCTTGGCTCATTTGTCCCATGTTTTCGAAATTAGTATTACGCAAGAGTCGCTAACTCTTGAATAGACGAGAAGTATAATCCAACTTGGACTGAGGCTTAGTAAGGTATCAAAAAAGAACCAGGCAGCATCTCATTCTCCCCGCCTTGCTCTATTGCAAAATGGGTATGAAGTGCTTGCTTTTGAAGCCGGCAGGATCCTGCAGACTTTAAGCTATCACACGGGGGATCGTCAAAATAGACTACCGGTTTCGACTACCTCACCCGACGCCCGCTAGTAGCAATTGGGATCGATCAACGCCCTCTCAACTCTCCTCCGCCATCAGTTATTGGTCCAAAATTTCCTGCTCCAATTGTGGTAGCAGGGGGCCATTAAGCTTATGTGCACGCATCCTGGTTTTCTTAGTATTACGACAATAGCCGAATCCCCAGGTTCCATGTGATGTCGTTCTATAAAAAATTCTGCTACCTGGTACCACACCAAGATGCTGAGGTCGTCCAACCCCATAGCGTCTTCCATCCCCGGGTCCCACTCACACCATATCGAATATTTACCGAATCCGTCCATCTACGCTGTTTCACTCGACCCCTGTTCATTACCCGATTAGGAAACATTTCCTATACTGGAATAGCGTCTTATGGTCTTCCAAGACCTGCGCCGCTGATGAGGAATGGCGGTCTTCTCGAAGGCGTAAAAGAATGATATTATTGTAGACGGGGGATTGGACAAGGCTCATTTGTCCGCTCTGTATAGCTGCAACATGCAATCATCGAGCATGGGTAATATTCCCGTAGAGATACCGTGTGGCCATGGTATGATAGATCATCGTAGGGACAGTTACCATACTTAGGTAACGGCATGGCCGATCTTATATTACGATCTCAGTCGCATCTTCAAGATCCAATTATCTACTCTTCCTGGGTACTGAATATCATAGTCAATCATAGTCATAGTCAACGACAAAGAGTGACTCGTGCTGTGGTATCGGTAGTCTAGGTATCTCTCATATGGCATAGACATAGGTCTATCTCAAGTCGCCATCATGAGGTCCCTCACTGACATGGAAATTCCGTCCTTCTGGCGCCAAACCTGGGCCTTAACGAAGAAGAACATCATCATAGCCGTTTATCGAAAATGGTTCTCGACTATCCTGCGATCTCTCGTCTTCCCCCTGATTCTTCAGGTACTCTTACTCGAAATCCAAAACTTCGTCAAAGACGATAACAGATATGGAGTTGGCGACCCTCACCCTATCCCCACTCTCGCCGACAGCATGGCGGCGAGCTCGAAACCTCTCGTCTTGGTTCAGGGGCCTGGCCTTGGATCCGACTTTCAGTCTACTCTCGACAAGATCACCAGTCCTCTCGATTCGAATAAGTTAATTCATCTCACCGACCCGAACGACATCGACATGACTTGCCCGGTTGACTACCACGGAAACTCTCCTTGCTTTGCCGTTGTCGTCTTCAACGACTCTCCTTTCAGTGGGCGTGAAAACGCAGCATGGAACTACACCATCAGGACGGATCCAGCTCTCGACTCCGTGGCTTTCAACGTATTTGACAGCAAGAGTTCTACGGATCAAGTTTACTTACCTCTTCAATCTGCCGTCGAGAACGCGATGCTTAACTTGACAGTCAGCCCGGCGTTCTTGCCGTACACGTACGTGACACAGGAGCAGAAAGATGAGTACTCGAGGAAGACTTACATCGCCCTATCGTTGTATCTCCTATCCTTCATCTACTATGTGACATACATTCCGGTTTGCCAGCACCTTACTAGCATGATCGCTTCTGAGCGTGAAACTGGTATGTCGGCTCTGATTGACGCTATGGGCGGTGGAGTCGCCGGGCCGAGAGTTCTCAGTTATGTGCTCTTCTTTTACGTCCTGTACTTGCCACTCTGGATTATTATGGGAGTCCGTAAGTTATACCCGCATGATATTGATTTTTCCTGATTTTATCGCTGACATTTATTAGTGTACTGGTACCTCCTTTTCCCTGGCCAGAGTGTAGCCGTTACGATTTGGTGGCAGATCTTAACTGGTTGGGCGACGATTAGTACTACAGCGTACAACACAGCGTATTTCAAGCATTCGAACGTCGCCAGTCTTTACAATTCTTTGATGCCTTGGCTGTTGGCAATCTTGGCCGCCTTCTCGGAAAACTCCGCGGCAAACCCTCCCCCTCTAGCTCAGGTCGTTTCCTGCTCTCTCTTCTTCCCTAGCATGAACTTCATCTACTTCTTCGATTTCATCGCTAAGGCCGAAGTTGCTGGAATTCGAATCAACTTTATGGAGGCAATTCCGAAAGCTCTCTTGGATACCGGTAACGGAAAGGGAACGAACTGGACCAACATCGTCGGACCCTACTGGCTCTGGATTCTCTTGGCTGCTCAGATCGTCGTGTACACAGGCTGCACCGTTCTTCTCGAGCGCTTCAAGCATGGCAACAACCGCAAGCGCCGCACATTTAGCACGGATCAAGATGCAGTAGACTCCCACATCGCTATCGAGGCCACGGGTTTAGAAAAGCTTTACAAGCCTCACTGGTTCAAGAAGCTCTTCTGCTTTGCCCGCGACCCGAAGACTAAGGCAGTTGATGGTTTGGATCTCATTTCTCAGAAGCATCAGATCACCTGTTTGTTGGGACCCAACGGTTCTGGAAAGACTACAACTTTGGACATGCTTGCTGGATTCGAAAGGCCAACCGGTGGCTCTGTGAACTTTAACGCATTGCCTTCGCAAATCGGTATTTGCCCGCAACGCAATGTGTTATGGGATGAGTTGACCGTCTACGAACATCTTCAAATCTGGAACACTCTTAAGGGAAAAGATGACGATTTGGCTGTTCTCGACCAGCTAATTGAGAAATGCGATCTTGCGGCCAAGAAGCACAGTCTTGCGAAGAACCTCAGCGGCGGTATGAAGCGAAAGCTTCAGCTAGCCTGTATGTTGATCGGTGACTCTACTGTCTGCTTGATGGATGAAGTTACTTCTGGCCTTGATCCTCTCTCTCGCCGCTCTATCTGGAACGTGATTCTCAGCGAGAGAGCCCGAAGAACAATGATCTTAACTACTCATTTCCTTGATGAGTGTGAAGTCCTATCAGACCACATTGTCATTGTCACACTTGGAAAGGTAAAATGCCAAGGAACTCCTACGTTGCTGAAGAACCAATACGGAGGCGGTTACCGTGTTCATATCCCAAAGACGGAAGATATCTCCAGAATCGAATACCCAGTAAAGGAACACCACGATAGGTTTATCTGCCAAACACCAGATTCAAGGTCCGCTGCGAACGTATTGTCTTCTCTTAAGAATGAGAGCGACTCTGAATTATACATCACCGGCCCAACAATCGAGGATGTATTCTTGACTGTCTCGGAGGAACCTCACACTCTTATCGGTGAGACACTTGAGATTCTACCCACCGAATCTGAGCGAAGCAGAGTAAAGGCACCGCAAGGTGAACTGCCTCTGTGGAAATCATACTCGCAACAAATCAACGCTCTCTTCATCAAGCGAATTCAGATCCTGAAGAACAATTGGTGGGCGTATTTGTTCTGCCTTGCGATTCCTCTCGTCGCGACTCATTTCATCAACGATTTCCTAAAGGGTTACCAGACCCCCGACTGCAACAGCTTAATCTCATTTAATTCATTCGACAGCCGAATGAGGGTTAGCAACGAGGGTGTCCTCGCAGTTGGTCCTCCAGGTATCAACAGCACTATCATGAAGGTGATCGATGAGACGAACCCGTACCACTACGATGTCGGTAAAGGACCTTTCATCATCGATACTGAGGTGAATCTTGTGAAATTCATTCACTACTACGCCTACAATATCTCGAATGGTGGTGGAATTTGGCTCAGCAACGACACGGTCCCGCTTATCGCCCACGATGCTATGACCGGTCAGTCAGGCGCCACCAGTCTCCTGAATCTCGTCAACCAGGTCCGAAGCAATACCACTATCGCAGGATATACATCAAATCTCAAATCCTATCACCAGGCCGAAGGTGGTGACAGTGTATTCTATGTCACTGTTTTCTGTCTGCTGCAAGCTCTCTACCCGGCTTTCTTCTCCCTATACCCGACGTACGAGCGACGATCACAAGTACGAGCTCTCCAATACTCCAACGGTATCCGACCATTCCCTCTGCTATTTTCGTACTGGATGTTCGATTTCATGTTCGTCCTAGTAATCAGCGCTGGCTGCACCGCCTTAATCGCCAACGCAGCTCCCTGGTTCGGAATCGGCTACGTCTGGTTCATCCAAGTACTCTACGGACTCGCTGCCATTCTCTTCGCCTACCTAATCGCTCTACTAGCTCGGTCGCAACCCGCGGCTTATGCTTATAACGTCCTATTCCAGGGCATCATGTACGCGCTCTCGATCGTCACACTCCTGATCGTCCAGCGAACAGACGGTGCCAACCAGCGGACCAACGACGGTACCGCCTTTGGTCTCGGCCTCATTTTCCCGATCCAGAACCTGATGCGTGGCATGGCTATCAGCCTGAACATGTACATCGTGCGATGCCGCGGGCAAACCATGGTTACGAACGCAGGTTCAATCTATGCGTTCGGTGGCCCGATTATGCTTCTCATATTACAAATCATCGGCTTATTCTCGCTTCTGCTCTGGATTGAAGGCGGCAGCTTCGCCTGGGTCAAGAAACCCAAGCCCACACCACCCCCCTCGCGCGCCGGTGACATCGAGAAGACCCTAGCCGGCGGCCGCGAAGACGTCAACGCCGAAACAGCGCGCGTCACAGCCTCGGAGACCGATCTCCTACGCGCACTCCACGTATCCAAGAGCTTCGGACACAAGCCAGCTGTAGAAGACGTATCTCTCGGACTGAGGGAAGGCGAGATCTTAGCTCTACTCGGCCCCAACGGCGCAGGAAAGACGACGATGATCAACATGATCCGCGGAGATCTCACACCCGACACCGGCAGGATCTACCTCGAAGGCGTCGACGTGCTGCACCACAAGCGCCTCGCGCAACGCCACCTCGGAGGTAAGTTTCGATCTACACTTTCCCCTACCCAATACAGCTTCACGCTACACGCACAATATTGCTTTTCCTCCTTCCTTTATCGTCACCCCCCAATCTCGCTACCAGATCCTACATCCACCACACCGCGGTCTTGCCGAGATCTACCTACCCCCCTCCCCCTTTGTCTAGGGCTTACACGCCCGCCTATCTGCCTGCCTGTGCCGACATGAGCTAATTAATGTAATGCGCAAACAGTCTGCCCCCAATTCGACGCCCTAGACCTTCTCACCGTGCGGGAACACCTAACCTTCTACGCGCGGTGCAAAGGCGTCGAAGACGCCCACCGGGCCGTCAGTTACGTCATGTCTCGCGTCGGCATAACCGCGCACGCGCACAAACCCGCATCCAAGCTCTCCGGAGGCAACATGCGGAAACTGAGTCTCGCAATCGCTCTCCTCGGTGATCCTCCAGTCCTTCTCCTCGACGAGCCCTCGTCCGCAATGGACGCCGCGTCAAAGCGTGTCCTCTGGCGGACCCTCGAAGCCGTGGCGCCGGGCCGCTCGGTGCTGATCACGACGCACTCGATGGAAGAGGCGGATGCGCTGGCGACGCGGGCGGCGATTGTGGCGAGGAAAGTGCTGGCGGTGGGGACGACGCAGGCTTTGAGGAAGACGCACTCGAATGAGTATCATGTGCACCTGATCTTGCGCAGCGCGCCGCTTTCGAGGGTGGAGGAGATGGGCGCGTTGGAGGATTGGGCGAGAAGGACTTTCGGGGGCGCGGTGAGGTTTGAGGGGGAGAGTTTGGGGGGACAGGTTAGGTTTATTGTGCCGACTGATGTTGCGGTGCCGGGACGGCGGATGTCGGGTGGTGGGGAGAGTAGTAGTGGGGGGAGTGAGGGGGGGGAGGAGGAGGATAGGATTGAGGAGGTTCATGCTGTGAGCGATTATGGCGATGAGGAGGAGAGTGAGAAGATGAGGAAGAGTGAGACGGTGGTGCGGGTTTCGTCGAAGCGCGAGCATGCGACGCAGAATTTCACGAGGTTCTTGATTGAGACGCTGGAGAAGCAGAAGGAGGCGTTGGGCGTGGAGAGTTATTCGATCTCTGCGGCGACGATGGAGTCTGTTTTTATGAAGGTTGTTAAGGAGAGCGATGCGGTTGAGCATGAGGAGTTGGTACGGCGGAAGTGGTGGCAGTGGTGAGTGAGGTTGGTGACGTATTACCTACTTGCTCGAGTATATAAAGACCTACTACATAAGGGTTCGGGGCGAGTTCGCCAGGTATATAAGCATTGCATTTGGGGGCTTGTATATATGCCCGAAAAAAGGGGGCCAAGGCAGCTGGTCGGGACGCTGTTACTGTTTATTCCTGTTGTCTTTTAGGGGTCGTTAGTTTTTTCTTTCGTTTTTGATACCACATACATATGAAGTAGCTAGTTAGGTCTTATAATTGAACTCCATGTTGAGGGAATATAATGGTTTTCTTGTGTGAGGATGTTGGATACTTGTATTGCTTGTCGAAGTGGGGTGGTCGACTCTGTTTGCCCCTTTTCTCTTCTCTGTTGTTTTCGCCTAGGAGCCCTTTTAATGTATTCACTGGCTACATTCTCGCTGTACATCTAATATTCTGAATTGGTAACTGATAGCCTCCCCCCATCATTGAGAAGAACTACACCATTGCAGTATGAACCCGCCCTGCTTGCGAGATACAACACTGTACCCCCCATCTCTTCCTCACCCCCAAATCGCCTCGACGGTATATATCGCATATTTTCGAGTGTTTCTTTACTAGGATCCCTCCCCGCAAGTAGACCTTGAGCTAGCTCGGATGGGAATACTAAATAGTCAAACAAATCAGATTTTTCACTTCTCACAGCATTTTCGTAGGTGTTGGTAACGGTACTTACTTCCAGGTGCCATTGCATTTACCCTAATCTCATATTTGGCAAGATTGGTGCTTGCATGTTTGACCAGATGGGTTATGGCCGATTTGCTCCCAGAATAAGCGGGCGGAGAGATTCTATCCCGACTATAGGCGGATACGCTGCTCGTGATGATGACCTGACTTGGGACAGAGGGTACATTGCTACCTTCTTCAATTGGCGCTCCAAACCCTCCTTTCAAGGCATTCTTGTTGCCGGCATCAAGCAGCTCTAGAAAAGCCAGCATCGTAAAATACGTCGCGGTGACATTGGTATGGAAGGTTTCGGTGAATTCACCCATGGACACTCCCTCAAACAGATGCTTACGAAGTTCCTGTATCGTGAGATCCGGGTTGAAAGACTTTGTAGGGCCGATTGTGCCTGAATTGGCTACGAGTAGGTTGACGTAGCCCACATCATTTGTGATCAAGTCAACGGCGGACTGTAAGGACTCCTTAGAAGTAATGTCACACACTATGGGGGTGAAGATGGGATTTTGAGCTGCTGCGCTCTCCACGACGGCCTTTCGTCTTCCAAGAAGATAAACCTTCTTCGCCCCGGCCCCCGCAAGGGCCTTAGCCATCATAAACCCAATGCCTTGATATTATTAGTGTTAGTGGTCTATGAATATGTCTGAGACCCCTTACCTGTAGCGCCACCAGTCACAACAGCTACCATACCATCAACTCGAAAAAAGGTAGAGGTTTCCATGTTGAAGTGGTTATATATCGCAATAGTCTTGGTTCGAACCTTGGAATATACCGGTATTCAACTCATAGTCATCAGAGACGACAAGTCTCTGAGTTTTTAATGCAGAGAAAGAAGAGGATAGAAACGTAGGCCATTTTTCTAACTCCCTAAAGTCCGACCATATTCTACAGTGAACTATGAAGATCCTCTCTGGTTTTTTGATAGGTATGGAATTACGAACACTACTAAATCCGTGACATACATATGTTGTTATGCCAGATAGCTACGAGGGTATGGTGGAAGGTAGGCATAATTGCAACTACTACCTCCAAACATAGGCCCAACATCGCCAGTGTATAGATTAACATATCTTGAATAAGGTAGAGATCGGATAAGAATTAAGCCGATTTTAGTCAATTTATTTCGCCTTTCGGAGATAAACAGTATGCCCCCTTACTGCCGAAACTATGTCTCGAACGTATTCGCGATAAGATGCGAACCGAATTCTTTTGGAATATGGATTGTGTATCCCTGAGAAGGCTCTGAGATGTAATGTTAGTGATATATGATACTCATAAGAGAGGAGTAAAGTCTCCTAAGCCCCCGTTTTTCCTCTACTCTGAGCATGTGAGCGATGCTGCGGGCTAAGAGAACTCGAACGATATGGTTCAGTAGAGATGCGCAATAAGTTGGTAAATCAACTGATTTGAATAGTTACCTAACCACCGGAAACTAGGTACGTTAGGAGTATTCCGTGATAGAGCAAAGATGAAGTAGAGAAATTACTCGAAAATCGAGACTTCAATGGGTCATGAATACCCAGAGAGTGACTCGCTCTTAATTCAACAACCCATCGTTTTATATTCTCATAATGACGGGCTTCATCTTAGCTCTAGGCTATTTCGAAGAAAGGGGGCGCAGTGTAGTGTTACTGTTGCACCTCACGTGCTCACCCAATTCCACATCCGAATACACCGTTTCTATGTGTGTCTCGATAATGTCTCTTTCGGGCTGAGACTCCGAGCCCGGATCTCATAGTTTCTTCTTAATCTACCGAGTGAAGCTCTGTATCACGATTGGTTTTGGATGCCGTCTTGTTACTCCACCATACGAGTTGATACTTGCGAATGGCGTACGGTTTCATCTCTTGGCACATGTGGGTGAGCACCGGAACCAGCAGGTTTGCTTGATTACCTACCTACACGCATAGGTGAATAGTTCAGCAGATACTGGTTCAAAGCAAAATATCACATGTATTTGCTTGAGCATTATCTGAAGACTCCTGTCAGAGATGTTGACATTTGGATGATGAGATAGGCTATAAGGTAGGATTATCTCCACAAACCCAGCAAATTTTCGCTATGGGTCAAAATTGGCGTGCACACAATTAGTCAAACCTGTAGTTTATGACCAGTTTCTACTCCAACTAAACTTGGAGTCTGATATATGTTGGCTGCTCCTAAGCAGCGATATTTGCATTGGTATACTGGGAGTCGGACCTTACTAGATATGACTAAAGTCTGGTTAGTGATGCTTATACTATGTGTCCGAAACATGTCCGCACTTGCTCGGGTCGGATCCGAGACAGGGACTCAACGTAGTGGTAGCTAGCCGTTTTTATTGGTGAAAAACTGCCGATGAATCCACTACACTTCAAAAACGTCGAAGTGCAGACGATGCAGGGAGAGAATCTCTAAGTATCATCGTGGAAATATCCGATCTGGGCATTATTCGTGCTACGTTGTAGCAAACCTGAACTGCCTGACTTCTCGATCCTCTTCCATGTGAAGACAGAAGCTACTTAAGGGAAGCACGAATAGCACGCTGACGTAGCTAGTAGGATGGCCACGTTTTCGCGTGGAACTTAGCGTTAGATGAAAATAGCATATTCGGAGCGATCCCAGTTAGGGCGTGGCACCCGTGTACCAAATCATCACGGCAACCGTTCGTTCATGATGTGATGATCGCAGTTGTACCGAACATCTCGAATTCATGAAAAACTGCGGATCAAGTCTGCGAGTATTGAGATTGGTGTATCAGTGTAAGTCGAGGTAAAATAGGCGCAGAGCGCGCTACGATATGAATACAATTGGAGTTATATTCGTTCTTGATTCTTGCTAGTTTGTTTGATGGTGTTGCGAGTGCATATATGTATCGCTGAGGGACCAAAGCTCTTTCTTCATGTGATAATAGTTGAAGTTGTCACGGTCGTGCTTGTTCGAATAATATGTCGTACAACTCTCTAGCTCGAAGTAAGGTTTATTAATTGGGAGGAGAAAACGAAGAGAAGTGACGTCTTACAGAGCTGATAGAAGATGAGGAAGTCCTGCCCAAGGTATTTCTGCAGATTTGATCCATATGGTCCGTGCATAAGATCGCTTAACCGGGATCAACTTGTCCGGGGCAGGTAAGCTTGTAGCATTCCCCCCACTTTTCCCACAATCCATGAATCCACACCAAGATCTACCGCCAGTTAGCTGCCGCCAGATTTCACACCGCATCGATGTTGTCTTGCCGTTGTGCACAGTGGCGCCTTAGATAGAATACTTACGGATCTGTAATAAGAGCAGCCATTGCCAGCCCTAGTTTTCTTACCTCTTCCTTCCGCTTCCTCTTTCTCTTTTTCTCTTCTCTTCTTCTTTTCTTTTCTACCTACCCTCAACACCATCTTCCTTCAATCCCGATGGAGGTATGGTGAAGGTTTCTACGTTTTCCGTCGTGCGTACTCAAGTAGAGTTTCACGACACTCCTAGGGCGTCATTGGGAGTGTCGTTCTAAAACGAGAAACTCTCAAAGACCAGGGGGGAATAGTGCAGTTCGGCATTACCCCTGGGCTTTGACCGCAAAGAGGATCGTCATTCTTTTTTTTTTTTTTACTCCGGGCGACCAGGGAAGAAGACGAAGAAGCAGAAAAGAAGAATTCTTTACAAAGGCCTTTTACTTTACCAATTACTATACGAAATATTCACTTCCTTTGGCCTTTTCGGACGTGTTTTTTTATTGGACTTTCCTGGATCCTCTAGATTCTCTAGAAATCCTGTTACCTGAGGGTTTCCAAGCTTTTTCCTCGATACGAGCATTTAGGTAACTACCTACTTGCTAGGTATCGCCTAAAATCTCAGCTAGCCAATTGGTGGTGGAAAAAGCCAGATACGTAAGCTGCTAGCTCTGCCCCCTATTTGTGGGTGCATCCATGGACTTGGGCATCTAATTTTAAAAATTACTTGTCAAGTTCTAACCTTCAGCCTTTTTTAACAGATCTTCCTTACGCAGCACACAATTATCCAGTCATCATCGCCACAACGACATTTATACAAGCCTATACCAAGAGAATCCATTCGCGACTTTTTCGGCACTTATACGCGTCCAGTCCGAAATACATCAAGCTTAAATAGCTCATTCTACCTATCCTTTGGGATACAACCATCATCACCATTGGCATCACTAAGCCACAAGCCACGATTCTTATCCCTTATCAATCAACAAAAACAATTCCATTTTCACAACACAGCAACATTGAGTCTTACTACTCTCCTCATCCGACACAATGGCCCGTATCCAGATCCCTCTCGACGTCCTGACGTCGCGTCTGAACATTTCGGACCGCTTCGCAGGTTTTCGTAACACCTCCCTCTCAAGCCGATTCGCCAATATGCGCCCCGTCAGCGAATTCCTCGATTTTAAGCGTCTGTCCAAACCAGCCAACTTCGGAGAAGTCCAGTCGCGTGTTAATTACAACCTGGGCACCTTCTCGAGTAACTATGCTTTGGTATTTGTGCTCCTCAGTGTCTATGCACTGATCACAAATCCTCTGCTACTCTTTGATATCATACTTCTGGTTGGTGGCATGTGGTTACTTGGCCGACTCAACGGACAAGATCTCACCATTGGCACTTTCCAAGCTACATCTTCGCAGCTGTACACCGGCTTGCTTGTTACCTGCGGTCTTCTATTTCTAATTGCATCACCTTTCTCCACTGTCCTATGGTTGATTGGTGCAAGTGGCGTGGTCATCATTGGCCACGCTTCTTTGATGGATAAGCCTATCGATGAGGCTTTTTCCGGGGAGGCGGTCTAGGTGGTCGGCCGCGAGCTCCCAAATTTGCGCCCCAATGGGGAAGACCATCGAGGCGTCCGAGGAGGGGTTATGAAGAGGAGGAGGATGATATATGGGGGACCGGGCGCAGGGTTGTCGAGGAGTTGTTGGATAGTGAGGGTGCGGACGCACAAGGCGCTGAAAATGGTGGGAGACGGTTTGCTAGTGACCCGCTTAGGTTCACCGGCATAGATTTGGGTGGTGGTGGTGGTCAGGCACGGAATGGTTACGCTTATCAACATTCGGATGAAGAGGACGAGGACGATGACGGCAATTCAACAGAGGAGGGTACACAAGCTACATCAGAAGAGGAAGAGGATACCGACGATGAAAATCAGGTTGTTAGGAGAGAACTTGAAGAAGCCTTAGTACAATCGGCTCTTTCAAGGATACGGAAAGCTCAAAGCAAGGGCAGGCAAGACGTCAAGCTTAACAAGGAGGAGCTTGCTGCTCTTGACCGTAGACGGAAACGCTTACAAGCTGAAGCTGAGGCAGCGAAACGAGGTGGAGGCAGTCGAAAACAACGCAAAGAAAAGGAACAGCGATACGCCGTCCCCCTTTCTCAATTAGATGCTCCTTCACGTGGCCCCTCTGGCTCCAATGAGTCCTTGGCCCGCAAAGCTTTACCATCGACAGAGCAGGGACCGCCGATGGGACGTTTTCATCCGCCAAATTCAAGCCGTTCCCGTCCTCGCTCCGGTACTTCATCATCATCTACACAACGTCCTCAATCCCGCATAAGAGATTCTCCACCTTTCGATTATCAATACGTGAACGCACCTCCTAACCAGCGACACGCCTCCGATCCTTCGGGAAGACCTCCGTCTTCCGCGTCATCCCAAAATCCCTTCCAATATCAGACTGCCGGTCCGCGCGTGCCGTACGCCGAGGGGGCTGCGGCCGTTAGGAGCAGTCCGAGGAGACATAGAAGCCGAGCAAGAAGGGACGAAGAACAAGAGGACGAGACAACAAGTGACGATGGAGGGAATAGAGAGATTGTGGTAGCCTCGCCTTCGCCGGAATCTGAGCGACCCAGGGCCAAGAAGTCTTCACCTGGTCAACCGACCGCAAAGAAGAAGGCAACTAGTGGTACTGGTAAAAAGCGAAAAGGGAAATAAGCCGAGCAGAGTCGTCCCCATCATCCTAGTGGGAAAAGCAATACACCTATGTAATACCTGAACATTGATAGACTGGTTTTTAATAATGCACTCGCGCGCTCCTCTTCCTTCAATTAAAACCGCGTACGCTTCTCACCTCTCACGCATCTTTCAAGATATTTCTAGTAAAAAAATCTTTTCATATGAAATGAGACTTCTAAATCTAAGTCTAACATAACATTAGGGTATCGTATCGATTCTTCTTCAACTCGCTCCTCCTTTTCGCAAAAAGACATCAATCGTAACCCGGCTTTTTCTTAACACAAAGAAAGAGAGAGAAGAGAAGCGAAAATTCGTGTCGTTAATATAAAAAAGACCGCCCCTCAGACGCCATCCGTTAATTCATACCTAGGTATTCATCCATCCATCCATCCAATCCATTCCATTCCATCCGCATTACCCCTTCATCCGGCACGTCACGAGTTCATTCGTAACTTCCCGGGAGTTCCTAGCTATATACGAGAACCCCTGGTTTTACCCAGGAAAGTAGATATGTAAATAGACAGGCAAGCGAGATAAGGTAAGGCGAGGTAAAGTAGGGGTTAGGGAGAGGAGGGTCATTCAAGAGAAGAAATCCCGTATCCCGTCGAAGAAACCCCCGCCACTGCCGCCACGCCGTCCTTCATCGTAGGACTCGTGCCGTCGCTCCCACTGGTACTCGCCATGGTGGCCGCGGCCGACGGACACACTGTCCGAGCGGCCTAAACCACCAGCCATACGCACCGCTTCGCCGACCAAGCCGACGCTAGAGCCGCCTCCCGCACGCGCGGCCATGCCGAGCATCCGCTCGATGCTAGGCGGTAGCCGTAGGCCGAAGCGGGCTAGGAGCGCGGTGAGGGCGCCGCCGGTGATGAGGGGCATGATCACGAGCATGAAGACCTTGATCGGGTGGCGCTTGGCATAGTACATGAGGTCGCGCAAGAGACGCTTGAGCTTCTTGAGGGTGCGCTGCAGGAAGGAGGAGCGCGGCTGCCGCTTGTAGTAGGAGTTGGAACGGCCTGGGGATCGCATGGTTAGCTATGGATATATACATGGATAGATAGGTGCTAATGCTATAACATGGGGATATATTGATTGTAGCGTATAGTCTAGTGTATGTGATGGTATGTATGGTATGATATGTAGGGGAAAGGGGGGAAAGATGGAGTGGAAGCGTGGAATTGTGTATGCGGGAACTGCTACGTGTGAAGATAGGTGAATGCAATGGGTTCTAGATTCGAGGCCTCCACACGTGCGCGCGTTTGATTCGGTGCTTAAACGGGGCTGGTCTGACGAGGTGACCGTACGGGATGAATGGAGATGGATGGAGGGGATTGAGGTGAGCTCACCTAGGCTGAAGAAACTCCGGGTGCTGCCGTTGCCCAGGCCGAAGAACGAACCCCGAGAGCTGTTGTTCTTGCTGTAGTGGCTGCCACCGATGCCGCGGTCGCCATGGCTGCTGCTGTGGTGGCCGCCGTCGACGCCGAAGAAGCCAGCGAGTCCTGAGTGTCGCTTGCTCTTGCTGCTCTTGTGAGAGCGCGACGAGTCTCGCGATTTGGAGGTCTTGTGGTGGTGGGAGCGCGAGCGGCGGGTCGAGTTTGAGATGACGGACTCGCCGTCCCAGTCGCCGAGGAGACCCATGATGGAATTGGTTGTATGAGGTAAATATATAAACTATGGGTAGATAGATAGATATGTGAAATAGATATATAAACTGTGTTGCTCAAGCTTGTTTAAGCTTGTAACAATTGTTCTGAAGTTCAAGTCTCACAGCTTTTCTCAATCGGCCTAGCGGGGCAGATTGACGAGAAGTGAAGCTAAGAAAAGGAACAAGAGAATCTCACAGCAAAAAAGCTGGCCGGTAGATCAAATCGTGGGAGGATCAACGCGATCTTTTGTTATATTCTCTGTGGTATGATCGATTTCTCGTTCGCTGCAAACGCACCAGCCAGTCTGCGAACACTAGAATGGATCTCAGGCACGACTAATCCACAGGAGAGACGGGTCTGGATGTGTGAAAGTGAAGATATTGCAGCTGACGAAGACTCGAAGACATCGCGAAAGATTGGAACTGCGAATGAGAAGAGAGGGATCGACCGTTCACCGACAATTGAAGTGGCTGGGCTCACCCCTGGCCGCCCTGGCCGCCGCTGGAGGATCGCCGTAGTCTAAAACTGCCCTAAGGCTTAGGGCTAGTCTCCATTTGATTAGTTTGGTTCCGAGGTGAGCCTGCGGGTCAAGTCAATTAAAGGCGGGTCTCTGGGTCTTGCCAAGACTTAAAAATCTTGACTAGCAGGCAGCCAGGCTAGACCGTTTACGAAGTTAGGCAAGTTGCAGTTCAACAGCTGCAACCTGCAAGCGTGTGCTGTGTTTGCTGTTTGTGGAACCGAACTGATCAAGCCACCGTGGCTTATCAAATCTTCAAAGCTTAAGGGAAGTGACTTACCCCAAAAAGGAAACGCTAGCCAGCTAAACACCTAGAACGCCACATCTATGACGTTCCCTATTGGATATACACCATCCACCTATCCAATTCATGAGCTCCCAATGAAGCCCGATTAAAGACGATGCTTTGACTTGCAGACCGACTCGTGCTCCTAGAATTTCTTTTCTCTTTACCTTCACCTTACACTGCCGGCTCAGTACCTTTACCTACCTGCTATTACGACTTTGAACGATTAAAATGGCCAATAGATCCCCCCCAGACTATTGTTAGTCACCTTAGACTTTTCCTAGCTCTTATGACTCTCCCTCTATAAAGAACCCCACTAACATAAGATGAAACTACAGACAGGATCCTCGAGGTCTCTGAAAATGCAACTACCCAACAGATCCGCGATGCCTATAAACGGTAAGTTAATCTACCAGAACCATTCCCATATATACGAATACCTAGTCGTGTCAGCATTTCCACCATACTAACAGCCTTCCCCCACAACCAGAGCGGCCCTCAAAACCCACCCGGACAGAGTGTCCGCCAACTCTCCCGACCGCGCGGCCCGGACCCGCAAGTTCCAACTCGTGAACGACGCCTACTACACGCTGTCAGACCCGACCCGGCGGCGAGAGTACGACTACACACGGAAAGCGGACCGAGGCCGACGAGGCGGGCGGGGATCCTACACAGACCCGTTCGACGACCCCGCCGAATCAGTCCCGCCCACCAACGGTAACGGCAACGGCAACGGCGGGGGCCAGAACGCATACTCCTGGGCATGGAACTTCTTCACGGGAGGCAACACGAACACACAGCCGCAAGCGCGCGCAGAGCGGCAGCAGGCGGAGGACGCGCAGTTCGGGGACGTGTTCGAGGAGATGTTGCGGGAGGAGGGGATGGCGGGCGATGACGCCACGCGTCGGGATACCACGTTCTGGAGCATGCTGGGCACGGCGAGTGGTAGCGTCATTGGTTTCATCGTGGGTAATATGCCTGGAGCCGTGGCGGGCGCCGTGGCGGGCAATAGGCTTGGTGCGGTGCGTGATGCGAAGGGGAAGAGCGTGTATGCGGTTTTTCAGGATCTGCCGGCGGATGATCGCACGAGGTTGCTGGCGCAGCTTGCTACGAGGGTGTTTAGTCATGCTGTGGGGATTTGATGTGTGAGGGAATGGAGGGGGGTATGGGGTTATGATACATGTTTATGAGGGGAATGGGGGATGGGAGGGATGAGGGAATATGAATAGACTGCATTCTTAGGGGGATCGTGCGTGGAGTTCAGGCTTCGTTTTTTGAGGGGGCGATGGATAGGGGTGGGCTTGATAGAGGTCTGGGAGAGCTGGCGACTGCTGACTGGTTTAGTCGGGGGTTGAGGTTCTTCCTACTTCGTACTTGATAATTACCTACTTCTTAAATAAACATGATGTTACCTACTGATACTTCCTGCGTCGTTACCTAGTAGTTCTTGTCTCATGATACATACCTAGTTCTAGTTCTAATGGCTTAAGCTTATGCAAATATTCGCGGAAATTTTAGCTACAAACCAAGCAGCCAGGCTGTTATGAAGTAACCCGGCTAAAATCTTGCAAATGATTTACATATGTAAATATTTTTATAATCGTATTTTCCATTTTTTAAAATAACAAGTTTCGTTTATAATAAAATTTTTTTAAAAATAAAAATAATAACGATTAAATAAGAGCAACACTAAATCTGCAGTGCAGTTTGGCTATATCTGCAGTGCTGAGCCACTTTGGAGAGCCGAAGTTCTCCCGAAGGTCCGAGCTCAAAAGGTACACGTTTCGCCATATAATTCCACATACAAATCTAAGTATCTTTTAAGCCTCAAAACCTTATTTCCCACACCTAACATGATACATGAGTCTCCATCTTCAATCAATTATTTCAGCTTGAAAAGACCTTCAATTCAATCGAAACCAGAAACATTTACTTATTACTCAATTCTGCATTGAATGAAAGCGGTTGCACCTCTTCAAAGTCCGAATCGAAGGGTCTACAGCTCTTTGAATTCAAGAAGCTTTGTACTGGTCTGGTTTTGCGACCGCTGTTCTGAGAGCCGCCACGCAAAAATACATCGCATCTTAGTTCAAACTGCTGTAGCTCAATTTAATTCGATTCAAATACGATGCAACCTGGATCAATCAATTCTCCTTTGAATGCGCTTTTATTTGATTTACTTTGCAAAAGATTTGGACGTGTATTGATAGAGATAAAATAGGTTAAAGATTGAATCTTTTTGGTGTTCTTGTACTATGGCGGGGTTTCTGGAGATACTTTGATTTGTATGGGGATTTGTATGGCAAAATAGGTACCGTTCGAAAGCGCGCCTTCGCCACAATGTGGCTGACACTGCAGATATAGCCAAAGTATACTGCAGATTTAGTGTTGCTCTTAAATAATAACGTTAAGTTATAATAATTTTAACGATATAATATTTTTTATTTAACGGTATAATATTTTTTTAATTAAAATTAATTAATGTTACGATATTTTATTATTTAATTTCGTAACGTTTTTATCGTATATTTTATTTAAATTTAATTTTATTAATTTTATTAATTTTATATTTTATAATTATTTTTAATTTAATTATATTTAATTATTAAATATATATAATTACGTTAATTAAATTTAATCGATTTATTTATTATATTAATTTATAATACGAAATTATATCGATTTATTTTAATTTAAATTTATTTTATATAAATTTAAATATTAAAATAATAAAATAATTTTTAAAATTTATTATATTATTTTTATAATAATTTTAAATTTTAATATTTTTTTTCGAATTATAATATTTACGATTTTTATTATTTTTATTCGATTAATAATAATATATCGTATTTTTTTTTAAATATTAATTCGATATTATTTTATTACGTTATTTAAATTTAATAAAATTATTTTATTTACGAAAATATTTATTATATTATTTAATCGAAAATAAATTATTAAATAATAAAAAAACGTAATTTTATACGATATTAATTAATTATTTAATTTTTACGAAATTACTTTTAATACGTATATTAAATATATTTACGAATTAAAATTTACGATAATTATTTTAAATTTAATTAAAAATATAAAAATAAAAAAAAATAATTAATTATATATAAAATATATTAATTTAATATATAATCGTTATAATAAATCGAAAATAATTAAAATATTTTTTAAACGTTAATAATTTTCGCGTAAATATAATTACATTTATAAAAATGCGATTTTATATTAAATTAAAACGAAAAAATAATTTATTATAATTAAAAATTTAAATTATAATTATAATAATAATATAATTAAAATTAATATAATATATCGTTAATAATAACGTAAATTTATAAATATAAAAATTATAATATTAAAATTATTATAAATTAATTCGTTAATTAATAATTAAATAATTTTATATTTATTTAATAAATTTTAAAAAATAAAAAAAATGTCGATATAATATATAATATAAATTATAATATTAAAAATTTATTTAATTTCGATTTTATTAATAATAAATTTATTTAAATTATACGTATAAACGAAATAATAATTATTTTTAAAAACGTATAAAATATTAATAATTTATATAAATAACGTATATAAAAAAATTATTTAATATTTAAATATTATTTAAAAAATTATAAAAATATAAAAATATATATAATATTAATTATTTTTATAATATTAATAAAAAAATTAATAAAATAACGAAATTATTTTAAACTTTTAAATAATATATTAAAATATAATAATAATATTTTAACGTATTATTATTTAATAATATATATCGTATAAATCGATATATACGTTATTAAATTTATATACGTTTTATATATTAATATTATAATATTTAAATTAATAAATTTAATATATTATTTTTTAATATTATAAATATTATTTTTTTATATACGAATTTTTACGTAATTTTTAAATTATTTTTTAACGAATTAAAATTCGATTTTTTATAATATTTAAAATATTTAAATAATTTACGATAATAATATTAAATTTAATTTTTAACGATTATATTAAATAATTTCGTTAAAAAATTTAAATTTATAATTAATTAAATTTTCGAAAATACGTTTTAATAATTATATAAATAATATATATTTAAAAACGTTATTTATTACGTAAAATAAAAATAAATTAATTTAAATAAAAATTTTATTATTAAATTACGAAATATTAACGAAATATAATTTTACGATATTTTTAAATATAATAAACCCGGGTTAAATTTATTTATATATAAATTAATTAATTTAAAAAATAATAACGAAAATAACGATTTAAATAAAATAAAAAATAATTAATAAATTACGTAATTATTCGAAATAATAAAAATTTAAATTAAATTTTAATATTAAAATTTAAATATTAAAAAATAATTAAACTTTTATAATAATTTTATACGAATTTAACGAAATTATATATACGTTAATAATAAAAATACGTTTTACGTATTTAAAATTTATTAAAAAAAAATTTTTAAAAATAAAAACGTACGTAATTTATTTTTTTAATTCGTAATTTTTTTTTTTTTTAAATTAATTAAATTTTTTATACGTTAAAATAAAATTTTATAATTTAAATTTATTTATAATACGTAATATTTTTTTTTAATTATTTTATTAATTTTTTTATTTATAACGTTTTTAAATTATATAATTATTATTTTTTTTTAATAAATTAAATATTATTAATATATAATATTTTATATACGTAATTATAAAATAATTATAATTAATTAAATTAAAACGATTTATAAATATTTAAAACGTTATTTAAAAAATAAATATTATAATTTAAATTTATTATATAATTAAATTTATAAAATATATATAAATAATAAAATTAATTATAAATAAATTATTAAAAAAATTAAATTTAATTTTTTATTTAAATATAATTAAATCGGTTTATTTAAATTAATAAAGTTTAAAATAATTTTAATTTTATTATAATAAATATAAAAATAATATTAATTCGCGTATTAAAATTATATAATTTAAAAAAATTAAAATATAAATTAATTATTTTATAAAAAATTATTTATTAAATAATAAAATTTATTTTATAAATACGTGTTTTTCGAATTTTTACGAATTAATTTTAATTAAAATTAATTTATTAAAATTTAAACTTTAAAAATAAAAAATATTAATTATTATTAATAATTTATTAAAAATAACGGCTCGATTTTAATTAATTAAAAAATTTAAAAAAAAGTTATATTAAATTTTTTTCGTTTTTTTAAAAATCGCCGGCGTCGTATAATTTATATAATAATATTTTTATTAATTTTATAATAAAATAAAAAAAAATTAAATTTTTTAAATTTTAAAACGTACGAATTAAATCGTACGAAATTAATTAATTAATTTTCGAAAAATAATAATTATAATAATTATAAAATTCCGTTATATAATAAATTTTTTTAATTATTTTTTTAATAATAATAAAATTATAAATTTAAAATTTAAATTAATAAAAAAAAAATTAATTAATTTTTTAAAAAATTAAAAAAACGTATATAAAATTTTTAAAATTAATAAAATTAATAAATATTTTAATTTAAACCGTATTTTAAATTATATTTTATATTTATTATATTATTTTTTATTAATTTTATATAATTATTTTTATTATAAATATATATTTTTATTATATTTTTAATTTATATAAAACTTTTATTAAAATTAAATAATATAAATAATATATAAAATTATTAATAATTTTAATAATTTTAATAATCGTTAATATTACGTTTATAAAACTTAATAAATTAATTATATATAAATTAATTAAAATAATATTAAAATAATTAATTTAATTAATATAATTAACGTTTTAATTTTTAATATTATATAATATAAAATATATATTATTAAATTTTTTATCGTAAATTATTTAATTAAAATAAATCGATAAAATTTAATTAACGTAATTATATATATTAAATAATTAAATTAAAAATAATTATAAAATATAAAATTAATAAAATTAAATTTAAATAAAATATATAATAAAAACGTTACGAAATTAAATAATAAAATATCGTAACATTAATTAATCTTAATTAAAAAAGTATTATGCCGTTAAATAAAAAGTGTTATATCGTTAAAGTTACTAGTTAAGTTACGCTTAACTAATTGACGCTATCCTGTTTATGGGACAGTGTGACTCCCATCATACCGGGCTACTGGTCGTACCTGACAGGGATTATTACCACCGGCCCCCCACCATAAATGCTCCTCGTTACTTCTTTAACTTTCTAAACTTACAACTTCTTAACACCGACCACGAATTCTGAATACCGTCATCATCACTTAGTCATAAAAATGGATGTGCCCCTAGAGCTTACGTCGAAGGCGCAGCTCAGTGAATTGCTGGCGGACTCGCGTATTGTGGTGGCAGATTGTAAGTACATCTTCGAGTACCGCTGCACATATCCCGTCCACTTGGCCCCGCCATCGTCGTGGTGACACTCTTTTGCGACGCGAAGCTGACAAATCGTTCTAACGCGCAGTCTACGCAACATGGTGTGCACCATGCAACCAGATGGCGCCTTTCTACGCAAAGTTCTCTCAAAAAAACTCGCGTCCTCAAGTTGCCACATTTGTGAAGGTAAACGTCGAGAGTGACGCAGGTAAACTCGTCGCGAGCGAATATGCCGTCACAGCTCTTCCTACCCTCATCGTCTTCGAAAACGGCTCTGTTGTTGAAAAAATTAAGGGGGGCGATCTACAGCGGCTGAAAGTGGTCTTTCAGAAGTTAACCGATGGTATCCAGAATGCGAATTCTTCGGCAGGAGGTAGCAATTCTGGCGGCATCTCCTGGAAGGGAGCCGATCTCCCTCGAGGCTACGTTGATGTGTCGGACTCCATCGACTTACGCGGACTGGAACTCTTGAATGCCGACGAATCTCACTTTCCCGTTCGAAACCTCTTCGAAAAGAACAGGCCTTCAGCGTTATCAAAGGAGACAGTTACAAGTGATAAAAAGGACTGGGTGGAGAGTGATACTGATGAGCAACTGCTACTCTTCACGCCTTTCAACTCAGCGATCAAGCTCCACACTATACAGGTATGTGCATGCTTAGACCACCAATAGGGTGTTGTTCGAAGCTAACGTGTACTTACCAGATCACTTCTCTGCCTCCCAAAGACGATGAAGATGACGATGAAGTACCGATGAGACCAAAGACACTTAAAATCTTCACGAACCGACCGCATAACCTAGGTTTTGACGAGGCTGAGGACATTGACTCGACCCAGACGATCGAGATCGGCGAGAACGACTGGAACGACAAAGGTACCGCAAGCTTAGGTCTGCGATTTGTCCGATTCCAGAATGTCACAAGCCTTGTCATTTTTGTTGTAGATGGCGACGGTGACGGCGAAAAGGTTCGAATAGACCGAATAAGATTTATTGGCGAGCCTGGCGAGAGAAGAGAAATGGGTAAGCTTGAGAAGGTTGACGACGACGCTGATTGAGCATAACTTTGTTGGGAAGAGAAAATCGGATGCATACAGGCAAGCGTCATTCACGGTTATGATCGCGGACGAGGACAACGAATGGAATGCGGTTATAGAATGGGGATGCCCTGGGATCGCATCTATGTTCTATATAGATGATATCAATTGATGGTCGCAATGATTTAAGTAGTGAGCATGATTCTATTGTCAACAATTACAATAATTGCAGACTATACAGACAGCTGTCAGGTAGGCAATGCGTAGCATGCATGCATTTACGTGTCTAATCTGTCTAAATGCAGGTTGAACTTGACTCTTGCATCGGATGACACGCTTCATTGGATTTGATCTATCTGCACATGCAGTTGGTAATTGAATATTAAGCTGACCTCATCATTACTACCTCGCCGATTACTCCCTTCGTTACCGACGTTGACAATATCAAATTAGGATCATATTGGATAATGACTGTGTCACAGCATTGAGCAAGGACCCAAGTTGCCAATTCACATGGATCGGATAACATCCTAAGGGAGCACCACCTAGACATTGTCTCAGTAGACACACTCTCTATTATACCTGCCCATCGATCGATATAGCTATAGCTATGATAGGTCGCGGAGACCCAAAGGAGGGGATTTTCAAGGTTATGTCCAGCATCCTCACTGCGGTTCGAAGAAGCAATCAAAGGCTTCGGATTTCGAACCGACGTTAGAAGTGAGGTCGCCAGCTTGCAATTTTAATTACTCTGTGGCATGATTGACGCTTTGTATCCATGAGAAATTCCACTGAAGGAAGAAGGGATCGGAGCAACACGGGAAATGTGAGATCATGCCAGCCGCACGAAGAAGAAAAGAAGAAGAAATTTTTAAAATTTGTCGCGATCGCGTTCGACTTTTTTATGTGTTCTGCTAGCGTCCTTGGCAGCTGATAGATAAGATTTGCAGGTGGCAGAATTACCTATCCGGGTGGGGGGGGTTTTTAGAAATTATTACCTTTGAATTACATATTTTACAATTATCGTAACGCTTAGTAATAACCTCATTAATTTTACATTAAAATAAATTTTAAATATTATAACGTATTTAATAATTATTTATTTAAAATAATTAATATATTATAATTATAATAATTAATTAAAATTAAAATAATTTTATTAATATATTAATTTTTCGAAATATTTTTTTAAATAAATAAATATTATTTATAAATATTTATTATATATATAATATTATTATATTAAAAAAAAATTTTTTTTTATTATAATAATTTTTTTTTATTATAATAATTTTTTTTAATTATAATAATTTTTTCGTTATAATAATAAGTTTTTATTTATTTATTAAATATTTTTATTAATTAAAAATTAAAATTAAAATTAAATATATAAATTTTAAAAATTAAAGATTTTTATATACGCGTAAATTCGTAAAAATTAATTAATTAAATAATTAAATAATAAATTTATAAACTTTATAAATTTAAATAATTCGTAATAATATCGTAATATTTATAATTTAATTTTTAATATAAATAAAAAAAAACATTTAAATATTATAACGTTTTTTTAAATATAAAAAACGTAAATAATACGTTTTTTTTTCTTTTTTTTTTTTAAATTAACTTTATTATTATAAAATAAAAATCATTATAAATTAAAATTTATTTTAATTTAATTATTTTTATAATTAAATATAATATATTTTTTTATATAATAATTATTATTTAATTATATATATTATTATAATATTTTATTTATATTTAATATTTTTTTTTTAATAATTATTATATATTTATTTATTTAATTAACCGAAAACATTATATAATTTCGTTATAATTATATATAAATTATATATTAAATTAAAACGTGGTAATTTTATATTATAAAAATATAAATTATAAATCGTGAAATTTTTAAATACGTTTTCGTAAATTTTAAAAGTAAAATATTATTATAATAAATTATTAATTATAAGTAATTATAAATATAAAAAATATATATAATAATATAAATGTTAAAAAAAATAATAAAGTTTAAAGTAAAAAACTTAACGAATTTTTATAAAAAATTTATCGATAAATAATTAATTAACATAATAACGTAAAATTTATATTAAAAAAATAAAACATTATACTACAATTTAATATCCTTATTAATATTATGGAAATATATTTTTTTACATTTTTTATATTAAAAAAAATTTACGATATTCGGATTATTACATAAGAATTTCAAAAAACCCCCCCTACCCGGGTAGGTAGTGAGGGCACTGCCCACCTGGAAGTCAGCTCGGCGATTACCTAAGATTCCGGACATGGAATGGTGTCTCGTGGGTTTATCCGGACCCGCTTTATGAAAGAAGGTTTTGAAATATTCCGGTTGTTTCATTGCCGGCTCCAGTCACACAACAGAAAATTGAAACGAACAGAAAATCAAGACATCCACATCCACCATCTTTTTCTTCCTAGTCTCCCAGGTTCTGCCAGGTCTCTACCCTGATGAAACCGCCACTCGCGCAGTCGCGGACACACACTCTAAATTCACAGTTCCCACCCAACTCATTAAGTGTCGAATCCTTGGAATAGTTAGCCTCGGAAAAGACATGCTTTTAATATACCCGTCCACTTGGATTCCTTCCATCCCATACACCCCTCCCAACCCGTTTCTGTCTCTCATCCCGTCCTACTACGCACCTGGATACCTGAGCCGGGCTGCTAGGCTGCTAGGCTGCCTGTCAGGATACTAGGTAGCCAGTCTGCCAGGATGTTGTCGCCCAATCCAAGTGAGAGGGGGTTTACGTACGCACATCATATCCCGTCCTAGTCGAACGGTGGCGGCTTAGAAATATACTTCGCGATGTTGCTAACTGGCAACTAATCAACTAATACCGGCTAGTCTAATCCATTGGCAACCATTGGCAACCATTGAGTCTTGACAACCATTGGTAAGCCTTACCTAGGTACGGATCAACAGATTTACAGGTTTACTGGTTTACGGGTTTGCAGGTCTACAGCCCGACTCTCCGACTTTCGCCCTTCTCCTCTTTCTTTCTCTTGTCCTTGGAGTCTTGGAGTCCCTTAAGTATTTGTCCCTTGTTGTAATCTCTTCTCATATTGACCCTGACCCCTCATGCAACGTCACGCAACTGGTCTATCCCATCAGCACGGGGCCTATATTAAAAAAATCGTCAGAAGCCGCACACGCAAAGTAGCAGCGCTAATGAACCCCCTAAGACGACGTCAGCTGCTACTAGCCTTCGGTCTGTGATATCTGCACGTGTGCCACGGTAGCAGGGTTCCAAGGTCGTTCCAAGCTTGCAGTGCAGGCTTTTGTTAGGCCGTTACAATGACAATGTACCTAGTACGCATCTACGCAGCCTACGGTAGCAACCAAGCGAGTTAAAGCGCAACCAAGGCAACCCAGAGCAAGCCAGGAGCATCCAAGAGCAACCAAGCAAAGGCGAACAGGCGAACCAGCATTCGAAGAGCGTCGAACGTGGTATGCAGCATTAATATACAACTTAATTGTTCCATTTATAGACCAAATTCCGACCGTCGCATGCCACGACTCCCTATTCGCCCTATTCGTCTCGTCTATTCGTTTATACAGTTTGTACTATGCGTGCAAAGTGTAATATGTAAGCTGCTCTCTATCTATTTGCCTCGAAACTAATCCATGAAGATAGCTACCTAGTAGGTAGCTATCGTAGCAGTCTTATTAACCCCGGGGGGGGCCATCTCATAGGATTCTCTAGCAGCTCTGCACGCTTCAGCTTCCCTTTTCAGGAGTTGCTTCGCTACGTTGGTTGTACGTCAGCGACCCGACTTATGGCTGATTGTACCACAACTCTCACCCCTAATGTCTGATTCTGGAAGGTTTCCGCCGCTCGAGTGTGCTTTTTTGCAAACACGAGGCGTTAGGTCATCGCTCATCGCTTCAATACCTTAAGACCTTAGGACCCTTTTGCTCACAAGTCCGTTGCATACCCGCGCATGACTGGCACTTGGGTCAATAACTATCTGCGGTTGCCCCCAACCTTTCCCTTACAAGTAAAGAAGCAAATGCTTTGCAAGCCACTCTTTTCCCTTATGCGGATTTATTGTCTCTCATATTCTGGAGACACCGATCCATGTGATCAACCTTGGAAGCATTTCTACATTTTTCTAGGTACCTAGCCTACATGCTGCATCCGTAACCTTACTATTAGTCTATTTCTTAATGTCATGAACATCTTACATCATTCCCCTGGCCTTAAAACTCCTACTTGATTTTTCCCTGCGTTCCCTGCGTGTGAATCTGCTCTGCTCCGCTCCTTATTTTTTTTCTTCCATTCCTCTTGGATCAGGTTGCTTACCCTTCTTCATCCTTGGAAGAAAAAAAAAGAAAAAAAAACTATCGCCAAGTCCATTCATATCGCATTAAGTGGAAGAATGAAAAAAAAGGCGTAGCTATTTGAAGAAGTGGCGTATTACTTGAAAGGTTCTCCCAACATTAAGTTGATTATTGATCTGTCGATAACTTACACAACGATCCGGACCACCGCCGCTTCCTACCGGGAATCGCGACATATAATACAGGGCGACTCCTAGCTAGCTAATTTATTTATTTTGGTCGAAGGATCTTCGGGCTGAGAAGAGGAGGCCTCGCAACCCAAAGCTAACATAACTTAGGGCTGCAAGCTCCCAGGCTATGACTGGGAGGAGTCTTTGTTAGCTTCTGCCAGCAAGGCACATTCATAACAACTATCGGCCTTTGCGGTTTCTAAACTAACTCGGTCGATTGACGGATCTACTATTAAGAGGCGGATCACTAAAAAATAAAAATCTCTGGATGAATTCTACACATTCTACGCATCGAGGCTGCTAGCAAAAATCTACGACTTGTGCAGCTGACGATGGCTTCTCAGCCGGCGAGCTTTCCGCAATTCTCCAAATTGCCATTGGAGTTGCGGGATATGATATGGGGTTATGCTCTTCCTGAACCAAGAGTATTCGAGGTCCTCGATTCTCCGTCTTCGCAGCAGTCCCAATCCTCGCCCTCGGGTCGTTTAATGTTTGCGGATGTCCGCAACGAACCACCGCCTTCGATAGCGCGAGTCTGCCGCGATGCTCGACAAGCCGTCCTGCGCCGTTACAAACCGATTGCTTTCTCCGGAACGGTCAAGCACCTGGATCTCCGGCGAGACATTATCCTCCTCGATTCCTATTTGCAAGTGAAGAGGCTGCTCAAGGTGATACGACTCTTGAGTCAGATCGAGCCCATCCGCCGCAGCGCGACCAGGTTGGCCCTAGGTACGAGTTGGGGTCTACATACGGGACTGCACCTGCGCATGTTTCACCGGAGCGTCCAGACGAAACGAAACATGGCGAGATTCCTGGAGTACGTATCGAAGTTTCGGCTCCTTGAAACGATTATCTTGGTAGTGTACCAGCGCTCGGCCTTCGGACTCCGGCTCAAGTGTTGCAGCCCCGCTCCGGTTGGACCGGTGCCGGATCACCGCTATCACCAACCTCACCAACATCATTATCATAATCAACATCAACATCACTCACATTACCAGCAGTATCAACAACATCAACACCAGATTCAGGCTCAGAGTCAGGGCCAAAGGAATGCGAATATGCTTCCATGGCGTCACTACGATCTATACGAGTCATACCACTTTAACTTCAACGTCAACTTTAACTTCGAAAATTACTGGCTGCGTCGTCCGTATCAGAGCAGGCTCGTGCGGTACGAACCAGAAGATGACAGGGAAAAGGCACAGTCTTCACAATCGGCGCAATCCTCGCACCCACTGTCAGCGTTTGCGAGACATTCAAAACAGTGCGCACCCGATCCTCAGCCGAGGGGTTACCAAGTGCATGATCTGAAGGGCACGTTTGAGGGTTGGCTGAAGAAGCTTCAGGACGACGAGACGATAGGCCCCGGGCTCAGGGTGCCAGGGCTCGAGACAGCGACGCTAACGTGGATTTACACGGGCGTGAGGAATGGTAGATTTTGCTAAGCAGTAGAACATAGACGAGACGATACGGTACATATGGGACAGGGCGGGCATTTGGTATATACCTTGATACACGATGGAATATATTATCATTATCTGTTACGGCCTGTCTTTTGCACTGCACTACTCAATTCGGAGCTACCGGACTTGTGGTTTTAGTCGGAATTAGGAGGACGAAGTCTAGTGCTTGAGTCTATATTTCTCGCGCGCTTTGATGTCGCTACATCCGTCGACAACTGTCTTACCGACTTTTAACGAATGCGCAGACAGCACTTGTGCGATATCCCTCTTGGTGTTATTTGAGTTTAATGGGCCTTAATTGAGCCTCGTTCTCATTGTATCTTACGCCATACGAAAGTGGTAGTACGAGTGCTCGTAAACCTTCCTCCGGGTAAGACGGCGCGTAGAGTTATATATCAATTCAATCAAACTTAATATCACACTTCATGATATTTTTACTTTTTTAATGATTACCTAGTTAGCTTCGCGCCAGTTTTCATACGACAACTCGTATTCCGTCAGGAACGTTTAATTACCTGGCACAAATTAAAGCCAGCGCAAAATGAAAAAAGTATGTGTAGATACGAAAAGTATTGGCATCCCTTCGGGACTGGGTAGGTAGGTAGGTAGGTTAGGTAGGCTAGGTTACTAGGCAAGGATAGAGTAAGGGAACAGTAAGGGTAGGTATTAGAGCAGACCCCGTCTGGTGGCCCGTATATGCGCGGTAACGGTTTAGGACACAAAGTACAGCTGTTCGAAGCGGCGTAGGTCCACATTAACGGCCCCGAAATAGCCACCTACTTTATTGGTACATAAAACGCTTATTGTAACCGGAAAGACGAGAGTTGGGTAACTGATGCTTTGCTGGGAAGGTAAGGGCTGGGGATGTGGGAATTGTGGGATTAACTACATATATGTAGCGAGAGGTTAGTTGCTTGTGGTATTGACCTTGGGTACGGGGCGTTTAGTCTCGTCAAATACGAACGTATCCGCACATGTACAATAGACACAATACAATGCATACCCAAGGTACTAGGCAGATTCTTCAGCGCCCCGTTACAGCCACCGACTCCTGATCGTACCGAATCCAGATTCGCACGCAGATGCGCAGGCAAATCATCCATACCTACCTACCTATGACAACAGAAATCTGGGTTCCTAGGTATCCATATGTGAAAGTCATGCAAAAGCCTTGGGAAGCGCAGAAAGTCGATAAACTTGCTTGGAGGCGCGTGTAACCATGGTCCGGAGCGAAGTCGCGGGCGCCGGGGACGGTACGGGACGTCCGGTATGCCGGCATTTACCCACTGTTTTGCATGCATGCGCGCGACCGGGTTGTGTGTGTGTAGGTAGGTCTGTATGTAGGTAGGTAGGTATGTGTGTGTATGTGTATGCGATGCGAGGTAGGTAAGGACAGCGCAGCGTTGTCGGTGCCTGACTGACCTAGGTCTGGGTTTCTTTGGGTTGGGGGAGTGTGGTTAGATATGTGTATGTATGTAAATGTAGGTGTATGTATGTCGATTGATGCATCCACCGATTAGGTATTTCCATGCGTTGGGGTGGAGGGGAAAAGGGGGAGGGGTTGAGGGTTGGGTTTTTGGCTTGTGATTGTGGGTTTGATGTTGGAGATGTTGATGGTTGATTTGTGGATGATCATTGACATTGTTTGAAATTGATAATAGGGGAAATCGGCGATGCGTTGTTGAGTGGCATGTCTTCGTTAGTTGCCGTTGAGTTAAGGAGAAGAGTTAAGAATATGTTGACATTTATGAATAGGATCATGATAGAGACACGGGAAGTTTACGTGAAACTATGTCGATATAACATATCATGAAATGGTGATGTATGATCATAAAACCTACGACCATAAGTGTATAACATGGATCTCATATTGGGCGACGATGTTGGGTTTCTTGAAGATTCAACTGAGCTACTAGTGAACCAGCCAGCGAGAATAGATATACAATTCCTATACTATGATTTATACATCGCCAACACTACCGCGACAATGTGAAGTATGCATACATGTTGAAGTGAAGCGCATACAATATAAACACATCTTTTTCACACCCATCCGCTACCAATAGACATATACACACAGATTAGCCCTCCCAGACATATTCCTGCTCAACACCACCCCCTATCTGTTTCCTCAACGCAAACCCGTAATCGCCCGCATTCGGCGTTCTCAGCAAGGTATGTATATGAAACTTCGCCGGCTCCGAATTCGCCAGAAACACGCCGGAGTGGTGATCGAACTCGACGATAACAACCGGGCTCTGTATCCTATAGTAAAACGGATCCTCATCGCCATACCCACCAATCCAACTAAAATACGTCTCCCCAAACCAGTCCTCACAGTCCTTCAACTTCAGCTCGCGCGCCTTCTCCGGCAGATACAACAAATACTGCCCCAGAATCCCCCTCACCAACTCCTTCTGCTCGTCTCCAAGCGTCGCCACAACGATACCCTCATACGGCACAACACGATTATCGCGATACGCACCACAAAGATGTCTCTGATCATCATGATTCCACCGTCCCTTCTCCATCCTCCCATCCTTCATCTCCTCAAAAACCCTCGCCTTCACCTTCTCCTCCTCACTCAACCCCTGCATAAGACACAACCCCAACCTCTCCTCAACATGCAAAATCCTCGTCCCCTTCCACACCCCCTGATCCACAAAATTCGGCTCCGCGCCCGTAAACCACGGACTGACCACAATCTGCGTCCTGTACAAAAAAACACTCAAACAAAGATGGTGCCCATAAAAACTAAACCCCCACCCCCGCTCCACCGCCGGCGCGCCGAAGAACACGAAGTTATAGCTATGTTCATTCATAACCTTCGATGCGTCCACGAGCTCGCCGAGGAAATGGTTAATCCGCATCGCGGCAACGGCCTTTGCGTAGCCCTCTGGACTGAGCGTTGTTTCGAGGAGCGCTAGAACGGAGGACCGCAGCGCGGGAGTTATGGTGTCGAGACGGATGCCTTTGTCGCTGAGCAGGAACTCGGGGTTCGACCAGGAGCGCCATTCGGGGGAGTCGATGTGGAGCGTTGTTTTGGCGGCTTGGGAGGGCGTTAGTTGTGATGTGATGCTTTCGGCGGCGGCGACGATGGCGGTGATTGGGATGCCTTCGTCCCGGATGGGGAAGAGGTTTGGGCGGATGGTTCCTGGGGTGGGTTAGTGTGAGGTTCCTGTTGTGGAAATACTCGGCCTCTCACTCTCACTTCTTACTTGAGAGAGGGTGAGAGTAGAAGTGAGTATGAGGGTGAGGATAGATGAGAACACATACCATCATTCGTCACGCCCTTGAACGGCTCTTCGAACAACTTTCGCCAGTGTACGTATAGGCCATACAACCACGGCGGCCTGTGATGCTCTAGCAGTTCCTTAGCATGGCCGTACGCATCGTTCTTCGCGATGGCGTGGAACCGTGGCGTATCCAGGTCCGGGAGGAATTTCCGGAACTCCCCATGCTGGGCGTCCTGTTTCTCCGTCGACGTCATTTTTGGCGTTAATACAGCTACCAATTCAGGTACGTATACCTCAACGAGTACCCTTTTCCAAAAATCTCAAAATATTTCAAATACAAAATTTAAGAGTCGATGAGCTTAGCTTAGCTAACCAATGCCAAGTCCTCTCTCTCAGCCAAGAGTTTTCGGAAATAGGTTACCTCTCCAAGCTACCAATTCATATATCTCAACCCGACTTCACATAAATCGATCGTAATTAATATGACCCGAGAGCGCGGTAAACGGTATGTATATCTAGATTAGAACATCCATCTGAAATCAGGACCCATCCGTTCTTAACGAGCATCGAACGGCTCGACGATTTCCTTAGTGGATCCCGACGCGAAGCCCCAACGCGGGGAAATGTATCGGCTCTTACCTAGGTAGATATAGCGGGAGCGGCAGCGCTCTACCGGCCTCATTTACTCCCATCATGCTGGTGGTTTCGTTACTACTAGACGTTAACAACATCTACTCTATGTATATACTTGGACAGTCTACTGTAAGTTAGTAGACTAGGTAAATCAACCACATCCCAAACATAAGAATCCCAAAGCTGTCTGTTAAAAAAGTGGCGAATCCCGCCCTGAGCGGTCATCATCTCTCGTCTTTTCGTCGTTAATTATCTAGATACCACCGAACGTCTGCATCCGGTATTTTGTTTCGTACACGTACAAGAGGGCATTTTTCTAGTCTCTCCCCCTTTCTTTCGGGTTTTTATTTCCATGAACGCGCGACATTGACTCCGACTCGCGAGCACCATTCATCCCCGGGACGTCATTCCTAACGAATCGATGCAAAAAAAAACTACCTTCGATACGCCGCCGTCTTTCATCACCTGAATTTCAGTTCATCGCTCACAAGAACACCGAATATGCAATGCAAACCCCCTCTTTATTTCCATCCCTCAAGATTCGTCATCGACTTGTTTTTTATGGGTGCGCCTAAGCAAGTATGTATAGCGATCTGGTTTCCAGTTTCCCAGCCGACATCAAAACTCGTAGTTGTAGGTTGTGGACGACGTATACAGTTAAGGTGCCTTAACCAAGGCTTTAAGTAGAGCGAAGCGTACGGTTTCGAAGGCCATGCGTACATTACTAGCGCTTTCGCGTGTCCTTTCCTTTCGTCTTGCTCTTCTTCTTGTCCTTAGGTAATTCCAACGCCGTGCCCTCGAGCTGCTTGTGCATCATAGTGAGCATGTAGTCGTCGATAGTCTGTATCTTGTCGCCCCAAGCATTGTGCTCGATCTCCTCCAGCGCATGATCCACATCTGCCGACTCAGAGAATAGTCCGAGATTTGATCTTCCTATGCCTGGTGCGAGTGAACCGTCCCGCGTTACGGGTGTGCCTACTCTTGCACTAGATGTTCCAGACGCACTCGCTGTCGCCGGTTTCTCAGCAAAGTCGGCTTCATCCTCTTGGATTTCTCTTTCCGCAACATGTGCGGCGTCGACGTCTTCACGATCTTCAGCCTGCTCGAGGACTCGGCCGACGGCTCGCTGGTCGCTATTCTCCACGCCACCGAGAACACGATCCATCGCATTGCCGACTACATCAGCTTCATCTTGAGTGGCGCCAATAACGTCACGCACAGAGAGCTTGTTGAAGTAGTCGGTTGTGAAACCACCTTCCTGGATCACGACGTCGTCTAGCATTTGCTTTTGACTTGCTTTGCGCAGGATATTTGCCTCGATAGTGTGTTCGCTAACGAGTCGGTAGATGTGGACGTCTCTTGTTTGACCAATGCGATGACATCTATCTTGGCATTGCTTGTCCATCGCAGGGTTCCAGTCTTGGTCATAGAAGATGACAGTATCGGCACCAGTAAGGTTGATACCAAGACCACCCGATCGCGTAGACAAAATGAAGCATAAAATCCTATCGTCGTGATTGAAGCGGTCTGTGAGGATTTGCCGTTGTTCTACTTTCGTAGCACCGTCGAGCCGTAGATATTTATGTCCGTGAATGTTGAGAAACTGTTCGAGAATGTCAAGCACTTTGGTCATCTGTGTGAAAATTAAGGCACGATGACCACCAGATTGCAGCTTTCGTAAGAGACGGTCGAGAGCCTGAAGTTTACCACAGTCATATTGAAGAAGTCTCTTATCCGGGAATTGAATACTAAGTCTCATGCGAGCTTCATGCCACGGGTCGAGTGGAGCTTCTTTCTGCATGAATGGGGCATACCGTATTGGAGCCGCCAACCTTAGATTTGTCTCGTCAAAAGCTTCCACCCCTTTCGTGCCAAGGACGATCTGGTCAAAATCCCGAGTGACAACCGCCGGTGTGACGCATGCGAACTTAGCGATTGCAGTCTTCATCGACGCAGCCCGTTGATCGAGAGTTGGGATCATTGACCGTAGCACCGGGGAATCTTCTTCAAACCAACTCATGATCTTCTGCGGAACCTTTGGACGAGCTTTATGTGGCCTATCGTTTGTACCGAGAGTCAGGAAGTCCGTGAGTTGTTTGCCGTAAATTGGGCGCTGTTGCCTTCTTATTGCATTGACGTAGACACAATGTCGCAACTCCTCAAAACGATCCCATCGTTTCGCACTTTCTAACCATACTAGAACGGACTCCACGGTTGAAAGGTCTAGGTGGACGCGGGCGTTTTGTGCTCTTATTTCCTGAGCTGTCCGGCGGTCAATTAGTTGACGATGGGCGTTCAATTGAGAAACTCGTTCGCACACCGTTTTCGACTGATTCTCGTGTAGTGTAGGGATGAAGTTAAGGAAGTCAAAGCTGACAGAACTCATAGGTTTTGCAGCAAGCAACTTGCCCCGAATTATACCCTCGGTTGCAATATAGTTAGACAGGACGGATCTGCGTTGTCGAAAGGATGTCATGATTGGGCGTTCAACGAAAAGGTCGGGATGATTGCAGACCTTGCGCAACTGCATCAGGCAATTGATTACCGATATATAATTGCCGGAGGATAGCGCTTCTCTAGTATCTGTACGCGCTAAAAATCCATCGTATAACTCACGTTGTCGGCGCGACAGTCGACAAAATTCGACGTGCTCGTACTTGGCCGGCATTTGCTTTTCGACGTCTGCTTTTAGTCGCCGCAGGAGATATGGCCTAAGGACCTTATGTAATTTGGCTATGATTGCACGAGCCTCATCGTCCATCTGTTCTCGGCCGCTCTCCAAGATTTGGGACTCAGGTTTGTGAAACCAATCCTGGAATTCTGCCAGGTCGGCAAATCCGCCAACCCCATTTTCAGATGGCATTAAGAAGAATAGTAGAGACCATAATTCGGTCAAATTGTTCTGTAAGGGCGTGCCAGTGAGCAATAGTCGCGCTCGCGTGTTGAAGGTGAGTAACGTTTGCCATCGTTTCGACTTGAAATTTTTAATGTTATGGGCTTCATCCAGAATCATATAATGCCATTGTCTACGCTTGAAAACCTGTTGATCTTGCAAGACGATCTGGTACGATGTAATACACACGTTCCACATATCATTCGTCTTCCATCCTTGACGTTTTCGTTTTCGTTCATCGATACTCCCATAGTACGATAATACCTTGAATCCAGGACACCACTTCTTGAACTCCATTTCCCAATTCAGCATTACGCTGGTTGGGACGATGACCAGATGGGGTCCCCACACTTCGTGATGGCAGGCAAGATGAGCCAATAGGGCAATTGTTTGAATGGTCTTGCCAAGACCCATCTCATCCGCAAGGATACCATTCGTCTGATTTCTGTATAAACCAGCAAGCCAATCCAAGCCATAGTGTTGATATTCACGTAACGTTCCTCGTAGTAAAAAGGGAACTTCAGTCCTAGGCACTTGGTATTGAGGTGAACTAGACCTGCTCGCGCCAGATTTAACTACAGAGGTGGTGTCCACCTCCGAGGGCTTAGTATCGGATGTTCGGGGTGTGTGGCTCCTATCACGACTAGGAGGGTTTGTGATCGCTTCCGTATCTGGGCTTGTCTGAGGCTGGTCTGTTGGCGCAATTGCAACCTCCACGCTTGGCATTGCTGTAGCTGTTTTCTCAGCTCCACTGATCGACGCGTTCGCTTTGACATCTTTAACATGCTCAACGGCTTCAATGATTTCCATTTCAACATCTTGAGCCTGCAGGGGTTCTGGTACTGGAGCGGGACCATCAGGGTTATTAGCCTCATGAGGGTTCTTCGGTGCAGCCGTTGCGGATATGGTGCCAGATGGATGTGTGGGCGCACGATCTTGATTAAATGTGGACGATAGGGAAAGACCTTTATCTCCATTCATTGTTGGAGATGGAGGTTTATCTTGTAAATCTGTTGCCTTTGCCACTGCGCTATCTTCAACATCCGTCTCAATTGTCGTCTCATTGAGGAGAGGCGCTCCGTCAGCAGATGTAGTATCCGGGATGTCTATCATCTCAACATCGCATTGAGGTGACAACGGTTCGTCGGCCGCTGTCTCTTGCTTCATTTTCTTCAGCTCAGATTTACCAAAGAAGAGGCCCAGTAATCCCGAAGGCTCCTCTTCGTCTTCGGAATTTTCGTCCTGATCCTCAGATTGGCCATCATCCTCGTCGTCACTTTCCATGTTTTCGTCACTTGACCCTAAATCGTCGTCCATGTCGATTGATTCATCGGTAGTTTCGCCTTGATCATCCAGTTCTGTTGCAGGTTGGTCACCGTTGAGACTAGTTGCCGGTCGACCTACAGAGAGATCTGGAATGTTCGCATATTTCTTCCTTAACTGTTCTTGCGTAAGGGCTTCGTCTGAAACGTCCGACTTTGCATCGTCGTCATCATCAGATGAAGACATGTTATCCTCGTTCTCGTCTTCGTCGGAGCCTTGGTCCGAAGAGACTTCTTCGAGAGAAGCCAAGTCTTCATCTTCGTCATCAGCCTCTTCATCAGACTCGCCCGACTCTTCATCCTCATCCGAGACAAGCTCCGAATCGAAGTGAGCTCTGCGGGCTTGCAACTTTAACTCGGACATATTAACGGCCTCGTTCAATGCAGCCTTTACACGCTTTTGTTCGGCAGCCTCCCATTCCTCTAGACGACGACGATTAACCTCGGTTCTGACATTCTCCCATGTTCCGCCAATGGCCTTGATAACAGATTTATACCGACTTATCCATGCAGCTCTGGCCTCGGCTTCGATTTGCTCGGCGGTCTTTGGTTGTCGGCGTATCCATTCGTCCCGGCATGCTTCAGCCAATCGTTTCGCGGTAGTCTTGTGTCTTTGGTGTTCCATCAACATTAACCTCCGGAAATTCGCCATCTGCTTCACCAGGTGATCCATGTGCGCCCATTGTCGCGGTGGCTCCTCGGCGGGTTCTGGAACAAATAGTGTAGAACGTTCCTCGCTTAGCAGTCCACCAGGTTCGACTTCGGCCTCGATTCGCATAATAACACTGGCATCTCTAGCAGCGGCCTCTTCCGTATATGGGTCTCCCTCATCGGCGATATCAAGCCAACCGCCATCTTTGACGTCTACTGTTGGCGCACGTTCAACAAAGTCTTGGAAATTAGACGATATCTTGGCACGTGCGACGGTCTGGCCAGGGAATACATTGACTTGGGCTGGATGGACGGTAGGGATAGTAGGGGCCTTTAGCCGTAACCGAATCTTAGTCGGACGTAGGTTGGGACTATCATTGGTAGGATGTTTGGAGTCGCGAGAGGGAGTATCGACAGTATCTCGAAGGGATCCGGAATTACGTCTAATCCTTGTAGAGCGTCTAGGCGGGGTTATCTGGGCTGGCGGAGTAGCTGAACGTCGTCGAGTTTTCGAAGATTTAGAGGCTTGAGCAGAGCCGTTGACAGTGACGGCAGCTAAAGATTTCCGCGTATTCGGCTTGGCAATGGGTGTGGAAGTTTTTGAGGCAGTTCCCTTCCCCGTCGACGCGTGCTTTTGTGATCCATTTACGTGACTGTTAGATGCAGATCGTTTGTCTTTGGCGGGAGTATGGGGTTGAAGATTATGGAGAGCGCCTCTGGTGACTCTCCGATTGCCCAGAGGCTGCAACTCCAAAGGCACCTGATTTGTGCGTCCGGATCTGCGTTTGCCATTTTCAGTAAAAGATGTGGGCCCTTCGGCCTCTATTCTCTTCCAAGGAGGGGATTCTAGTTTGGGTTTACGAGATGCGCTATTGGGTGTCGAATCGCGGACACGGCGTCGTTTGGTAGGTCTGTCGTCAATATCGCCACCGCCATCTTTTACGGGGGATTCAATAATAGAGTCTTCCGCGTCGTTTCCATTGGTGTTGGACTTGGTTGAGAACAATTGGGGTAGAGTAGAATTATCCGTCTCGGGTTTAATTTGATGTTGAGATGTTGTATCTAAGGATGGGTCGGGAATATTTGGATTCTGTTGTTCTGATGTTTGATCGTTTGTTTCGTTTAAATCGGAGGGATTTGCGGTGTCGTGTGAAGGCGCAGACTCGAGCGACGCGGTAGCCGTCATAGCTGTCCAGGGGTGTTGAGATAAGAAAAAGACGCGGGTCTCGATGAAATGGACATTTGGGATGATGAAAAGTATGTCTACAGATAGAGATTTATTGGTAGATTATCATGACGAAGTTTGAGCATGCACACGGCCATAAAAAGACAATTGTGATGGATTTTTATCGAGAATTGCCATTTCATCAGCAGTTTGATGATGATTCAAAAATTTCGTCGGGTCTCCGCCTCGTCTTAGACAGGAATAGCAAGCTTGGTCCGAGTGCCCCCCTGTACTGCCCCAACCTAAGGGAAATACCATGGTCAGTGCGCTCGCTAGGCACCCTTGCAATTCCCCCATCTTCTTGTTTTACGTAATCAATATGAGGTCAATCCCTCGCCAATCTCACTAAAGTGTGTAACAGTTGCCTTAGAATTCAGGCTGATAAAATTACTAAGCCTGAATTGTAAATGGTCAACTGCTGTCGGTCATCCTAGCTCTCAAGTCAATGAGGTAAATGGTGCATGATCCTTCACGACGCAATTGCGACAATATCGAAGTAGGGTCTAACCGAGGGGCCTACAGTATGTTCCAATTGATTCCGAGATTCCTGTAAAGGTTTAGATGTATCTAACATAGATCGTCCAGATGCTTCCCCAACGAATCGCGAGAGCTTCGGCTCTCCGATCAGCATCTCTCGCAGCGCGAAGACTACCCATCGTTCAACAACGCACATTTGTTCCGCGATCATACTCTGACCCCGCCGTCATCGAAGAGAAATTTCCCGATAATCCAAAACTTACCGAAGCGGAAGACCCGGGTCAGGTCAGTGGGCTTCTAACGATCATTTGCCAACGTACCGACAGACTAACCGATGCAGAACGGCGGCTACATCAACCCTCCGGCAATCAAGAGACAGTTCCGAGATCCTCACGGTGATTGGTGGGATAAGCAAGAGAGGCGTAACTATGGCGAACCTGTTCACGAGGACAACGATCTCCTAGGCATATTCTCCCCTTACGAATACACTTGGATCTCACCGGGCAAGGGATTATTGCAGGTTGGCGCATTTATTGCTACTGTCGTAGGAGTATGCTGGGTTGTTGGAAGATTATATCCTGACAAGCCGTCTTACCCGCGGGAGTTCGAGGGTGGTCTAGATCGAGAATTGGGTGGTGCCGGTGCTTGGAGGGTAAGTTGAACTTAACCGACCTGTTGAACAGATCCGTGATGTTGATAATGATTATAGGCAAGAGCTCCTGGCGACCCAGAGCCATACCAAGTTGAGGAAGCAGAGGAAGAATAAAATACTTGTACATACACTTGGCCTTTTATCGCAAATATACAATACGAACTTGACCACGAGTGTTGGTCTTACTAAAGAAGCTAATATCATATAGCCAATAGCTCGACTTGTCCCGTGTATTGACCTAGGGCTACAGTGTTCTCCTAGTAGCTCTTATTTCAACATCGAAGTCGCCCCCTTCCTCGCTCTGTGGTCAAGATACAGTAAGGTTCTGCACATCATCTACCTGAGATCGTAGATGGAAGGAATTGCTTATCTTATTCTAGCGAATGCGGCTTTCAAAAGTCAGGCCATAGAAGATAACACAGTACAATGAATGACACACTTTTACTAAAGCCTCAACTTATCCCTTTCTCTTCTGGGCCAATAATTGCGTTATTTCAAGATACGTATCCCCATTATACTCCCCAGGTGAAAGCTTAAGGTCCACTACGGCCAATGGGATGGACATGAGCAGTTTAACGAGCCAGGTACCTTCACTGTTTGGACTTGGATATCAATGAAGACAGGAAGCTACGGCTCTACGTCTCATTACGTTATGGGAAGGCCGAGACCAAAAGCATATCTTTAACAATATTCACATGAAATTAGATAAATCCATCTCTTCAATCTCTACGACTTTACGATATTCAACCACTACAACTCACATCACCAACATCATATTCCTTGAAAAGACCGCTTTGACAGGAATTGGCTCTACTCCAGTTTGTTCGTTGTATCAACCTGTTATTCTTTTTGATCTTTCCCTACTTCTCTGTTTAATATCATCACTGCTAGTGAAGATGCGTTTTGAGGACTGGGATGTCTTATTATTTCCTAGGGATTCCAAGATCCCATTGAAAGAGTTCAGGACTAACTGTCATGTTGTTCATGATAATGGTAAGCCAATTTTGCTTAATGAACCTCCCCCAACTCTTCTCGATATGAGGATATACCTGCTCCACACCGTACCTTTTCATATATATCAAATTCTAACCCGATCCTCCTCAGAGTTCGCCTACAGTCATGGATCTTACGGTTTGCCGACTATGACTTGTTTTATGCCAGGCCTATCCCCGGGCACTCAGTTCAACATCTCGCTTCATTCCTGGAAGACGCCTGATATCAGCCAGTTCACTAGAAATTACAGCAAGCATCCTGAATTAGTCAAGTTCGAGGCACGAGTCTTGATCGATGGCCGTATGGTTGCGTATGTTCTCATTTCGGTATCTCGGGTCTAAGCTAGCTCTAACCAGCACATCTCTTAGTTCATCCTCATTTAGCCGGATCGGACCATGGCCTCAACTGATCAATCATAGTTTCGGTAAGTCCTCCGTATTAAGGAGAGATTCAAAATCTAACTGTAGTAGAGTTCACGAAGAACGGAGATCTCGAAACACTTAGGTTCCCTCAGTTTCGTAGCGAAGTGCTTCGGCAAAGCTACTGGAGCCCCGCAGATGAAGTCGGACGGATCAAAATCGTCATCAGCGAAGGCTTCCCGAGGGATTCTTTGACTGTACCCATCGAACGGGTCAAGAATGTCGTTGCATTCTCATTCCAACATGCACCACTTGGTATGGATCTTACAGCTTCTCCTTCGGATCTAGCACGATACAGACAAGACTAACACATAGGTACCGCATTATAGATATTCTCGAATCTTCCGCGATTGCCTGGCCAAATCCTAGCATGTGGCGCCGCACTCCGTTCAACCCTACGATGCCTGCCCCAGCACGTCACCATGAAGACGGCGCGGAAGCTCACCTCCACTCCCCTCGCCGTCGAACAACGAGCTATATGAAAAATTCATCCAGTTCATCCACGTACAACACCTGTCCCCCAGGGTTCACGCAGGAAAACTTACTTGGCACTATGCCAAACACCGAGGGATTATTGCAACGTAACGGTGCTGAGTCTAGCTCGGCCTGGCCAGACCCTTTCAGTTCTCAGAAGTCTGAAACTGCTTGCTTTGACTGGTCGAACACCAACTTCGGCCCCATTGGATACAATCAGGCCACCGACAGCAACAAGTCCAGTTACAATTCTGTTGCCAGTCGAAGAGCCAGAGGTGCAAGCAAAGTGTCACGCTCCGATGTTAGCATGTCTGATTTTGGCTTGGGTAATCCAAGCAACACCCAAGGCCTGTCAGATAATCACTTCTTAAATCTCACAACAGCACATCTAGGAGATATAGATGCCAGTGCTCATGATCCGAAGGTGCCGACAAACACGCCAACGACGACAGGTGGCTCGAACTTCGTTGACGATCTCAGCTTTGACGTGAACAAGATCGGTACTCCTGGAAGTAAGCTATCCTGCACTACTCTAGCAATTTCATATTCCATCAAAATATCTGATGACACTTCGATATTACACTTAATACTAACTTTTTGACTATTATAGGCACGTCAATAAACGAGTTCTTCAACTCCACGAACGCGAATTTCTCTTCTGAACTTGCAACGTCTCTTACGCACTCGTTGCTGAATCAACCACACCCGCTCCCAGTGCATACCGGAAACATTGCCCCTCCCGCCCCTGAAGTTAAGTCGCGTAAAGAAAATCGCCTTCAAGATTCCCCAAGTGAAGATTCTCCAGTCATCAACCATATCGACATGCGCAAGGTATCACAGTCGTCGTTTAGTAACCTCTGCAAAGACAGCCAAGACGCTAGCGCAAACAACTCACCTCCCAGCCAGAGCGCATTCTCGGGGGTGTTCTCACATCGATCTACTTCAGGCGGAGACTTTGGCAACGACCTTGCTAATGTTCCCAGCGTCTTTACAGCATCGACTGTGGACTCACGTGCACGCGGTGACGCAACCCCGGATGCTTGTCTAATACGACCTGAGAAGAGTATGAAGCGCACCCGCCATTTCACGCCTGGCAGTGGAAGAGTGTTCGACGATGATATCGAGGCACTGACCAACAGCCCTCGGGTCCAAGTAGAGCTTGAAGATCACCTTGCGGAGCATATCTGATTAATGCGGCGACATGTCGCAGAGCAGTACACTCTAATAGCAGCTTATCTACCTACTTTTTTGCGGGATCATTGAATATCCATCGGATTATTGGAGGTATCGGAATGGAGGGTTATGTGGTATCCCTTTTATAGATTAGTATTGGAACGGACATATCGGTCTCGCCCGGAAGAGCAGGTCGCCGGCTCCTTGCGTTCGAGATACAATCCAGGTGTGGTTTGTCATACTAACAGCATCCTGCTATTGGTTTGCGGAATATTCTTGGCCTGACTGAATGGGTTTGAACCATGATTCGTATAAGGGCTTTAATGTCTTCCAGGGGAAACCGAACAGACGTTGGAATGTGGTTGTGAGGAGTATAGATAGGTAGATTAAGCTGACTTGACCAGTACATAACACAGAGACCAATACAAGAAAATAGTATTAGTTCTAAGTCTGAGCACGCACTTGGTACCAAGCATATTCAACAGTTGTCAAACTTGGCTCTAACAGAGATGGCCGTATTTAGGATATGATCAAGACCTAGACAATCGCATGAAGCCTAGACCATAATGTCTAAGTTGACAGCTCTTCTATCATGTAACATGGTAACCTGAAAGGCGCTTTCAAGATACTATTTACATTCAAAATGAGGTATTGATCTACATTATTAACACACGAATTTTGGGACGACACAATACTCTCAGACTTATGAGACGGCTTGGCGCTAAAGTCAAGACCTATATTTGCTCGCCGTCCATAATATTCAATATCAACGTAATCTTGGTACGAATTTGTCGGAATGCGATTCTGAAACCCATCTTAGTTTGATGCCGAAGATCCGGTTCTTGGCTAAGTTGACTTGACGCTATTTACATCTACCATGAGCCGAGCATCATCGCTTTGTCGGGTGTTCGTCCCGTCTAGACCAGGATCATTGTATGATCAGCAACAAATGCAACGAAGCGCCGCCAGATGCCTTCGTCTCGATCTACGGCATTCATCTCAACCCAAACCCAGCATGAGATCTTATGATATGCCTCTAGGTATATAAGTGAGCCTTGCCACCTGCTTCCTAAGCTTATTACGAGTCCTATCTCATCCTATCTTGTTCATTTTAACCTTCGTTACGAGTTGATCTCAACCTTCATTTACAAGTTCTGCGAACTTCTTCCGCTCTCTTATACACAACACTCATTCCACCTATCCAGCCAAACAACCAATAGCCAAAATGCAGACCAAAACCCTCCTCATCGCCTTCCTGGCAGCCACCTCCGCCTCAGCCGCGGCCATCAACGGGCGCCAAAACAACCAGAACAAAAACAACCAAAACCAGAACAACAACAACAACAAAAACGCCGCCGCCGGCGCAGCAGCCGGCAACGCCAACGCCAACGCAGCCGCGGACTTCGGGCAATGCACACCCACAATGTCCTTCGAGCTCGGGCGAGCGGGGCGCAAAGCGGACGAAGGGACGTTTCTCCCGACCGACGCGTTGGTAGCGAAGGGACAGCAAGACGCGCTGAACCCGAGCATAATCATGAACCGGATCTGCGACCAGCTGACGAACGTGTGCGAAGCGAACGACGCGGCGGTGGCGGCGTGCGAGGCCGCGCAGGCTAGTACCGAGGCGCTGGGGACTAAGGATGCGACGACGGCGGATGCTTTTAATGCCGCTTTGGGGTTCTAGGTTGATTAAGACTTTGGTCTTGATGAGTTATGATTTGTTAAAGGGGGAGGGGATGTAGGGGGCTTGGCTGGTTGCTGTTGCTTCTGGGTATCAAGATGGTGTTATGAGGATGAGGATTGGGTGGGTGTACTTTAAGTGTATCAGTATCTAGACAAATACTTGACGACATCACGCAGAAACGCGAAATAGAAAAAAATGGTATGGAATACACTTACAACTTAATTACTCATCTGTGAATTCCCAAACGATTCTCACTTCGATGCAACACGCCATCGATACATGCAATCTTCAATACCCATTAACTACCTACCTATCTACATACCATCCATCATTCTTCAGCCATTCTCATCGCCCAAATCAGGCTTTTTACCTAGCTTCGCTATATATACAGCTACATGCTCCTTGGTACATCTGACAAAATACAGTATTTGCGGTCGCTCATATACAAACTAAACAATTCCGAAACTCTCACATGCGGTTAGATGCTCTGTACACCATTTTACACTTAACACTTACCAGTAGACGTTCGGTCTACCAGAACTCCTTATCTCTCCCCTCGAACGCAAAGTTTAGCACGACGCCCACGAAGAGGGCGCTGCACAGAACCGTCGGCCCCAACCTGTCGTAAAACTTAATGACCCTGCGTTCGCGGATACCCTTGCTTCGGTACAGGTAGATACCGACCGAGTAGCAAAGCGACATAATAGCCAAGAGAGTAAACAATCCCGACACCAGGAATGAAAGCTTTGTCGGCTGGGGGCCAAAGTTGAGCAACGTGACGGCGATAGTTCCGATGTAGATCGAGAATTCGAGCTAAGTAACGGTCATTGTCAGCAAGAGCCCTAATGAAATACAGGAAATTAAGAAAAAAAAACATACCCAGCTCAGATAGGTCCTTTCCGCCGCGAAGTAGACCTTAGGCTCGACTCTAACCGGCACGTAGATCCTCTTACCCTTCGGGGCCTTGAACTTCTTCGTCTGGATTTCTTGGTTGCCAAAGAACATCTGGTTTCGGTTGCTACGAGGAACCGTCGTGGCACGAGGGCGTGGTATAACGCTCATTAAGACGTTAAATGCACCATGTCCGACAGCGTTTCCATACTTCTTCCCCAGAGCAGAGTAGTATGTCCAGCCGCCGACTCTCCGTGCCTCCTCAAGTGCATCTTCCTCGTCCACTTCGTCATCCGAGTCATAGAGCGGGTAATCTTGGTTAGTTACCGTACCCTCTACAGTTTGCCCTTCAATATCCCCTAATATAAGCGCCTGTGCACCCCGCGACAAGCCGTTTCCATTGCCAGAGCGACCCCCGGATTCGTCATCAGTTTCATCGTCGGCATCCGAGTCAATGTCATCATCGTCATCATCATCTCCATCTGATGTTGTGCCACTAGTATGTGATTGGGTCGGGCGGTGAATGCCAAAATTATGTGTTATCGGTTTTCGGATGTCCACGTCCATCTGGGGCATCCAGTAAGGCAGCAAATTAATTCTGCTGGGGAAAAGAGAAGCAGTGCCGTGAATAAACTTAGAGAACTTGGGAACAGCCTCCACGAGATGACTGGAGATGAGTTGGCGAACCCACTCCGGAGGTTCTTGGCCATGTTGAGTCTGGAGCTTTACTTCCAAAACTGCATATGGAAAGCGGAGAACGTCCCCAGGAGGCAATTGCGAGAACGGATAATCAATACCAATATCCATTCGTCGCCAATTGTCACCGCATCGCTTAGTAGCATCCAAGTTGTCCTCTCGAACCATCGTAAGCTCGGTATCGAGGGAAATTCGAACACGCGCATCGGCTGGCAGCTGGAACGCAGTTCGGTTGTAGAAAGATCTGCAGACGGGTTTATATCCGTTCTTCAATACCGAGTATTGGACCTCTTTTGCAAGCGTCTCGTCCTCAGCAATAGCCTTCTCGGATTTTTTACCATCTTTGCGAGCCTTTTCGAAGAGAGCTGTTGGTAGCAAGTCGCCCCTCAGATATGCGTTGACGTTCTTCTCCTTCATAGCAAAACGAGCTTTGACGGATTTCTCTCCTGTCCAATCTTCCCGATGCGTTTTTCGCTCCACGAAAATGGTGTCGTTTTGCATACCACCATACCATCTTAGACGGATGGCTTCAGCTCCCTCGGTTTTCTTTAATCGGCCCTCGTAGAGATCCCATTTCTCAGGGTTGTCGTAGTAGATGGAAGAGATTGCAGAATCTGCTATTTCAAATTCCTTGCTGGCATTGAAAACCAAGACGGGAAGATGCTTTAAGATGATGAGTTTTAATTCGGTGACATTGTCTGGATGCACCCAGTATTTCGTTGTCTGGCGAACGAAACTGCCTTGAGTACCACCAGCAGAGCTATCACCCTTGACCGGATTTCCGCGTGTTCTAACATTGTTGTACATGTTAGATAGCTTCACAACCTCGGCATCGAAATCTTCGTTGTAGAATGGCTTGTTCTTGAGCGCGGTGTCGAACGAGGGTCGGAGGTGCCAGTTGGTCATTTTCTGTTATATAAAGTTAGATTTTGTACAATATAGTAAATATGTCTTGGTATATGTTGGTAAATATCATGATATGGGTCACAAACATCGTGCTTCTTAATTATCTTGTAAAAGCCAGTATAGTTCAACTGGACATATTTGGCAAGATCGTGAACGTCGGCAATGATGTCGCTAAGGTCTTCTTCGAGTAGTATAAACTCTTCTTCAGAAGGACCCTGCTCTGTCAAGCCTCTCTCCGTAACCTTAGCAACAACCTCTTTGACTTCTCGCTCGCTAACAGCTATACGGCGTTGGATCTCGGATTGTTTGACCTTGGTTTTGGTGTAGACCTTGTCAAGCTCTGCATAGAGCCTGGCAATGAATCGCTGCTCATCCTCTTCGGTCCACCTGTTTTTCTGTTGGCCATTGGCCTTGGCCTTTCCCTTCTTATTCTTCGAGTTATCATCGACATCTATGGGCGGTCCCGAGGCGGTCTTCAACTCGGACTTGAGTCCATCGTAGTCGATATAGTACCATTGGTACTCGCGGATGATGCTCGATCGCAATTGTTCTCCGAACTTCATGACGATTAACCCGGGCTTCGCGCGCCAATTCTTGGTACCGCCGCGTCTTGTAGAAATCCAAGAGGTCCTCCTTGTATTCAGGTCTTCAATAATTAGCATGGGGAGACATACACACGGGCAAGGTTCGATCTTGGTAACATAATATTAACATACGAAATGAGTAACAGTTGGATAGATAAGAGAGGGGGCGTTTCTAACCGTCCAATGCCCGCAGCGAGTCGACTATAGTTATATCGTGTACCCCGTACAGTTACAACCAGTCAGGACCAAAATAGAAAGAAAAACGGGAAAAAATTAATAATAAATTGGAAAGAAAAACAACGCTTGGGGAGACGGTACGAGGAACTTGGAGCTAATCAAACACTATATTTACGAGGTGTGGCACGTAATAGAATACAGAGTACCTAGTAGTGTAAGTAGGTAATAGAGTAGTAGTACATATGCGCAGTAATTGAAAAGCTGCACGATCGATTGTGTATGTAGGATCTGGAAGTAAAAGAGTTAAGTGAAGTGAAGCTTGGAAAATCCCGACCAACCTCGCGTCATGATACATCCATTTAGCGGTACGAAGTACACGCTGAAACCCCACGGTCCTCCACAGTAAAAGCTTTTCAGCTGCCATTGGCCAATCAATTACTGCTTGAATAGCACGTGTCAGTCCAGACTCAAGCTTGAATCTTAGCGGCTCCAGCGACGACCTTTAGCGGCCTCAATCGCTGTAGGAACTGGAATGACCGATGAAATACAGTCTTTTTATCACATGCACACTGTACGAACTGGAATTGGTTCCGCTACCCCACCATCAAATTACCGTTCAACCTTCGATTTTCTTTACTACCCCACCATCGACAGCTACCTACACACCTCCATAAGGAGTATACGGTGAGAGCTTCACAATTAGACCATTATCCAAATCCCGGCGGGAAACAACCATCATGGCAACCACCCGCCCCAGCGACAGCATCGACACCCGCATCCCAGCCTCCTGCCCAGCACCGATATCCCAAATCCTCTACCACTCCTGGCACCACGACCTAACAGGTCTCAAGCCTCTCCTCACGGTCCCCGAAAGCGCACGTGTCCAAGAACCGACCACGGGCGAATCACCGCTACACGCCGCAATCCGAGCATGTGCGCCGGCGAACCAGGGGGAGCTCGGCGGGGACGCGGCGGACGTAGAGGAGCACGCGAAAGCGGTTGTGCACGAGCTGTTCATGAGTGGCGGTATATGGAACGGGCTCGACGACAACGACGAGACGCCGGGGTGTGTGGCGGAGCGGCTTGGACTGAAGGGGTTGTATACACTATGCGTTGAGGCGGGTGTGAGAGCGGAGTTGCTGTTTGGGCTGTTAGACGGGTATGAGGAACTTGAGTCTGATGATGGGGAGGATGAGGAGGAAGATGGGTCTAATAAGGAAGATGACGGTGAGGAAGAGGTGGATACTACGGGTAGTGATGCTGAAGCAGTTTCTGGGGATGGGGTTGAGGCGGAGCAGCATGTCTTTGTGTCGAAGCGTGCTCAGGGGCCGAATGTCAACAGTGAGGATTATCTACGTTCGAACTTGACGTATAGCGATGGCAAGCTAGTGGACTCTGCCCAAAACGGCGTAATGAGTACGTGCTTATCAGCTCATTCCCTTAGATTTTCAGGACTGTTGCTTTCCTAGAGGTGCTTATTTACTAACCCCTATTTCCAATTAGTGGCCTGGGAAACATCCATCATGCGCGCTTCCGTCGATTCTCTGCTGCCTGAACTTCCGGCTGGTCGCAAGGTCCTAAACATTGGATTCGGCATGGGCATCATCGATTCTATGTTCGCTGAAACGAAACCCTCCAAACACCACATTATTGAAGCGCATCCAGCCGTGCTCGAGCATATCAACGGCTCTGACTCCAAGTTCGGAAAGGATTGGGAAGCTAGCGGTGCGAGTGATGGAGCTTACAAGGTTCACGCTGGAAAGTGGCAGGATGTGCTTCCTAAGTTACTAGAACAGGGTGAGACATATGATGCTATTTACTTCGATACGTTTGGTGAGGATTACAACCAACTCCGTTTATTCTTTACCGAGTATGTTCCTGGTCTACTCGAGGACGAAGGCCGATTCGGCTTCTTCAATGGCTTAGGCGCCGACCGCAAGATCTGTTACGATGTCTACACGCAAGTTGTCGAGATGCATCTCAGTGATGCGGGCATGGACGTCGAATGGCAAGTGTTAGACGTTGACATGAAGGATCTCGAGAAAGAAGGTGAGGGGGAATGGAAGGACGTTAAGAGACGTTACTGGACTCTAGACAGTAAGCCAACCGACGCTTTTTTCTTGACTTCCACCATTTTAATAGCAAGCTAACTCGCGACAGAATACCGACTTCCGACCTGCACTCTTATGGGATAACTCCGTATCACATCTTATTTCTAGCCCCGTAGCCAGACACCAATCGTTTTTCTGTTGTCCTTGGACAGCCCTCTCTATGTCTAACCCTCTAGGGGACGCCCCGTTATTTTTCTGTAAATAAGCTACGCTGTCTCTTCGAATAATCCTGTTGCTTATTTGAAGTTCTCGGGGTGCAGGATACCGGCAACGTTACCCTTTTGCACTCTCTTCAGTGTGAGAGCAGCAATAACGGCAGCACCAACACCACTTCCGTCTTCGGCAGCGAGGATTTCCACTGGGTCTTCCTCCCTCGAGTTCTTCTTAGCTGGCCAGTCAAGAATCTCTCGGAGAGCCTGCGCGCCTCGAGCCTTGAAATGCGGGTATTTGTTGAACACAGAGCCGTCTGCGCCTACATGGCAGGGTTGGAGGTTCTTCTTGGTGCAGATAGCGGCAACACCACAGGCCGATAATCGAGCGGCACGAGTACCAATAAGTTCAGCAGCTCGGCGAATCAGCTCAAGTTCGGGGCGAGTAGTGGCTAAGTGGAGCTTCTCCTGGAATAGATCTGCAGTCTCCTGCAAGTTCTCGAATGGGTCACTACCGAGGGTCAGCTAAACAAGATCAAATAAAATTCATGTGATAACTTACTCCTCAATGGCCGAGAGGAAGGATGAATCAAGAGTGTACGGCTTTCGGAGGTACTTGATGTCTTGTCCCTCGAAAATGTGAACCTCCTTGTTGTCATGCAAATCGACCAAAATCAGTCGGAAGATTTCTCCGAGATAGAGACCAGCTATACATTTCTCGAAGGCCTGCTGTCCCGGTCGGGGAGATTCCTTGTCGATAATGATATCGTAAGGAGTCCGTGGAAGGACCTTGTGCTCGTTGTCGAAAGCGCCCCACTCACAGTTAATAGCCATCGGCAAGCTCGGGTCCAGGTTCAAGTGAGCTAGCTTAGGAATAGAACCGCAGTTCTCCATGTATGCGGCATTGCATCCGGTTCCGAAAATACATCCGATGGCCATCTTTGGGTCAGTGTAGGCCGAAGCAATGAGAGTACCCGTAGTATCATTGATCAAGGCCGACACTTTGATAGGAACTTCCTATGATTTCGTCAATACTGTCTTTAGATATCCTGTATTCACATGACATACCTGCGCATCTAAGGCAGCTTCTAGAAGCGGCACAACATTACGGCCCTCGACGCCGTTGATATCGAAACCCTTCGTCCATCGTTGTAAAACACCCTCATCAATGTAGTTCTGAGTGGCAGGGTACGAGAATGTGAAACCAAGGGGAATCTTTCCCTGTGATGCAGGAATTTCACCGTGGTGGGTTTCGATGAATTGCTTCAGACAATCGGCGATATACTCCCAAAGTTCCTCACATTCGCCAGTCTTCAGCTCCTCGGGCATGCGGTATTTGGACTGGATAATATCGAACTCCGACTTGTTATCCGTTAGGGTAATCTCACAAACACGCAGGTTTGTACCACCCATATCTAAAGCCAAGTAGGTTCCAGTCTCGGATCCATCTGGGAAATCCATAACCCATGTTGGGTTCATTGGCTACGTAGCGCGTTAGTTGATCATGCGTGCATATGTATGTCGAGTCTAGAACTCACGATACTGCCACCTTCTACGCTCAAGCCTACGAATCTGTTAGTTCTAGTTCTAGTTTGTACCTAAAATAGGCATATTAAATTACCTTTCTCGAGCTCTGAAACGAAGTGTGTGGTGATTTCCTTGAGCTTAGTTTTATCAACGGTGAATAGATCTTCTAGCTTCTTAATCTCGGTAAGAAGATCTTTTGGCACATCGGCCATCGACCCTGTGATACTAAATATCAGCATACTAGCTCATTTTTAATTATGAGAAGTGAATAACCATTTAGTCCATCTTGAGAGTTTCCATGATGGTGATGGTGGTATGAACCGAGCTTCGTCGCAAGACCAAGCGCAGTTGGTCTTTGTCCAGCCTCCATAATGAATTTTCAAGTAACAATAATAAACAGTATAATAGTTGATAAGATAAAGAGAGGTTGAATGGTAATATTTTAGGAGAGAGAGTAAAGCATTATGAAAAGATGGGGGTTAAGAGAAAAGGTTTGGTGAGATATAACTTCTAAATTGGTAACCTCAAATGAACTAGACTGAAGCTCATACAACACACGTAGATAGTAGATCTGATGAGCTCAAATTGCCTTAGTCCATTCTGGTGTAAAATACCAATGTTTGCATGACGTGGAAGGAGCAACTGTACTCATAGATGCTTGGTGTTATGTGTAACAGTACAACTGCCTGAATCGAATCTCATTCATCTGATTACTCAGGGAAAGAAGGTACAATGAGTAACAAAATGGGTATATCCCAGCTGAGCAACTCAAGTACCAAAGTGCCTAAAGTCTAACTTCCGCACTTGCATGTGGTTTCAAAAGTCCACGAACGTAAAACTAAACTCGAAGCTGAAATCAAACATTGAAAACAATACTATACATACCCTTTCGGGAGGGCGGCTTTCGAGGACCAAGACCGACCATTTTGATTTTAATAATAAATATCTAATAACGTCCAAGAAGTTGTGATAGCAAGAAATAATATCTGAAACAACCTAAATTTCTAAAACCGCGGTGTTAGTATAATCGATGATATAGCAAATAGAAGAGTGAAAAAAATGAAGGTCAGAAGAAAAGATGTTGAGCAAACAATCCCGGTCATGCCATGTGCTAGGTAATAAATAGTGAGAGTTTTCAGGGCAGCCAAGGTTAACTCGGATCTTAGACAAATAGGAGAGAGTCATTTCCGAATCAAGGAGATAAAAACTTACTCAGCTCAGCAAGATCTTGACATACAAGAGAAAAGGAAGGACGTCGTAGTAGATTGCTACTGGAGCTTCAGGTCTTTTCAATGGTGAGGGGAATTTAAGCTTGACAAGAAGTGCCCCTCCATCATCGACCCACCAACTTAGGTTTCCATAGATTGATTGGTTTATTGCCAATTTTGGTAACCTTTATTGGCTTGAATGTTGTGCTTGGCTTGGGTTGGTTGAGTGGACCTAAACTCCACCAAGTTACCTCACTTGGGGCAATTACTGTACCTGGTACATGCGGATCTGTGAGTACATGCGTATCTCCGTAGTTTCTCTGCTTGGCTTGTTGTACCTGATTCGAACGCCTTCCAACGATTTCGTATCATTACACAGATGAGACTTCCTTCATTTGATCTTCCTATCAAAAGAGGCTCTCTTAAAACTGGTCCATAAAAGCGGTGTGATCACTTTTAAAGTTTGTAACCTTGCTGCCTTAGAAGTATATAACGCCATCCATCCGTTCGGGAAGATGGGCAATTCAAGGTTCCAGAAGGCTTACAGATGTACATGTGTAAGTGATTTACGCAGCTGCGGACATCCATGGGTGCTGTCAAGAATGAGGATGGAACTCCGTAAGAGGTACCAAACCCCGTGTAAGCTGAGATTATTCGGATCTGAAGCCTGTTACCTTGTCACCCCGCATTCCAACATCGAAAGTTTGTCACGTCTCCTTCAATCCTTTAGGACTGTGCCGTCGTGGGGTAATGCTAGAAACAGATAAGGCTTTAGAGGAATTTGAGCGATTTATTTGTTATATTCATGAGATTTCAGATGATGTGGTTTCGTATAAGTAATTAGCAACAACTATCATATGTGATGATTCGATAGTAATGGGATGTTGAGTCTTTTTAATACACTTGATGAAAGTTCAATATTCTGAAGTATCAAGGATCCCAAAGCTTTAATTTATCAAAACGTGACAGGTCCGGACAATTGGTTCCATACAAAATATGGGGTTACATACCCTGTCGTATCTTGCCGTGTAGCTCTAACTAAAAGCGGTCTAGCGTCATCTCTGGTTACACACGGAATAACGTACATCCTCAATCCCGGTTTGGTCGGGACAGACGCGCATTGGCAACGTAAGCTGTAACTTTTTGAAAGGTGTACCTTAGCTTTTTGAACCTTGGAAGCTTTACGTAGAAAAGCCACATGTAGCTGTCTAAGTCAAAACTACAACGCCGTTGATCATTAACATCCATTGGCGCTACTCATTCTTTTCATGAGTAGCCCATTCGGTCTTTATTCGTCATGAAGTTCTCTGCGGTTGCAGCTACCTGCCTAACTTTCTTTTCCCAGGTCCTCGGCGAAACTAACACAGCCGGACCGTCGTCGTCGAAAGTCGTCCTCCCAGCTACCTTCAAACCACCCCAGGTTTTCAAGAATGCCAATCTAGTGCATGTCATCTCCCTAGAAAAGAATTATGCGAAGGAGGCAATTAATGTTTTAATTGAGAACATATCGTCGGAACCTCAAGATGAATACTTCCTACCATTTACGAGTGCGCAGATGGCGCGGGCTGGCGGCCTTGAGGTGAAAGATAGAAAAGATTCTAGCATATCAGGCTTTGTCGCAGAGGTTGTCGAATTCGATCCGACAAGGTAAGGGGATATGGATTTTCTATTAGATCGCCATATTCAAGTTGCTAATTAAATGCCAGTGATGTTCAATACTATCGCATTCGACTACCCGCACCCTTGCCGGCCAAGGGTCAACAGACCCTGGGTATCTCGTTCTACTACCTCGACGCACTCTCCCCGTTACCGGCTGCGATCGAACAATCCGATAAGCAATACCTCGTCTACCAATTCTCGGCATATGCCCCGTCAGCCTACCCTACTTCAAAGCAGAAGACTGAAATCAAGCTTCCATCTTCTGATATTCCCGATTACACCAAGATTGTTGGTAGCGGCGATGTCAAAGAATTCCCCCAGAAGCAAGGCTCAAAGCTTACCTATGGTCCCTTCCCCGAGGTCCCAGCCTTCGCAATGTCTCCAGCGAAGGTGAGGTTCGAGTTTACGAAACCCGTTACTCACGTTTCGCTTTATGAGCGAGACATCGAGGTCAGCCATTGGGGAGGAAACGTCGCGTTCGAAGATCGATACACTCTTTACAACCACGGCGCAAACCTCTCATCTCAGTTTAACAGGGTTAAATTTGCGCAATCCCAGTATTTCAACCCCCAGTCGTACGCCTTAAAGGACATCAAGGTTCCTCTTCGAGTTGGAAGCAAGGACGCTTACTTCACGGATGTTATTGGCAACGTGTCGACTTCGCGCTTCCGGTCTAACCGACGAGAGGCCTTACTCGAATTGAAACCCCGTTACCCCATTTTTGGTGGTTGGAAGTATCCATTCACAATTGGCTGGAACGCAGATGCTAAGAGCTTTTTGCGAAAGAAGTCCGGTGATAGCTACCTATTAAATGTGCCTTTCATTGAGGGGCCTAAGCAACCTGAAGGTACCGCGTATGAACAGATCCAAGTCCGCGTGCTTCTTCCTGAGGGTGCTAGGTGAGTGTCTCTTGATAAATTTCCCCATTAGATATTTTCTGACCATTTTGCAGTAACGTTCGTTTCTATACGACGGTCCCCGAGTCTTCCATCACCGATTTCACGGTGGATCAGCAAAAGACGTATTTGGATACCATTGGTCGCACTGTGTTAACAATCAATGCGAGGAACTTGGTAGATGACTTCCGAGGCCGCGATCTCATTGTATCTTACGATTATTCGCTGGCAGCTAGTCTACGCAAGCCGGTGATCGTCTTCTCAAGCATGGTGGCGTTATTTGTTGGCATCTGGGCGATCTCCAAGGTGGATGTGAAGTTCTCGACGAAATAAGGGGCGTTTGGTTCGTTTTGGGACTAGGTGGTACATATGCGCGTGTGTACATTACAGGTTTTCCAAAAGGATTTTATGGTGGCCTAGGAAAACTTTAGAGTAGCTCAGGGCATAGCTCCGGCACGAATGAATACTGAAATGAAATGTTTCAATTTGACCTCATCTTTTGGTTTCATACCGACGTACTTACGTACGTAAGTCAAGAGAAATGAGACAAGATATCTTCGAATTCACCAAGGTGAGCTCATTGCTCCATTTCGGCAGATACCTACCTTCAATGTTCACCTAGAACAAGGCATTATCAACAAATATCTGGATTTTACAGGGTCCAAGGGTCCTAAGTTGAGGTGGTAGCACTATACGACGGAGCTAAATTAGCTCGATGAGGCTTGTGATTAAAGCTGCAAGCTGACGTAGGCGCAACATCATAGGTTGTACCCCTAAGACATCTCGGAACGGGAATGCAAAAAAATGCAGAACCGGAATTTCGGTAGAGTTGTAAAAATAAAAAGTTCAATAAAATTCATCATAGCAGCTAGTATAGGCAGGTATGTATGAGATTAGACTAGTGGACAAGAGATCGCAATCCGCTATATATGGGGACTGCATCTGCAAGGATTTATTGAGGCGGAATTAAACGATGTGCTATAGGTGGACTTGGTGGGTATTTGTTAAGCACGGCATCGCGATGGATATGTCCCTGTGGACACGAAATAAGGCACAGCATAACGTCAAAACCCCCAGTTGTGGACACGAAAGGTCTAGATACGTCGGATGAGATATCTTGTTCGCCCGGCTGCATGGTATGCAACGTTCTATTTCGTGTTATAGGTCGCCACAACCGGGTCCAACCTGTTCGTGTCGAGGTCGAGAAGCAGTGCGAGTCCAAGTCGCAGAACCAGAGCGACGGTGTCCTTGGCAATATTTTCCGTGCTTCCGCCCGTCGGTAGTGACGCTTCTAGACCCCGTGATAGGCTGGGTGTGTGGCGCAGAAAAAGATGTCAAGGCTACTACTGTATTCCTCGTACGATCAAGTTCTTTTTTTTGTCCTGCTTGTGATACATGCCAGCTTCGATATTGTTAGCCATGGCGCATATCGAATATCGGCTGCAGGGATTACAACATGGAAAGTTGGGATGTGTGCGAGGATCTTCTGGAGGATCTTGAGAACTGGGAACCCGGCGCCGATGATCTAGGACGCACGCCAAGATGCCATCTTCAGTGTGTAAGCGTATGACGGTTACACCGACGCTACCTCCTCGTGACGCTTCTGGGTCAGCAAGGCTGAGTTGGGTCATAGGTCATCTGAAGATGAATACATAAATACTTGACTGGCTTCCGGTCTCTTCATTCTCAGAACTAGTTCTCTATTCCATTCGATCTATCAGCATTTACACTCATAAACTCGGTTCGATCAAATTATATAGGCCCGGCCCCCTTTACCCGAAAATTTCAACTATAATACTCACTCACCTCCCTAATCTGATCCAACATATTATTATATCAAGACTTCCAACAAGATCCAGTCTTGTATATAATTCCAACAATATACACCTCAGACAAAAGAACTTATGACCCTCCACGTCTCCGTCCATACCGAGAGAGACAGGATGTGTTTCCGAGCCGAACCTTCGCGGAAGTACTACTACCACGAGGAGTACGTCCCTGTGAGACAAGCCCACCTCCATCATCACCGCTCTTCGACGCCAAGGGTTAGCTACCACTCGCACCACACACACCACAGCCCGCGTGTGAGTACGACTAGCTACCGGCGCAGTGCTCCGGTGGTCTACGAGAGGACCAGCCAGACAAGATACCACTAAGCGAGTTTACCGCCATCCGACTGACTTATCAAACCAAACAATCAAACAACCAACCAACCAATTCAACCACTTCAACGCATAAAACATAAAACATAATACATTACGCACATGATAATATTTAAAAGTTCGGGCCGGGGATATATATTTCGAAGTATGGATATTTAATATTGGACACATGTAATATTCGTTTCTTGAACGAGCACTTGAACGATTAATGAGTTTCTTAATCATGGAGTTTTCGAATAGAGAATGATTGGAAAGCATTGGAAGGGATAGGAGCACGATTAGGGGGGGAAAGCGAACATAGGCGCTCGGACCAAGCGGGGTGTCGGTTTACAGCTCCAAAGCACATTCTAGAGAAATGCAAAAAAAATATGACATCATGATGGTTCTTTAGCTTCCCTTCGTCGTCATCTCCCGTATTGCGTACTCGAGGCTTTGCACTATTCTTCTATTCTCTCTAGACGCATCCATGTCCCTTTTTGCAAGTGTGATGTGATGTAGTTGAGTCGGTTAGAAGAGGGGTTGATAAGTCTTTTCTTGAAATATACAATCGTGTTGTTGTTGGTGAACAGTTCAATGTACAACTCGAATAAGTGAATACTATTAGTTGGCTCCTTGTTTGCTCTTTTAATAAACCCCTGCTTAGCTATACCAATCGATCTACACGATACATACCACTATTCCGCCCCACTCCTATAGGTAACGCCAGATATTGACAACAGCGATTAGGAAATATTCCGTAAGTTTCGTGGGTTACTTCCCTATAATTACCTTTGATATATTACTAGGTACTTTGTAATCTAGATGATAGACATCAATGAGGAACCTCGCACCTTACACATGCTTATTCACTTTGTGTTACTGCGCTATAAAACAATGGGAAGCTCTTGCGATGACAAGGAAACCCGAAATAGGAAATCACCTACCTGGAAAACATGAAAGCATGAAAAGAATGGAAGCAACAACACAGCTAACAGCCTGCAGCTGTCATAACCAAAAAACGAACCCAGCCGATCCTCTTAACTCTTCTACTTGGAAGACATCATGTAAGCCACAATGGATTTCGCATTCTTCAACGGCAATTCGAAAGGCGTCTCCGAGCTGGAGAGGAAATCCCAGCTCAGCCGTCAGGGGAGCACTCGATCCCTAGGGTCAACATGCTTGTAAACCTTTCACCGACCCAATCCCCTAACCAAATGACCCAATTGCAATCACAAAGGCCGAGCAAAACTAACACCCAACCCTCTTCTTAGGAACCGCTCCCTCTCCATCCGCTCCACCAAAGCCGGCACACCAAGCTCGCCCGGCCCGTCCAAACGCAAGGGCTTCTCCTTCGCCTCCCTCCGCGGCTCAATCCAACCCGAGCTCTCGCGCCGCCTATACCAGCTCATCAAATCCTCCAACAACCTCGTGTCCGCGCACGAGACCGCCGGGCGTGAGCGAGAGTCGATCGCAAAACAACTATCCGAGTGGGGCGAGCAGACCGGCGACGAGGGGGTATCGGACATCAGCGACAAAGTCGGGGTCGTGCTATCGGAGCTAGGCGCGCAGGAGGACGCGTACGCGCATGGCCTCGACGACGCGCGGGGGCTGCTTAAGACGGTCCGCAACACGGAGAAGAGCGTCCAGCCGAGCCGCGATGCGAAGGCGAAGATCGCGGATGATATCCAGCGCCTTAAGTTGAAGGAGCCGCAGAGCCCGAGGCTGGTTATTTTGGAGCAGGAGCTTGTTAGGGCGGAGGCGGAGAACTTGGTTGCGGAGGCTCAGTTGACGAATATTGTATGTTTTTGCCTATCGCTTTTTTGTCTTATCGATTTTTCCTTTTCCTTTTTTGCATTTTTATGACTAAGATAGGTAAGTCGGCGGACACTACTAAAAGTGATATAGACTCGCAACAAGCTAAAGGAAGCCTACGACGCCGAATTCGCCGCCGTTATCGAGAGGGCTGAGAAGCAGATCATCCTCGCCAAGCACGGTCGACGGCTCCTCGAACTCCTGGATGACTCACCTGTCACGCCTGGCGACGCCCGCCGTGCCTACCAGAACGGGGCTGCGGCGCGCCAGGTCCTGAATGATGCCGAGGATGACCTCAAGGCCTGGGATAAGAATGTAGATGATCAGTACTCCCTTGTCGGAGAGGAGATGACGGGTGCTGGAGCCGGCGTTGCTGCTAGTGAAACAGGAGATGGAGGTGAGTTGCCATCCATGATTTAATATTTGTGATATCGACCGTTTAACTAATGATGATGACGATGAAGTAGTTGCCGCAGAGACGGCGTATGTGAGCCCCACGCCAACTTCGAATTATGATACTCACGATCATACATCAAGAAGCCCGATGCCCTAAGATTTGGCACGACGGTAGTCTTATCTACCTATAATCGAGCATATCGTAGATGTGCAAAGGGAGGCCTGGTCGATTTTCTTACCTAGAATATATGTATAATCCTGCTCGGGCTGGTTTGGAATCAGGGAGTTTACTATTTTGTATCCGCGTGTAACATGCTTACCTACATTAAGGCTACAATAAATTGGGAATTGGACTCTTATTTGAGGTGTACGAAATGGCATTTGTTAGGATAATTATAAGACTGCTTTGAATGTATTGTCTTGCACTTGTGTGATTTTACATGAATTATTGTAGTGAAGAAGTTCTCGTAGCAAGGGCGTTTGCACTTATACTTATACGGCGAAACTCCGGGTAATACCAACCCTTGCTCCCCATGCCCCCCCCCCCTGCTGATAAGACTCCTCCAAAAAGTGACGATTATCGTTCCATCCAGAACAGCTTTTGCGCACGGCGGACCTCCGACAAAATGGATTTCGTCGTCCTATCCGGTCGCCGACTCCGCCCGAACCTATGTAGAACCTGCATCCGTCGACTTGCACCGCGAACGTCCCGATCATACGCCAGCACCAGTTCCAAGCAACCTGATATCTACGATGTCGTCTGCGTCGGCGGCGGTCCCGCCGGTCTCAGTCTTCTTACCGCGCTGAGTAAGTCCACCACCCGCACTACACTCTCGGCTACGCCAATGCCACCACGTATACTAACCTAAGGTGCATAGGAGCGAATCCAGTAACGGCCGGTCTAAAAGTCGCTCTCGTTGAAGCCCAGGACCTGCGCAAAGTGCGCGGGTGGAAGATGCCGCCCGATCGCTTCTCGAACCGATGCAGTTCGCTCACCCCGGCCTCGGCGAAGTTCCTCGACGGGATCGGGGCGTGGAGATATGTGAAGAGGGAGCGCGTGCAGGGGTACCATGAGATGCAGGTTTGGGACGGGGTCACGGATGCGAGGATCGAGTTTGAGTGGGCGAAGGGTAGGCGTGGTGGGACGATCGCGTATATGACTGAGAACCTGAACTTGACGTCGGGGCTGCTGGGACGGTTGGAGGAGTTGGGGGGTGTGCAGGTGTTTGATGGGGCGAAGGTTGAGGGGATTGGGTTTGGAGACGAGACGGAGGATTTGGATTTGAGGGAGTGGCCGGTGGTTCATCTAGCGGGTGGGAAGCAGTTGGCGGCGCGGTTGCTGGTGGGTGCGGATGGGGCGAATAGTCCTGTGAGAGCGTTCGCGGGGATTGAGAGTAGGGGGTGGGATTACGAGCGGCATGGTGTTGTGGCGACGTTGGAGCTGGAGGGCGAGGGTTGGGGAGGAGACGATATGAAAATCGCTTACCAGCGATTCTTACCCACCGGCCCCGTCGCTATGCTTCCTCTTCCGGGCAATCTCTCAACGCTCGTCTGGTCTACCACGCCCTCGAACGCCGCCCTTCTCAAGTCCCTCTCGACGAAAGACTTCATCGCCCTCGTCAACGCCGCCTTCCGCCTCCGTCCTGTGGACCTCGAGTTCATGCACACGCTTTCTTCCGGTCAAGTCGACGAGCTGGCCTGGAGATTACAACACACGCAATTCAATTACCAGGCTATACCACAAACCGTCGTCGGGGTCCAAGAAGGCACTATAGCCTCGTTCCCGTTGAAGCTACGACATGCGGATACGTATATCGGGGAGCGCGTGGCGCTAGTCGGCGACGCGGCACACTCGATCCATCCGCTTGCGGGACAAGGGCTCAATCAAGGGCAGGGCGATGTCGAATCGCTGACCCGAACGATCGAGTACGCGGTCTCGCACGGCCAGGACATCGGAGCGCGAATGTCGCTCGAGCCGTATAACGCGGAGAGGTACGGTCCGAACCATGTGCTACTAGGCGTGTGCGATAAGCTGCATAAGCTGTATTCTGTGGGTAGCGGACCGTTGGTGCCGTTGCGGTCGTTGGGGTTGAACGCGATTAACGCGTTGGGACCGGTCAAGAATTTCTTCATGGATCAGGCGGCTGGGAATGGGATTAAACTATTTTAGATGGATGGGCGTGTTTGATGTATGAGCTTCAAATTGCTCGGCGTGTATTTTATGTAGAATATGACCTCGTGGCTTATGATAGACGATGCGAAGAGTGCGTCTGAGACGAAGAAAATATGTCCAGAATCCAGTATCATGACGTTGTCCTAATACCTAGATGAGACTTGGAGTGCGATCGAGCTTGATTGATGGTCGTACGTCATTGCGAGCCTAGCATCTAGAGGCGAAATTTCGGTCTCGCCACAATCGAGCTCGAGTGGTAGTAAATAAGGCATCTTCCTCATGGCGATGCATCAAGCATCGATCATAATGAAAATGAAGAGATCAAAAATTGCGCTCCCTACGATCCACGAGGGATAATAGAAAAGGGTCGACTCCGCGATGTGCAATGCAGGTCTTCCCTCATGCTAACCCTGATGCTTGAGCCAAGGTTAGCGGAACAAGGTAAGTATGAAGAAGAAAGGAAGAGAAAGGAAAAAAGAAGAGAGGAGAGCTGGGTATTTATGTTCTTTACAAGTGGGGCAAACCCGGACGCACCTGCCAGGCAACAGAGCTAGAGGGGTGCATTCCGAAATTAGTGGTGTAAATTTAGCATTAACTGATAAGCATCGATAAGATTAGATAAATATTTTTCTTTTGGTTGCTTTTTTTTTTTTTTGAGACAGACAATCAATCGGCTTCTACTATTCGTTCACCCCGCCTATACCTATCCAATCTACAAATCACACATCATGGCACCTTCTTCAGGACGGCGAGCACCGCCTACAGCGGAAGAATTGGAGGAACGAGACGTATGTTGCCAATTACCCTTCAAATCAAGTGTCACCTAAGTAATCTAACAAACGAACTAGATCGTAGGCATAAACAAGGAAACAGTAACCAACACCGTCTCGAACGACTACCCCGACAACTACGCAAACGAAGAGCAAGCGTGGGACAAGGACGTCTTCCGACAGAACTTCAGAGTCCAATGGCACGAGAACAAGCAATTCGAAGCGCAATTCTCGCTAATCGGCGTCGACGCCTCCATCGCCAATGCCTTCCGCCGCATCCTCATCGCCGAGATCCCCACCCTCGCCATCGACACCGTCTTCATGCACAACAACACCTCCGTAATCCAAGACGAAGTCCTCTCCCACCGCCTCGGACTTATCCCTTTCACAGGCGGTAAAAAGGGACTGCGTGAATGGATGGGGTTCTGGCGCAAGCCCGCCGACGGCGAGGGCACCTACGACACGACCTTCGACAACAACACCATCAGCCTGAAGCTCAAAGCCAAATGCACACACAACCCGTCCGCGCCGCCGAACTCCAAGGACCCGCGCGAGTTATTCCACAACGCGCATTTATACGCCCGGGATATCACGTGCGAGATGCTAGGCGGCCAGCCGAAATACTTCTCCGGCGCGGACCGCATCCGCCCGTGCAACCCGGACATACTGATCACGAAGATGCGGCCGGGACAGGAGGTCGACATCGAGATGCACATGCACAAGGGCTTCGGGTGGGACCACGCCAAGTGGTCGCCCGTCGCGACCGCGAGCTACAGGCTCATGCCTACGATCACGATCACGAAACCCATCGTCGGCGAAGACGCGGAGAAGTTCGCCGGCTGCTTTATGCCGGGTGTTGTTGCGCTGGAGCCGGTCACACGGCAGGAGGCGAGGGTTAAGGGGAGTGGCTTTGAGGGCCACGAGGGGGAGTTGAAGGCTGTGGTTAAGGACCCGATGCGCGATACCGTGAGTAGGGAGGTGTTGAGACATGATGAGTTTGAGGGGAAGGTGAAGTTGGGGAGACGGAGGGATCATTTTATTTTTTCGATTGAGAGTACCGGACAGTGGGATAGTGATGAGTTGTTTGTCGAGGCGGTGAAGACGCTGAAGAAGAAGTGTCAGGTGCTGAGGCCGCAGGTTACGAATATGGTCTATACTTATTGAGGGCCTAGTAATGCTGCGTGCTTGGGGGGAGGGGAGGGGAGGGGAGATAGGGGGTTTTGCTTCGCGTTTAGAGGTGCATGTGCATGCTAGATGGGAGGGCTATTCATGACACCTCCGACGAATGGCGTTTGGTGGAAAATGTATCGGGATGGGTAGTTTACTCGGGTTAATAGAGTAATCAAAATTTCAAGAAATCTTTTGAGGGCATTATAAATGTGATTGCGTGTTCTTGGGTTTGGGGAGTCGGGTTTTTTGTGAATTATCTAATTTTCAGCTTCGAAGTCTATGGATTTTCCTTGGTAGAAGGGTTATCGCTAGAAAATGGGCTGGGAAGCCTAAAGCAGGCAATGACAAGGCTTTACCAATGTCTATATTCTATTTAAGACTGCATCTGCCTAAAGGCTTGTGTATTATAGTTCCTATATACTAGGGTTCTCCGTTAGAAGGCGAACGGAAGGGACATCGTGGATGGAGATACTCGCCTGTTAAGCTATTTACACAAACGCCTACGCTAATATGAATTAACATAGCGATGTGACGGACCTCAAACCCTACCTTCGTGACAAAAGTGGCATGATGCAGTCATTTCCCTCTCCGCTTCATTTGAAGATATAGGTACCTCTAATAATATGACCTCGTGCTGGCGCTTCGGTACTCGTCTGACGTGCCAGGGAATGCGCCTACCGGCGTCTCGACAACGGTATCTTCGTCCGAGCTAAATTGTTCGTCTCCGAAATCGTCTGACCGATCTGGAGGAGCACGCATCGCCTCGAGAGATTCCCTTCCGAGATCTGGGAGTTGGTAAGGTTTAACGGCGTGTATCTCTCTTCCGGACGGAAGACTAGCCAGTAATGTGCCAGGTGGTGGGACAGTCTGGGTCATCATCTATTTTGAATCAGCCTTACCCGCATTAACTCTCGTTCAGCTAGACTTACCGTATCATTGATCTTCGTCCACTTTGCCTCCAACATCTCGATGACTCTCGTCTCCTCCACCCTACCTGCGTCAGCGCCCCAATTGGTGCCCCTTTCGACTTTCTTGTCTTCCCTCCTCTCTGACCAATCCTTCTTCATTCGGGTAAGACTGATACCCTTTTTAGTCTCTTTTGACTCGACCCCGAGCTCTTGAAGACCACATCGTAGCCAACCCAGAGCATTTCCAGTCTGGCCCCCTAACTCAGCGTCTATTCCAAAGAAACGACATGCTTTTGCCCGGCTCGTCTTCCTGAAGTCCTCTAGATAACGCAGCAATCCTTCGTTAAGCTTTGAGGGTCCTCTTCCTTGAGATTGGCATAGAGAAGATGCTTGACCTGCATGATCTGCGGCTGCAAGACAAAGTCGAGCAAATAAATGGGCTCGGACCTTGGGGATCTCCGGTGCCTTGTACATCCACTCCCGGTCGTTGTCGTTGCGGTCTTGTGCTACAACTGCCGGGTACGGATCGTCTTTGAGGACGGCAAGTAGAGTTGCTTCGGCCAGAGCGAGTGAAGACATGGCTCGGGCGATAGATTGCGAAATATCAGCGCATGGAGGTGTTGTAACCCAACCTTCTGCTCGACGGGCGAGGTAGTCATGTACCGAAGCTGCATCTAGCAAGTGTTTTGTTGCTGTTGTTATAGCTGTAGTCCGTTCTTGTGTGCTGAGTGGCACGCCTGACGTAACGTAAAGCGGGTGCAGAGAAGCGCGAGCAAGCAGAGTATGGGTATAGCCCACAGCGGAGAGAGCAAAGAACAATTCATATTCTATAGACTGGACTTTGACCCTGGCTATTTCCTTGCCCGGCACCGCATGGTCTGATAAAGTAGGTCGCCATTCGATAGTGGGATTAGAAGTTAGAACGACACTGACTTCTTCTCCTGAGATTGCTTTATTACTTAAGCCAGCATCGATAGCGAGGAGATATGGAAGATAGTTATTCAAGTTGGAGAGTATAGATGGCAAGTTGGGATTCTGAGATGTTGCAGGGAGCCGCTTATGTTTTTTCAATGAGTCCTTCACAACCCCTCGATGAGTACTTGTGTTCAGGGGTAGTGAGGGGTGAGACTCGCAGGTGAAGCTTGAGGAGAATGAGAATGACGACGTAGTGGGTAATATGAATGGAAAAGGCATCTTGGACTCTGGATAATCCTCTATGACAGTTGTATGATTCAAAATCCCAACACCTTAAATGAAATGAATTGGAATCAACACACTCCTCTTCTCATATAGAAAGGACTTTTGGTTTTGTTACGAAAGATCACCGTAGCCAAGTCACTTGGCTTGCCTGAAGTTGTTCATGCCATGCTTTTGTGATAATAAGAGATATAGGTGACAAACAAGAAATAGCAGCTGTTATCAAACCGAGGTATGCTGGAAACGGGACGCTTGTGAGGTCACACAGTTTATCTTCAATAAATTGGTCCGTACCTGTACCGTGCAATTCACCGTGCCTAGCCGTGTCAGCCACAACCTCATTCTCCCCATTCATTCTAGAAGGAAATCCCTGCCGACGAGCTAATAAAACGATCCCTGTTTAAAAAGTACTCAGGTACGAAATGAAGATAATGTGGACTATACTAAATTCTAAGGTGGACCATAAGCCCGTATCCGCTAACCCGTTAATTTAATTAATGTATTAAAATGTATATAGTATAAATAAGTAATATATATGAAACTTATATTATGTTTTATAATTTATAAAACGTTGTTAATATTTAATAATAATATTTTTAATATTTAAATAAATATATATTTATTATAAATAAAAATATTTTTTATTTTATAAAGTTTTTAATTTAATAAATTAAAACGGGAAAATAACGTTAATTTTTATTATTAAATTTTATAATTTATTAATAAAAAAAAAATAAAATAAAAGTTATATAAGTAAATATTTATTAAATTTAAAAAAAAATATAGTTTATTTTTATTTTTTATTAAATATATATTATATGTTATTTATTTTTTATTTTATTTTTTAATTTTACGTTAATATTTAAATTTTATAATTTATTTATTTAATTAATTTTTTTATTTTAACGTTATATTTAAGTAATTATTCGAAGCTTAACGCGAATTAACGTTAATAAAATTAATTATTTCGTTATAAAAAAAAATATAAGTTTTTAAAAAAAAAATAAATTATTTAATTATTTATATTCGAATTTTTTTTCTTTTTTTAAATAAATATTATTAAATATTAAAGTTATAAAACTTTTTATTTTAAACATTTAATCCGTAAAAAGTAATTAAAAAAAATCGATATTTATTATATTAAATTTTTAATTTATTTTAAAGTAAATATATTTTATTTTAATAATGAGTTTTATTTAAATGTAAAATACGATAATATTTAAAAAAATTTATAAGTATAATAATATTTAAATAAAAATCGAACGATTTTTATTAATTATTATTTATATTTTTATTTATTATTTAAATTTTCGATATTAATTTTTTTACGGTTAATATTTAATTTTTAAGAAAAGTTATTTATTAATTTAACGTATTTAATTTAATTTTTTTTTTTATTAAACGAAATAATAATAATAATAATAATTAATATTAACGCCGAGGGATTATTATTTATATAATTATTTTAAAATTTTATTAAAAATATATTAAACGTATTAAGTTAAGTTTTATATTTTATATTTAAATATAAAATTTTTATAACTTATTTAATAATTTATATTTTTAAACGTGCGTTATAACGGTTTATGTTATATTTTTTTTATTAAAAAACGAAAAAAAAAAAACGTAAAAAAAACGGTATTATTAATAAAATTAAATACGTATTTATTTAATAAAAGTTACGTTAAATATAAATTTAATTATTTTAAAATATTATTATTAATATATAATATTATTTTTTAAGTTTATTAAAAATATTATTTTTTATATTTTTATAATTTTTTTATAATAATAATAATAACGATAATAAAAATTATAATAATTAATTTTATTACGAAGTGGAATTAAAAAATTAAAAAATAATAACGTTATTACGCGAAAAATTTTTAATTATTTTTTTTATAAAAAATACGGTATATATATAAATGAAATTTTTTATTTATTTTATTTTTAAGATTAATTATAAATAAAATCCTTACGAGGATTTTACGGGCTTAATTTCGATTTTATAAATTTTTAATTATTAATTTAAAAAAAAATCGATATTTAATAAACTTTTTTTACGTTTAAAATTTTATTTTTAAATAATAATTTAAGTTTACGTTTTTTTAATTTTAAATATTTTTTAATAAAATAAATAATTTTTAAATATATAATTATTTAATAAATAAATTATTATAAATGAATATTATAACTTATTTTTTTAAATGATAATTATTTATCGTTATATATTAAAATTATATATATACGTTTATTTAATAAATAAACCGAACTTAATATAAATATTAAAGAATTAATTATATTAAAAGTATACGTATTATTTATTATACGAAAATTAATGTTAAATATTATTAATATTAAAATAAATATTATTAAATAATTATATATTATATTATTAAAAATATAATTAATTAAAAAAATATATTAATATATAAAAAAGTTATATATTAAAATTAATATAAGATTATTAAGCGTTTAAAACTTAATGTAATTTTAACGTTTATTAAATAAATTATTATTAAATAAAAACGTAGTTTTTTTTTCGAAAAAAAAAAAAGGAAATTACGGATTTTAAAACTTTAAAAAATTATTATATTAATTTTAAAATATTATTTTAAGTTTTTATATTAATTTTTATTACATTATTATTTATTTTATTTTATATTATTTAAGTTACAAAGTAAAATTAAAAAATTTAAAAATAATAACGTTATTACGCGAAAAGTTTTTAATTATTTTTATTACGAAAAATATAATATATATATAAACGAAGTTTTTTATTTATTTTATTTTTAAAATTAAAAGTTAACGGAATTTTTACGAACTTAACGAGAATTTTATAAGTTAAATTTTAATTTTATAAATATTTAATTATTAGTTTTTTTTTAATTAAATGTAAAATAATTTTTATAAATAAAAATATAGTAAAAAAAGTAATAAAATAAATAAATATTTAATAAATATACGGTTTTTATAACCGTGTTTAATAATGTAAAGTTATAATATTTTTTTAATTAATTAAAATCGAGTTTTTATAAAAGTTTTATTATTTTAATAATGTAGTTTAAATTCGAATGTATATTTTTTAATTAATCGAAATATTTATCGATAAATTCTCGCATTTTCGAAATTAAGCTTAAATAATTAAATATATAAATATTATTTACGTTATATAAAATTAAAAAAATGCTAATAAAACGTATATATATTATTTTATATATATTAAGTAAAAAATTAAATATCGTAATTTAAGCTTTTAAACTTAATTTTAAAATTTATATTTTTTTATAATGTTAAATTTTTAATTAATTATTTTATATTTAAAATATTTTTAAAAGTTTAATAATTAAAATAATTTAATTATTTTTATAACGCGTTTTCGAATAAATTTAATTATATTAAAATTAATAAAAAATTAAATTAAAATTTTATAATTAAAGTTAAATTAAATTAAAATTAATTCGAATTAATCGAAATAATAATTAATTTTTAATTTTAAATATTATAATTAAATAAAAGTTTAAAAGTTAAAAAAAAAAATAACATATAATTTAAATTAAATGTTTTCGATTAAATTAAATTAAAAAAATTAAAACGTCGAATTAATTAAGTTATAAATAATTAAAGTTAATTAAATATATAATAAAATTTTAATATAATTTAAAACGCGTTTAAATTAACGTTAAGCTTTTTTTCGATATAACGCGCGTATTAATTAAAATTATATAATGCGAGTAATATTAATTATAAATGTTTTAATATTTAGTTATTTATTTTTTTTAATTCTTAACGAATATATAAAATTTACATTATTTTTAAGAAAAAAAAAAAAACCTTACATTATATAAAATGATTTATTTAATTTAATTTAATTTAACTTATAATAATATGTTTTATTATATTATTATTAATTTATAACGTTATTTATAATGTTTAAAATAAAAGTTAAAAATGTTTATATAATAATTATAATTATATATATAATTTTAAATTTAATTTAGTTTAATTTTAAACGGTATAACTTTTATTTATATAAGATTTTTTTTATTATATATATATTAAAAAGTTTTAATTTAAATATTTAAAAATTTATTTAGTAATAATTTTTAAAATTATTTTTATTATAAAAATATTATTTATATAATAATTATTTTAAATTTATATATATTTTATATATTTTTTTAAATATATTAATTATATTAAATTTAAGTTATTTTTTTTTATAAGTTAAAAATATAAGGATAAGTATTTAAGTATAATTAACACGATATAACGTGTGGAACTTTTATTATTTATTTTTATAAAAATATTTTTTTAAATAATTTTTTTTAAAACTTTATTTATTTAAGTTATTAACTTAAATATTATTTTTTTAAATTTTCATTTTATATTTATTATATATATTATAAAATTAAGATTTTAATTTAATTTTTTAATTATAATGAAATATATATCCCGAATTATAAATAAATTATCGTTATATAATAATTTATTTATAATTAATTATAATTAATAAATTATAATTATTTTTTAAAAAATGGAAATAAATATTAATATTATTAAAAGTAATATTTACACGTTTAATATTAATTACCACGTTTAAAATTAACGTGGTAAAACTTAAAATTAACGTTATATTTTTAAAAATTAATGTCGTAATTTTAAAAAAAAATGTCGTAATTTTAAAAAAAAATGTTATTATTTTTAAAGTAAATATTATTATTTTTAAAGTAAATATTACCATTTTTAAAATAAATATTATTATTTTTAAAGTTAATGTTATTATTTTTAAAATAAATATTATTATTTTTAAAATTAATATTATTATTTTTAAAATAAATGTTATTAATATTAATATTTAACTTAATATTTTTAAGTTTCGTTTTATTATTTTGTAAGTTTTTTTTTTTAATTATTATTTTTATATATTAAAATATTAATTATACGTTTATTATAAAAACGAAAATATAATTTTACGCTTTATTAATAATAATATTAAAAGTTATATAATTACGTTACGATTTTTTAAAAATTCGAATAATATAATTATTAATAAACTTAAAATAACGGTTAAAAAAATTAAAAATATGTTAAATAAAAGTTTATATATTAATTAATAATTAACATTAATTATTTTTTTAAGTTATAAGTTAAATATAATT